GAGGTGGACTTGTCGCTCGATTTGATCTAGCTCATTCTTCGCATAAAGATGGTTGGGATCTCTTGGGTCTGAGTGAAGCTGTCGAAGGACATCCCATGCCTCCTCCTTCCTGTCATTGGATAACAGATATCGAGGTGACTCTGGTATCCAGTAGATTCCGAGCAGAAGTAGCAGAGGAAACAATCCAGCAAGCCCCAGCGGACCACGCCAAGTATCTTTGCCACCACCAGTGTAGTAGAAGAACCCAACACCGGTGTAGGAAGCAACGGTGTAACCAGTATTGATCATTGCGGGGTGTATCTGGACCAGCATGCCTCTTCTGTGAGGAGGCACCAACTCGGCCATCCACATAGGAATTGTAGACAGCATCTGAAACGATCCCCATCCCTGAAAGACCCTGAAAGTGATGAACATGGCGATGTGATATGAGGCAGTTATAAGAGCACTTGATATAAGGATGATCAGTGCAGCAAGTGCAGCAGACTTCTTGCGCCCATATCTGTGTGCAAAGTAGCCACTGAAGATTGACCCAAAGGCTCCGCCGGCGTAGAAACCGCCGTTGGTGGCCCCTATGAGTGCAGTCATGTCTGACGTTGCACCTAGTTTCATGGTTGCATACCACGAGGGCTGGGATAGTGTAGTGGCGATGATGGAGGAGGCGTAGCCCATGGATGCAGACCCAAAGCCAAGGAACACAATTATGAATATGATGCCTGGCTTGAGGCGAGGAATAATTGCTTCACCTTCCAAGATGAAGGTTTTGCGAAGGCTAGTCTCGTTTGTTTTCTCACGATCCATTGCTATATGCGTAGCGTGATCCGAAATGATTATCAGTCTTCTTGGCAAAACTTTACTTAATAGATTAAGTAGAATCAGAAAGGTCGGACATAGGATAATTCCGCCTGGATACTTATACCATTCATCCTCAATATCCAGACAGCCACCAAGACGTTAGTTACTTCTATGATATTCTCCTACTAGACGACGGCCTCGGCGCTCAGACTCAAAAATGGTTGTTGTTCCACCTCGGGCAACAAACATGTTCTCTGGTATTGAGTTCCTCTAGCTAAAAGGTTAGTTTATTCACGTTTTTAGGACCTCGGGGCCAGCTGGGAAACTAAGATTTTCAGACACTAATGCTTGCCAGAATCCGGGGTAATCCGGGGTATCCGGGGTAGGTCAGGGTAGTTCCAGGCGAATCAAGAAGTATAGAGCAAGTGGGCACTGTAAAACAGAATGAAGTTGTAAAGAAGTCTATAAGAGCATGCTGGTCAACGTATTAAGATTCTGCTCTATCAAAGTCTTGCTTAGAATAATGACAATTATTATTTAAATGCTTTTAGTGTTGCCCTTGAACTTATATGATTCCTAAATATTTCGGAACGGTCAATGGCTGGCTAATAGTAATTACTTTGCAAGGGCAATATCTCTCTCTCCTGCGGCCCGATATTGGTCACAGGGAAAAAGTTTGGATCGGCGTCAAAGTGAACCAAGGCTTGCAAAAGGTTTGCCTCGGCGTCAAAGTCAGTCCATGGATCATTGAGAGGATCAATGAAGAATTGACTTTCAATACTGCCGCCATCCATCTGTAGTCCTGTCGAGCTTTCTCCCCCTGTTGCGCCATCGGACTGTGTACCGATAGGCAGACTTCCAATTGTCTCAGGTGTGATCAGCGAGTTTGACGCATTCAACGCCATTCGACCACCGGCTTCAGGAATCTGACTGCCCTTTTCAACCACTGCATGTCCTTTCCTGGCCTGCAGCTTTCTTTGCACAAGTTGTCCTGATGTCGAATTATTTGTAGAAGTGAGGTTCAACATGGGGATGTTGACGTGAGTTCTCTGGATAACAGCTTCGAGAAACCATATGACATGGTCTGCAGAAGCGTACATATCCCTGAGATACTGAATAGCCTGCCAGCACTGATAAAACTGCCCGATGGAGGCATAGCGGGCTTCGTGTCGAGATGAGCCAATGTCGTTGAGATGTATGAGAATGGCAGATAGAAGTGCAGGAATGGCCGAGGTAGACGCGAAGCGTAGTTGGTCTCGTTGATGCAAGTCATACGCAACCTGTGTGATTCCCCCGGCAGCGTCAGCAATCTTGTCAGCAGATCTCTTTGTGTTTATATTGTCCTCTGAGCTGTCGCCTGACCGTTGTGCCTGGGGTCGATGAAGGATGGCTGTTGAAGTGAGGTATATCATGTACAACAGAGCCTGATGCAGATACAAAGCCGAGCGACCGTGAGGAATTTCCCGTCCCTGTTGGTGTTGGTCCGCCTTATAACGACAAGGCGATTCCAGATTCTGTATCCAGCCGCGCAACTTGAGGTCGCACTTCTCCATGTCCTGCATCTGGTGGGCAGACTTCTTTGGTACGACCATCATTGTGATCTTTTCATCGGCTTTTGAGATATCATTGCTCAAGACAGAATATTGGCTAAACAGAATATCCCCGATGTGCATGCAGAGTTTTGTCAACTCAACAAAGCAAAGCATAAGCCCCTTCTGAGTTGCGGAGTCTGTTATCTGCATATTCCCAAGAAACCTCGTAACAGCATCATTGAAGGGGCCCATCTCCAAGTCCTCTACTGTTAAGTTGGGAACGTTAAACGTGTCGGGCCTTATCCGAGCCGGCCTTCGAATTCCCAATGCTAGAAGCCGATCTCGTACGTAACAGGACCACCAGATCCTTTTCCGTCCACGTTTCGCTTTGACGCTGATATCAAGCTGTTCAGGGCTCCGATGTATCCCCATGATATGGATTTGCGACAGCGCTATCCCCGTCCAGTGCCATGTGTCCTTTTCGTCATCGGCCCTCTCATACCAGTATGTCATCAGAAGAAGCGCTTGTAGACGAGCAATACGATCGGGTTCTGCGTCGAGGTGGTAAAGAAGGCGAACTTTCTCAAAAAATTCTTTTCGCATTGCCTTGCGATTCTCATATCCCCTTTCAGTACAGTAGTCGGAGTCGATGTAGACAACGGCGGCAAACATAATAGCCTGGAACAAAAGGAGGCTGACTTGCGAGCTTCCATCCCGCCGAGCAACGGATAACAGGAAGTCCGGTAGGTCGACTACTGGCATGAAAGGATGCACGTATAGTATATGGAGTCGGAATAACTCGCATTGGAGCTCATCGTCAGGGATCCTCAGGCAACCTTTGCCTGTGAGGTACTCGATATCGATGGGCTTTAGGTGCGAGGGAAGAGGCCGAATGTATTGTGGCAAGGTCTGCGGATAGTTACTTGGTGGCGCTAGAGGTAACTGAATGGGCGCGGCGGCAGAGATATCGTCGCTGTCTTCCTGCCCATCATCGTCCTGTAAAACGACTTCTAGACCTGTTGAGTATCGTCAGCCAAACTGTGGCACTTTCCCTCTGCGGTCGGTATCAATAAATTCTTGCCTTCAAATGTGAGAGAGACTGGAAAATCCTCTCCAGCATTCGAGCGCTCCGATATGGTGTCTGCCGTCCTGCTCGCTGCAGCTCTACGAGGCTTTCCAAGAACACAGCCCAGCTCATCGAGGCGACAGTTAGTGCATGGCTGGCCTTGTATGGTGACATCACAACGAACTTTGCGACCACGACAAGACAGACAGGCCCGGGGAGCAGATCGTTTCGCAGAAGAGTCAAGTGGTTGATCGTCTCTTTTCCGCTTGTTCCCTGTCCTATCGGTATCTTGCTCGGCTCGTGGCGGCGATGGCATCATGAAAAGATCAGATTGAATCGGGTGGCTTTATCATCAGTGTCACAGAGATGCCTGATTTCCACTAGACTTTCTGAGAACGGCCTGCTGGGCTCTCACGTGCCACGATCAGACTGGCGATACAGGTGATTGGGGACAGCAGCCTGAATGCTGTGCCCACTGGCCAGCAAGATCCTCGGCAATTGCCCACCTTGAGCAAAAGGGTACTCTCGTCAAAGAACTATGACTTAAGGAATCAATTAAACCGCAGTATATCAGAATCTGAGGTGCCTAAGCCCGGCTAATAAAGACCCAGGGCTCCCCGACCTCTTATTTCTGGAGCATATTTGTATACCAGGCACGATTCATTATATCTAGTTATCCAACTATAGTTAGGCCTGACTCAATTGTTTCCTAAACAATTGAAAATCTCGACAGTGGTCGGGAGAAGAAGAACTCTCGCTCACGTTGGATTAACGTGGCTTGGCTGTCGTTTATAAATATAATTATCATCGCCGTTTCATGCTTTATCTTCCATATATTCAGAGTCTTTTAGCCGATTTAGAGCTGTATCTACAAATGCTGCATGACGTTTCCCTGTAAATCCCGTATTCATGGCCTCGGCGATCCCCAACATGCTGATAATTACCTCGGCTATGAGTTGATGAAAACAGCCGGATCGTCAACACCCGAACTCCTCTCGCAGCGAAAGTTGTACATGTTGATGTCATATCTTGTTAATAACCAACTTACGAGAGAATTTACTAAGAACTCTACCTTACTATAGGGGAGCTTGGTGCTTGTCATGGCTCCACGGCTAAAAGATGGAGAGGAACTTAATATGAAGGGTGGACTCCAGTCCTAGTTCTTAAATAAGATTAAACAGTTAACTACTTATATATACTATATTTAGATACATAATTATACACCTAGCATTATAAAGAACATAAGTAAAGAAATCCCAAGGTCTCTTTGACCTAACTATCGGCAAACCTCGGAAATTATTATAAATCTGGGCTCGTTTAAACCACCATTCGCTCTCAATTTTTGAAAGGAGTTTCACTGGGATATGCCATTTATTTTTGAAATGTAGAGTGGTTCAAGGTCAGATATGTAATTGGGGATAGCCCTTGTGCAGGCCGAGGTGCATACATGCTTGAGTTTCGGCTATAGTAGCATTTACAGGATCAGCATCATCATGAGTAGTGATATCTATAGAACACACTATCCAATATCCAAAGTTTAGGTTTATACAGCTCTGTCAAAGAAAACGCCCTGAACTCCTATATCAGCACGCATAGAGCAAATACACGCAATGAGCCTTGCTTCAGAGGATAAGCTGGTTAACAGATCATTACCACACAGCGAGCATCTCGCAGCTACTTTGAGGCCTTTTATCATTGGCGGTGCGTCGGGTCTCGTTGCTACAACATGCATTCACCCTATCGACGTGATCAAAGTGCGACTGCAGCTCGCAGGACAAGGCGGAAGCTCGCCATCGGGCTTGTTCTCCGTTGCCAGGGGCATTGTATCGCAGGGCAGGCTATTGGACTTGTATCAGGGCATATCTGCAGGCTACTTACGACAACTCGTCTATGGGACAGCCCGTCTGGGTTTCTTCTACACGTTTGAAGATGCGTTCAAAAGGCGAGCATCAACGCAGGATCGAGACATCAATTTTGTGGAGAGAGGAGTGGCGGGGCTCCTGGCTGGTGCCTTGGGATCCTTTATTGGTACCCCAACAGAAGTTGCGTTGATTCGCATGCAGAGTGATGGGATGAAACCACGAGCCGAACGCGCCAACTACCGTTCGGTTTTTGACGCTCTATCCAGAATCACTCGAGCGGAAGGCATCCGTGGACTCTGGAGTGGCACAACTCCTACAGTCATACGAGCATGCTCAACAAATTTCGGTCAACTGACCTTCTTTTCCGAAGCCAAACATCAGCTAGCCAGACATACCGAAATGTCGCCCTATACGCAGTCTCTTGCAGCCGCGGCAATCGCGGGCACGTTCGCTGCCATCCTAAGCTTACCGTTTGACTTTGTCAAAACACGCATGCAGTGGCAAAAAAAGCAGATAGGAGGAGGGGTGCAGTATAGTGGTTTCTTTAACTGCGTCGTCATGGTTGCAAGAACAGAAGGTTTGGCGGCATTTGGCCACGGTTTCGTGCCGTATTTCTTCAGGATTGCTCCTCATGCGTGAGTTTTGAAGCAGTTTCCTTTTACTCGTAAGCACTGACTGGATTATTACAGGGTCATTATGCTTACAGTATCTGATTACATCGCAAGGTGTTGGGTTAAATGACATGCTGAGGGTCTCATCGAATTCTTCTACATATAATATCTAGGTTTGTGTTTCTCTTTAAATGTCTTAATTTTATCGAGGCTCTCCTGAGTGTATGATGATCTCTACAAAGAAGAAAACTATTCCTGTCTACTTTGTCAACTCCAGTAATCCTTGCATGAATGTCGTTTAGCTTCTTTGCTGTATAGTTCCTCTGTGCTCTGTTCGTGACCGCAGAAAGAGTGGCGATAGCCTTCTTGCACATCATATTCCACGGGACATACATCAGGCCTGACAAACTTGTTTAGTCCTTTCCCTTCGCTTCGGGTATCATTCTCGTGGGATCATGCGTTGGGAGCCTCATCCCGAGGGAACTCAACAAGCCGGCAACGACCTTGTTCTACCATTTGCCACTCGAGAGCCTCTTATTACCGACAGGCCTTGGCATTAGCACCCTCACTTAAAATAGTTATGGTCAATATGGCTCAGGGTCTTGAATAGTCTTATCCTCTTGCCCAATTTGCTCCAAGGGCATTACAAAGATTGCATACCAATGGCCAGTATGCGCACTCAAGCATTTTCTATTCCTCACTTCACACGACAATCTATGTCTTTATTGAGAAGCCGGTCGACAAGGCCCTTTCCCAAAGCAAGAACTGTCCCGGTCAGCTCAGCCTTGAGACAAATTCACTCCCGTGCCACTGAATACCTCCCCAGCAACCTTCCAGAATGGACTGATTCCCAGCGATCTGTCCGTGAGGCCATTTCAAAGATCTGTGCTAAATACACTGACGAGTATTGGCTCGAGAGAGAAACGGAACACAAGTTTCCGTGGGAACTTTACAACGACCTAGCCTCCAACGGCTGGTTGGGTATCTGTCTTCCTGAACAGTATGGTGGTGCTGGTCTAGGCATCTCGGAGGCTGCTGTTATGCTCCAGACTATTTCAGAATCAGGAGCGGGTATGAACGGAGCATCATCGGTCCACATGAATATTTTTGGCTTGGAACCAGTTGCCAAGTTTGGCACAAAGGAACAGAAGGAACGCTGGCTGGTCCCCCTTATTCAAGGAAAAGAGCGAGCATGTTTCGGTGTCACGGAGCCAAACACAGGACTTAATACCCTACGTCTACAGTCATCGGCCACGAGAGATGGTGATTTGTATCGCCTAAAGGGGTCCAAGATCTGGATATCCACTGCCCAGGTGGCTGAGAAGATCCTCATTCTCGTCAGAACAACTCCTCTCGACCAGGTCAAGAAGCCGAGCCACGGCCTCTCGCTCTTCTACACCGACCTAGACCGTTCTGCTGTGACTGTCACCGAGATCCCCAAGATGGGTCGCTCAGCAGTTGACAGCAATACTCTTTTCTTTGAAGATTGGAAAGTCCCCGCCAGCGACATGATAGGTAAAGAGGGCGAGGGATTCAAGATGATCATGCATGGAATGAATGCAGAGCGAGTTCTCGTGGGCGCCGAGGCATTGGGAATAGGCTATGCAGCGTTACGACGCACGAGCAACTACGTCAACGAGCGTGTGGTATTCGGCAATCCAGTTGGCAGGTACCAAGGAATACAGCATCCCTTAGCCGAATGCTGGATGAACCTAGAGAGTGCGCGATTGATGATATATCTCGCCGCGCGTTTGTATGACCAAGGGTATGAGGATGGTGAATATGCAAACGCAGGGAAGTATCTCGCCTCCGAAAGCGCATTCAAGGCAGCTGAGAGAGCCATCTTGTCTCACGGAGGAATGGGTTATGCGAAGGAGTACCATGTTGAGCGGTATCTCAGAGAGGCTATGCTCTCGAGAATTGCACCCATTAGTGGAGAGATGATTAAGAATTACATTGGTCAGAAGGTTCTTGGACTTCCTAAGAGCTACTAGGCGTTATCATAAAAGACACTATTTAATAACTAGCTATAAGTTACAGCATATACTACTCCTGCTGCTGCATTACTTCTTGAATTATTATGGAGTTTGACAGGTTTAGAACGCGTCTTGGCTGTGGGTAAATGGTATTAAAACCGACCTCAGGGGGCAAGAAAACATCTTATCTTGAGATAAGGCACCAAGAAAGTCTAGTCTAAGACCTACTAAATCTCTCTTAAATTTACCTAAATCCTCTTATTACCTAGGATATTAAGTCTTATGTTTTCTTGCCTCCCCTTAACTCACCAGGTACTGCGAAAACAATATCTCATCGATGAGAGATTTGAGGTGCGTGATAAGCGATAAATCTAATAGTGATAAACTAAATTGTTACCCTTGACTTGTAATGAGCATCCTGTGTCATTCAAATTACAGCAGGACAGGTGCTCAAGAGACAACGGCAAGATTTCAATTTCGCCTGATTAGATTGACCATCACGGAACAAAGTTTTTTATCAAATCATAAAAATTGTTACGCTGTTGGGCAGTGCCGAGGTTGTGCGATGTTGAGCTTATTAGAAGGCCTAGGAGGGTCCCATGTCCAGCGATAAATAATGACCGAGGTCTTTGTGATACATGTCAAGATGTTCAGCATTTTTGTACAGGAGGGTCTACAATTTATGGGATATTATTATATGTGCTGAGGTGTTTGCGCTATCAATAGATAGAGATGGAGTAATTAAACAGTATCCAAGCCTTCACATTTAAAATATTGAACAGGCCTGATAGCAACCATCATTATGAATCGAGTAAACATACGGCCTTGTCGCTATGCCAAGGGCATCACTTGGACCGCACCATGGGAGCTCTCGAAACGGCCGCCGACAGTGAGGTCGTTTTCCAAACAGAGCACTACAGACAACGCCCAGAGCCCTGGCGCTCTCACAGGGTTGAAGATTCTGGACATTTCCCGAGTGTTGGCAGTACGTTGAGTAATATCTTCCGCTACAACCCGGAGCCTAGCTAACATTGTACTGTTATTTCGCAGGCTCCATTTTGCACACAAATCCTTGCGGACTATGGTGCAGATGTGATTAAAGTCGAAACAGTTGGTAAAGGAGTATGTGCTGCCAAAATGATCATTTAAATATTTACTTTTAACTTTGACTAATAGTTGAGATTATTGTTTCTAGGATGACACCAGACATTGGATGATGCCAGGAGAGACCGAGAAATGGAAGAAAGCTGCCGGTCCCATGTCGAATTATTTCTCGGCCGTAAACCGCAACAAGCGATCAATCACCCTTGATTTAAAGCAGCGTGAAGGAAAAGAGATTCTAAGGAAGCTAGCGAGAAGTGCAGATGTCTTGTAGGTCTCCAGCCGATATGTCTTGTTTCTCCCTATCTCGACAATTTCACGGTTTACCTGTATAACTCGACACTAACCAGTCTATAGGATTGAGAACTTCAAACCTGGCACTATGGACCGACTGGGTTTAGGATATGAAAGCCTCCAAAAAGAGAACCCAAGGTTGATATATGCGAGTATTTCAGGTAAGTGGCCAGTCTTATCTGCGTTGGTGCAAGTCAGCTGACACTGACCGAGGCTATGGCACGACTGGTCCATACGCCAACCGAGGAGGATACGACCCGATAGCAGCAGCGGAAGCAGGCCTTCTTCATATCACTGGCGAAAGGTACGGTCCTCCTGTACGCACTGGAATTGGCATGGTCGACATGGCAACTGGCCTGTATCTCCATGGTGCCATCCTCGCTGCTGTTTATGCCCGCGACCGCGATGGGGCTGGCCAAAGAGTGGACACGTCACTGTTCGAGGCCCAAATCAGCCTGTTGACCAATGTCGGGCTTTCCTGGCTGAATTTGGGTATCGAGGCACAGCGCTGGGGTTGTCAACATCCTAGTATCGCCCCCTACGATGCTTTTCAGACTAAAGATGCATATCTTGTCTGTGGCGCAACCAACGACGCCCAATTTGCAGCTCTCTGCAAGCTCCTGGGCCTTGAAGATCTAATCACAGATGACCGTTTTGCGACGAATCCTAAGCGAGTGGAAAATCGTCATCTGCTGGGTCCGATCTTCAATCAGGTTTTCCTGACGCGAACGACGAAGGAGTGGGTATCCGTGTTTGACAAAACGGGTCTGCCGTTTGGTCCGATCAATAACATGGAACGAGCATTTGAACATTCGCAGACTGTAGCACGGGATATGATATCGCATGTGAGACTGGACGCGGCGGAGTCGGGCGAGATACGACTCATTGGGCCGGCGGTGAAGTTCAGTCGAACGAGGACGAGCTTGCAGCGAGCACCTCCTCGCCTTGGGGAACATACGTCGGACTTGTTAGAGGAGCTGGGTATAGAAAAACAGGAGGCAGCGAACTTGAAGAAGAAGGGAGTCATTTAGTCTAGCAATGATTATCTTAGTTGCAGCGATTCAACCTGCATAGTGTGATAGGAGGGTGCAATGAATGTCCGGTGAAATCAAATCGTTGCAGTAGTTCCCGCTGTGCCAGGAGGAATCTCTGTGAAAAGAATGGCTAGACCTGTCGGCTTCTGGTAGCTGTGATAATTGCCTCGGCAGCAGCTAGGAAACAGTTTGCTGGTGACATCCACTCGAATTACTTGAAATAGTCAAGTATTAGTACCATGCCCTAATTTAGTAGTAACAATGTCCATATCATTCTGTCACAGCAATCAAGTAAATAAAATCTCATCATTTGGGAGACTGACCCATACTCGACCTCGACTTCTTCAACGATGAATGCACCTGCGAAGACCGCTCTCTGGAGCCCGCAGAACTTGAACGAGACAAATGCAGTCAAGTTCATCAACCACGTCAATGATAAATATGGCCTGAGATTGCAAACATATGAAGACTTGTACAAATGGTCGGTAGGAGACGAGACCATCAATCATTTCTGGACTCAGGCGTACGCATGGCTTAAGATTTCAAGCAGTGGGACAGATGATCTCACTGGAGAAGTCGCATGTTTCAACCCAAGCGTCTGTACCTCCAGGAAGCCTTTTGGTCTTTATTAACACTGCCAAGGACTCACTCTCTAACCTCATGTTTCCGCCTCCAAAGTTCTTTCCAGCCGCCACTCTCAATATTGCCGAGCTGATTTTCCGAGGCCGCAAGGATACAGACATCGCTATCTATTTTAGCCGAGAAAGCCTCAGCGACGTCGAGAAAGTAACTTGGGCTTCTCTGAGAGAACGCGTACGAAAGCTGCGCAGTGCATTAGTAAACTCGGGAGTTGTTGCCGGCGATGTCGTCGCGGCCGTCATATCCAACTCTGTCGACGCCATCGTTATCTGCTTGGCAGCCCTGTCAGTTGGCGCACTGTGGTCTTCAACCTCGTGCGATATGGGAGTTGGTGGGATAGTTGACAGATACTCACAAATCCGGCCAAAGATTATCTTTGCAGACCAAGGATATGTCTACGCTCGGAAAATAATCGACCTGAGTGATCGAATTAGGGAATGGTCTAGCAAGCTTCGGGAGCGAAGCGATATTTTGGCGCGGGTCGTTGTGATTCCAAATCCGAAACTCAACTCAATTCCTTTACATCAGCCAAACACATACACATTGGAAAATTTCTTGAAGACTGACAGAGGAGACCAGTTGCTATTCGAAATCGTTCCGTTTTCACATCCGGCCTTTATTCTCTTCTCATCTGGAACAGTCTGTGCTACGAAAGGTATAGAAAAGATCGAGCGGCTGATCATGACAAATAGACTGGCCCACCAAAGTGTATCGTTCACTCAACGGGAGTAAGCAAGCCCAGATCCATATTTTAAACGGAGCTTATGCTCACGATGCTAGGGAGTAGCCTTGAAGACCAAGGTCGATTCAGTCATTCAACACGATATCCGCAAGACTGATATTGTGTTTCAATACACTACTGTACGTCAGCCTGCAAATAGTGGTAACAGCTCTAACGCTAACTTTATTTGAGACATCATGGATAATGTGGGTTTTGAACCTCATGAATCTCTCTTGCGGCGCCGCAATGCTGTTGTACGATGGCTCTCCTTTTCACCCGCGCCCAAGCATATTATTAGAGCTGGCACAAGCTTTCAAGTGAGTATCAGATACCTTCAATATCGAATCTGGAAGTCGTACTAACATACCACCAGAGTTAGTGTGTTCGGAACATCGCCGAGATATCTCTCCACGCTCAAAGGCCTCGGCATTACACCAAGTAAGACCACTCGGAAATAGCAAGTACTGGTGGAGTTAAAGCTAACCGTTTGCGTTCGTGCCAACGACAGGACGTGACTTCGATCTCAGTCGCCTACGTATCATGCTGTCAACTGGATCTGTGCTCTCCGCTGAGTTATATGAGTGGTTCTATTCCATTGCGTTTCCTCCTTCAGCCCAGTTGATCTCGATGAGCGGAGGAACGGACATTGCGGGATGCTGTAAGAAAGAACAAGACTCCGAGGCTATATCCTGAGGTCACTAATATGTTGAATAGTTTTATGTGGAACGCCTATGTTGCCCGTGTATGCCGGGGAGATTCAATGCAAAGCTCTCGGCATGGCAGTAGACATCTACGATTCTGGGACAGATGAGCACGTGTCAGTGGAAGAACTTGGTGCACCAGGCGAGCTGGTCTGTGCAAAACCCTTTCCGAGTCAACCACTTGCCTTCTTAGGGAAGGATGGATACAAGCAATATAAAGCTTCTTACTTTGAACGCTACGGGCCAAGTGTATGGTGCCAAGGAGATTTCGTTCAACGGTCACCAGCTACGGGAGGAGTTTTCATGCTTGGACGATCGTGAGTCTAGTCCCAACTTCTCACACAGTTTGCAATTTGAGACCTAACGCGTGTGCAGCGATGGGGTCTTAAATCCTTCCGGAGTGCGTTTCGGCTCCGCAGAAATTTATGCAGTTATCGAAACTATTCCAGAGGTCTTGGACAGTATCTGTGTTGGCCAGAAACGAGAAGTTGATATCAACGAAAGGGTACTACTGTTTGTCAAGATAAGACCTGGCGCATCTCTCACATCACATCTCAGGAGCCATATAAACAGCGCTCTCCGGGATCGGTACTCGCCACGGCATGTACCAGCATATATCTTCGAGGTGGATGACATTCCATACACAGCTAATGGAAAGAAGTGCGAGATCAATGTAAAGCACGCGATCAACGGGAATAAGTTTGCCGTGGCCGGATCAGTGGCAAATCCGGCAGCTCTCAAGGCTTATGAGAAGTACCGAGATCTGCCTGTAGAGGGGCCAAGAAAAAGTAATATTGTCTCAAAGATCTGAGGTATTGGAGCCAGGCGAAGTGGGAAGTTGAGGACTAGAGAGTTCAATAGATAAACTCATGGGGATCTGATTTAGCATTTACCAATTACACTTCAAACAGTCAAGTCTTGACTTGGCATTGAAGGTCTGTCGTGACATATTATGATATCTTCTTCCTATTCACACTTCGTGCATCGTCTAGAAACTTTATCTAGTTGATAGAGGTGATTATTGACTTGACGCGGATATTAACGGCTTTTGGTTGGGTTAGTCGCCTCGGTTATGTGTCCTGATCATGGCACCCTCGGTCGAATCCATGATATGTTTCACAACACAGAGCACAAAGAACGTAGAATGAGTCAAGTGAAAAAGCAAAATTCTTTTATAATTCAATGATTAATTTGACAAGACCTCAACGTATTGTATACCTCCACTATCACAGAATCACATCAATCAAACACAATGGGCACCTTAACGAAAAGCGCGAGATCACTCCCACTTCTAAAGAATGGTCTAAGACCTGATTACAATGTGATAAATATTTCGTCTTCGAAAGGATTCCGGCGTTTCTCCTCTTTGAGATCAGACGTACAGATCGTTGAGGTTGGGCCAAGGGACGGACTACAAATCATCAAAGCATCCATCCCCACAGCGACCAAAGTCGAGCTGATTCGCAGACTCGCCGACACAGGATTAATCAACATCGAGGCCACTTCCTTCGTGTCTCCAAAATGGGTTCCTCAGCTTGCCGATGGAGCCGAGGTCATGAAGGAGATCCTTGCGCGCCCTGGCCACATCTACCAATCTCGTCAAATGAACTACCCCGTTCTGGCACCGAACCTCAAAGGTTTGGAAAACGCGAGCCGGGCTGGGGCAAAAGAGATTGTGGTCTTTGCGTCTGTGACGGAGGCGTTCAGTAAGGCAAACCAGAACTGTACCGTTGAAGAAGCACTTCAACAATGTGAAGCTGTCACCAAGAAGGCGCTGAGCCTCGGTATCAGAGTTCGCGGGTAGGCATATCCTTTAATTTCTGGGTTGGTCAACGACTGACTGCTCACAATTACTATAGTGTCATTTCTTGTATGTTCTCAGACCCATTCTCGGGCCCTACATCACCAAGCGCTGTTTTGCCAGTGGTGAAAAGGTTACTGGAGATGGGCTGCTACGAAGTTGGCTTAGGAGATACTCTCGGTGTCGGTACCCCGAAGAAGGTCCAGGACGTTCTCGACAAACTCCTTGCCGAGATATCTCCCAACAGACTTGCCGGTCACTTCCACGACACCTATGGCCAAGGAATTGCGAATATCGTCCGTGCCTACGAGATGGGTCTTAGAAAGTTTGACAGTAGTGTTGCCGGCCTCGGTGGCTGCCCTTATGCGCCTGGAGCCCGAGGCAATGTTGCGACCGAGGACGTTATCTACACTCTGGAGAACTCGGGAATCAGTACTGGTGTGGACTTGAATAAGCTTTGCAATGTCGGGCAGTGGATATCCAAGGAGATTGGCATTCCATATGGGAGTAGGGCGGGTGCCGCTTTGGTTGCCAAGAGAAGCAACACTATCTCCAGCTCAGGCACGCCGAAACCTACACCTCCAAAACAACATCGGTCATGGAAGATTGTGGAAGACACTGGAGAATATCGTGTCTCTCGATCGGGTACCGCCTTGAAAGTCACCCTGACACGACCGAAGAATGGAAATGCCTTGACTGATTCCATGCTTGAAGGTCTGACCGCCCTTTTCAAGAAGCTTCCTCAAGACCCATATGTATATCATCTCGTGATTGAGTCAGAGGGCAAGTTCTTCTGTACGGGCATGGACCTTAGCGGAAACACTGACACGGACAACGGCTCCGACGATGGCAGCTACTACGCCAAGGTTGCTGCATTGTATGAAGCCGTAGACCACGTTCCCCAGACCACCATCGCCGTCGTCGACGGGCCATGTTTCGGCGGCGGGGTTGGATTGGCGTTCACTTGCGATGTTCGGCTTGTATCCCCCAAAGCGCGTTGGACACTCAGCGAGATCAAGATTGGGGTCAGTCCAGCCGTGATTTCCAAGTATCTCGTGCGGGAATGGGGTGCTTCTATCGCTCGTGAAGGCATGCTCTCTGGAAGGGAAATACGCCCAGAAGAGCTCGCTCGGGTAGGAGCCGTTCATGGAATAAGCAGCGATGGGGCGTCGTTGACAACGCTACTGGACAATTATCTGGATCAGCTGGATAAATGTGCTCCTCGATCTGCAGCTATTAACAAGGAACTCACAAGAATGGCCTGGTTATCACCGGACAGTGAGAAGCAGGCGAGTCTGGTCAAGAGGACATTCGCCAACATGATGGTCCCCGGATCCGAGGGGGAGCATGGAATTAGGCAGTTTCAAAAGAAGGTCAAGTCGTTCAGCTGGAAGGATTTTTGGGGAAACAAGAGCCCTTTAGAGAAGTCCATCTATTGATTGCTTTCACACTGAGAGTCTAAATATTTAGCTTGAATTGTGTGAGGAACGAATTAGTTGAACACTCCAAGACACACTCATTGTTGCCTTCTTTACCTTTGTGTCGGTATTTGAAGCATATCTTGATCCTCCAACCTTTGTGTGTAGTAGCTACCTTGTCATACACCTCCATGACCTATGAATCCTAAAACGCTGCGGAACTGTTCTACACAGTAGGTGCACGATCATATTACAAAACCGATTAGCCATCTACATGTGACTTCTGGCCTCTATTGTAGTCGTAGTAGTAGCAGGTTTGTATCAATGCCATGACCATTCAATTACTTAGTTGCTAATCTGGGATTCTACCTGACCTCAAAATCGTCAAAGTTAGGCTTCATTACCATACTGTGGTAATCATACGTAAACCACGGAGCATTCACACTCTGCCTGCCAAAGCGGTTAACATAATATCCACTCCCTTCCATTTCCCAGATGAGCTCCTTGGCCTTCTCATCAAGCTTCGCATTATACTCATCGAAGACGTCTTTGCGACACTCAATCGACTTCTTCCCGTTCTCGATCAGATGAACAATGGAGCTGGCTACATAACGAGACCAGATCTCTCCCCACGAGTAGAACCCTCCTGAGCGGGGTTGGTGGTTAGGACCGTAGAGGGAGAAGAAGTTAGGGAAACCAGGCATTGTGAGACCAAGATATGAGCGAGGGCCATCCTTACTCCAAAGATCCTGCAGAGTGGTTCCATCTCGACCTATATATTTGCAAGGCCAGAAGTAGTCTGATACTTTGAACCCGGTTCCAAGGATTACCACATCAAACTCGTGTTCTTCACCACTCGCAGAGACTATTCCATCTTCTGTGAACCGATCGATATCCTCGGCAGCAAGTTTCACATTGTCGCGACGAAGCATATCGTAAAAGCCATTGTCCACCACAAGCCGACGGACCAAGGGAGGATAATCAGGCAGAATCTTCTCCAACAGACCTGGTATTCCCTCGGACTTAGACTTGATGTACTCGGTGAGATTCTTGCGGGCGAGGTCATTTCTCTCATTGACGATACCTCCCTTGGCTCTCCATTCTTGATCATGGGTCTGCATGTACTGTAGTTGTTGAGATGCGACGTGGGCGGAATAACAGAACCAGTTCCAGTAATATGGCATCTTGTTGAAGATGAAGCGTACCTCGTCGTCTATCTTGGCACCGTAGCCGTCCATGTGCATGATCCAGTTTGGCGTACGCTGAAAGACAGTGAACTCTTTGGCCTCGGAAGCGACTCTGGACGCAAGTTGGGTACCAGTTGAACCAGTGCCAATAAGAGCCACTCGTTTGTTGCGATAATCCACGCTATGATCCCACTTCGCCGTGTGAAAGACTGGTCCCTTGAAGTCCTTCAGGCCAGGAAAGTCTGGCACGTTTGGTGTGGCAAAGAGACCGCTACCACTAACAATAGCATTGCATTTGATGTTCTCAACCTCGCCGTTCGAATGCCTAACTGCGAGGTCCCACTTGCTTGTGTCTTCGTCCCAGACCGCCCTGATAACCTCACGATTGAAGTGGAAGTGATTCTTGACCTTGTACTTTTCCGCGACGTACTCGAGGTATCCTCGTGTCTCTCCTGCTCTCGCAAAGTATTCTGACCAAGGGTAGTTCTTGAGAAACTTGAACTGGAAGAGATAGCTTGAAGTATCGACCCTTGCATCTGGGTATGTGTTCAAGAGCCATGTGCCGCCGATGCCTTGTTGACGCTCGAGAACCTCAAAGTTGAGACCAAGGTTCTTGAACTGAACCGCGGCAGCGAGACCGCTTATACCAGCCCCAATGACAACAATCTTAAAGTCTGCGATAGCCTCGGCCGAAGGCTCTTTGTCGCTCCACTTGGCGTTCCTGGGAAACTCTTCAAATGCCAGTTCTTCGTAGTTGTAGTTGAACTCGACATCTTGAATTGATTCGTCTCCAAACATATCCAATAGCTTTCTGGTCTCTTCCTTTGAAGGGGGAGGTGGAACAGCATCGTCAGATTTGCGCTGCGATAGATAGTTGAATGCAATCTCTTTGAGAAGTGGTGCGTCTTCATCAGATAGAACGTGAGAAAACATGGCGCCTCCACGAATGGCGCGACGGCGAGTGCTCATCTTGGCCAGTCGGGGATCGCCTGTGACCTGTAGCAAAGCAAGTCGAAGGGCATTTAGATTAGATTTGTCGATAGCCTTGCGAATAAAGTCATCATCGACAGGCTTGTTGCCGTTGAGTTTCCCGTTGACGGGCCGGGTATCGTGGGCAACGGCATCTCTGGCCATTTCGACTACCGCCGTAGACATATAATTGATGGGGTGAAGTCAGGAAGATTATCCGGTGATGTTATCCTAGTCTCGAGCTTGTTTCGAGATAGAAAAACATTACACCTTGAGGTAATCGCAATACTTGGTATAACTAAAGCTTGGCTCAATGATATATATCTAGCATTAGGATTGATCTTAATATCTTTCTTACTGACGAGATCTTATAATTCATCCCTTCATACTCAATTATTGTAAAGTTAGTTCCGAGGCCCGAGGCTAATCCTATTCTCAACGGATAGAGACGTATGAATAACGACTGAAAGCGAAAAAAAACAACGACATCACGTAACGACAAAACACGAACAATCCTATAGCCAAGCATAACCTTGGCGGTCCAGACCTCATCGCATAAGCAAGAAGCAAGATGCTTTTCCGATCTCAATACCCAGACATTGAGTGTAAGCCAAAGTTGCAATTACTCTGTGCACTTCTCCAAAAATCGTAGCTAACGCGACTGGACCAAAATAGGCCCGACAGACTTGACTGTATGGGAATGGGCCTTTGAAGACAAGAGATACTCCCCCTTATTCAAGAACCCGCCTGGCGAAATCGCAGGATTCACAGACGCCGTGACGGGCGAGCGTCTGGACTTTGGACAGGTGAAAGAGCATGCAACGTACACATCGTCAGCTCTGGTCCACGAACTAGGCATGAAGGTGGGAGATACTGTCTCACTCTTCGGACATAACCGAATATGGTATCCGGTAACTATGTTTGCTGTATTAAGAGTTGGTATGTGATTCTATCTCTAATATGTCCTGATTATTTGTATTGGTTGCAGAAACTAACCCGAGTTCTAGGTGGCAGGATTAACGGTGCATCCCCATCTTACACTATTGGCGAAATGGTGAATGCTCTCAAAACAGCTGGGACCAAGTATATAATGACCGTGAAGAGCTCCATCAAGATGGCGAGCGCAGCTGCTAAGGAAGTTGGTATCCCTTCTGAGAGAATACTGTTGATGGATGGGGACCTCGATGGTTGCACGTCGATTCAACAGCTCTCAGTAATTGGAAGGAATTACGGTCTTGATAGACAAGTCCCATACTACTCGATCCCGGTCGGCCAGACAAATGACGTCTGTGGCTATCTGAATTTCAGCAGTGGGACAACTGGGCTTCCAAAAGCTGTAAGCCATCGATCTCTATATGACTTATGAGGTGGCTGACAGATCTAACCAGGTCATGCTTTCTCACAAGAACATCATCGCCCAATGCCTTCAGCTCGCAGATGTTGCAGGCCCCGAGAAGAAGCGTTTCCTCGCTTGCTTACCACTATTTCACAGTGAGATGTCATGTATGCCAACGTATCCCGATACAGCTAACAGTGGGGTAGTCAGCGGTCTTGTGAGATTCCTCCACTGGCCAATTGCTAGTAACGACGAGTGCGTAATGCTGCCGCAATTCACCATGGAGAACGTACTCGAGGCCATCGTGAAATATCGGATAACTGATTTAACTCTGGTACCTGCCATTGTAATCAGGCTCATCAACGATCCCATCGTCGACAAATACGACCTGACAAGTGTAAAGGTAATTGCCTGCGGCGCCGCTCCCGTGGGGACTGAGGTTATTCAACGACTTCACGACAAGATGCCATGGACTGGATTTAGACAGAGCTATGGGATGACGGAATCGTGCTGCTGCTTAAGCACTCATCCACCCGAGTTTTATGACTACAAATATGGCAACAATACTGGAAAGTTGTTGGCTTCCACTGTCGTGAAAATCGTTGATGTGGACACGGGTAAAGAGCTTGGACCAAATGAGACGGGAGAGATCCTCGCCAAGGGCCCGCAAATCGCCATGGGCTATCTGAATAACGCCAAGGAAACGGCCGAGACATTCGGTGCCGATGGATTTCTGCGTACAGGGGATATTGGAAAGATTGACAGCCAAGGGTTTATTCACATCATCGACCGAATAAAGGAGATGATCAAAGTCAAAGGCCAACAAGTCGCTCCAGCTGATTTGGAGCAAGTTTTTCTAGGCCATCCATACGTGGCAGACTGTGCCATCTTGGGGATACCCGACGCTTACAGCAGCGAGATGCCGAAGGCCTTCATCGTTTTAAAGAGCCATGTCACGCCGAATGTTGCGGTCGGGCATGAACTTATGCAGTATGTTAAGGAGAGACGTGTGCGGTATAAATGGGTTAAGGAGGTTGAGTTTGTGTCTGAGATCCCGAAAGGTCCGAGTGGTAAGATCTTGAGACGGTTACTGCGAAACACTGATGGAAAGATTTCGGGACGAGTGGTGGTCAAGGATGTTTCCCCTGCTAGACTTTAGCGGCATTGCTTGTTCCCCTATCAGTCTCCCATTTTCCGGCAAATAGTTAAGCCGAGCCGGCGATGTCCCTTTTTTCAGTTGGCAATTAACTACGGGTCAATCTATAGATAGATTCACGTCATGAGAGATGGCCCACATATTGTAATTACACTTGGTGTAACCAGCCCAACATGGCCCTTGCTTCCAGTCTGTTCCTGTCAACGTGACAAATTCGGCATCAACCTGTTAAAGACATGCATCAGTATATTTTCAAGAGACGAAGTATTCCGATACGGTTACTCACATATTGCCTACGTATAAGCACAGCGAGAAAGTTATTTGCCGAGGCAAAAGGTCTTTGTTGAAATTGAAACGATTTAGCCTACCCTATCGTCGCGAGCCTCGGTAAATATCACATCCAAACCAACGACATATGTAATTAATTTATGACCTTACTCTGTGTACTCAACATGATAAAACTTACCAGAATCAAATTCTTGTGGACTGAGAGATCATTTCTTGACAAAAAACAGCTATCTTGGATCAGCTTTTGACAAACACAACAATGTCATACACCGGAGAGGCGGCTTATATTACGGGTATGTAACTGCAAACAACGGAAGCGCGTAAGGAAAGACTACCCCCTACTAACATTTTGTGTTCAGGTGGTGCCAGCGGAATCGCCAAATTTCTCGCTGCAACGCTCGTTAGTAAGGGGTGATTACCTGCAAGCCAATCCAAGCCCAGTCATGTTGCTAATTTCACCGCCACAGCATGAAAGTTGTTATAGCCGATCGTAATCTTGAAGGCGCCGAGGAAGCCTGCGAAGAGTTCAATAAAGGAGCTCAAGTAGCGTGGGCTGTTCAGGCCGATGTTGGTGACTGGGAGTCTCAGAAGCAAGCCTTTGAGGTCGCTGTGGAGAAGCTTGGCAGGGTGGATTATGTTTTCCCCATTGCAGGGATAACAGAACGACCCTGGAACGCGAAGCAACCGAGTGGGTCTGGGTTTGGTAAGCCAAATCTGTCTGTCTTGGACGTAAATGCTACTGGGGCTCTGTATACTTGCTCTCTTGCAATTCAACAGTTCAGAACCCAGGAGCCTGGAAAGTACGGCTTCCGTGGAAAGAGTAAGCTTCACCTATACTAGAATTCTGAGAGGAATCTGACATGAATATGTAGTTGTTGTTGTATCCTCAGCTTGCGGGTTTTACTGCATTCCCAGCTTACCTATCTACACCGCGGCGAAACAGTAAGGCCAACACAAAATTGACTTGGGAAGGAGAATGCTGACGCCAGCAGTGCGATGGTGGGATTTGTACGGACACATGGAAAGCTCTTACCAGAGGAAGCTATCACCCTGAATGCAATTTGTCCTACAATTGTTAAAACCGGTATTTCAACTGGCGACTTTTATGACAAAGCCGACGCGAAGGGCCTCCTGATTACAGTTCAAAGTTTGGTGAAGGCCTTTGAGAATTTGCTGGGAGACTGCGAAACATCTGGTGAAGCTATTGAGATTTTACCAGGTGAAGATGGGTCGAAGATCAAGGAACGGCCGGAGTACAGTAACGAGAAGTGCAAAGTGAGTTGTGAGATGGTTGAGGAAAGAACATATAATGCATTCAAAGCTTTAGAACTCAAGGCCAACGAGCCAAGGTCCTAAGATAGACGTATAATTTTAGTTTACCTGCTGGATTGACTTTATTTTGTTTCTAAATCTTTTCGAGAAATTCGTCACGGCTTCCCATTTTTTCTTTCATATAAACGAGATAAATTACATCTTGGGAACAATGTTACCGTTGAGAGTATCGATTGACCTGTCTAAGTCTTAGTTGTCAGACCAGGCGTATGAACCAGGACTGTAGCGCAAATGATGCTCCTAGCCGAATCATAGGTAGATGTTGGTTCCATCCTATGAAGCCGTAAGGTAATTCAGCCATATTGCAACGCTGTACTCTTGAGTGCGAGTCTTGACTGCTCTGACGTATCCCGCGAAGCAGGGGCTCGTTTAGCATCGAAACCCAGACTCGGCCCGAGGCACCGGCATCAACACCTGTAAAACCATGCAACGATACGGATGTTGTAGTGGCGAGCTGATTATATACAAAACCAATAAACTTTGGATAGAATAAAACCTAGGGTCAATACAAACATTGTCGTTAAGCAGCCCACGGAAGAAAGATATTAGGATCAGCAATCATGCCTCAAACAAACACCAAGGACTATGATGATGAAGCCATCCGCCCGCCGGATTCTGATACCAGAATTGGCTGGGCTGGGGTGCCACTGTCCCAAACCTGTGGATACTACGGTCACATCAAGCGCGCAGTCCTACCAACAAACTCAGAACTTGGCTTCACTCCAGACTACGGGTCTGTTGATGCTGCCAAAGTCGCTGAGGAATTCATTCACGTCTTCGCCAAGGCGGTAGAGGCACAGGATGTAGATGCTATTCTTTCAGCCGTCCACGAGAATGGCTACTGGAAAGACGTCGAACTTCTCACATGGGACATCAGAACTCTGCAGGGCCATGACAAAATTGGTACCATGTTGACAGAACGACTTTCCAAGACTGCAATCACGAATATTCGACTAAATCCTCATGTTCCTGCAACGGTGGAAACACTTGGTCCAGATCTCTCATTTATTCTTCTTCATCTCGAATTCGACTTCGCTCATGGCACTGGCGTCGGCGTTGCCCGTCTTAGCCCGTTCAAGGCCAAGACAGGCACAGCCACTGATCTGGCTGATGCCAAATCATGGATGATCTACAGCGTTGGCACCGCCATAGAGACAGTTCATGGTTGGGATGCAGAGTACGGAGACAAGGAAAGGTACCAGGCCGGCAAGTACCATGATCCTTTAGGTAAAAGCCGGACCTACCAACAGATAAGGGATGATGAAGCAGCTGGCAAAGAGGGATTTCAGCCAACAGTGGTCATCATAGGCGCTGGACACACCGGCCTATCTATGGCGGCTCGCTGTAAAGTCCTGGGAATACCACATCTCATTATAGAAAAGGGCGATGGCCCCGGCTGCAGCTGGGCAAGTCGTTATGCGTCGTTGTCTTTGCACGGCCCAACATTCACCAACCATCTACCATATTTGCCATTTCCGCACTGGTTCCCTGTGTTTCTACCTGCTCAGCAGTTGGCGAAGTTCTTGAAGAACTACGCAAACATCATGGACTTGAATATCTGGGCAAACTCAACCCTTGACGGAAAGACTGCCGTGTACGACGAGGACGAGGGCAAGTGGACTTTGAGAGTCACACGCCAAGATGGAACGAAGCATATTCTCCACCCCCGGCATCTGATGATCGCCACGGGTATTTCCGGAACTCTGCCAAACATCCCCGAGGTGCCCGGCATGAACGACTTTCGCCAGAACGGGGGGATAATCACTCATTCATCACACCATCGCACGGACCCTGAATGGAAAGGAAAGCGAGCCATCATTGTAGGCGCCGCAACATCCGGCCATGACATCTCGTTCGAGCTGACCGAGAATGGCTGCGATGTCACTATGATCCAAAGAAGCGCAACACATGTCATGTCCGTGGAGAAGAGTGTCCGACACCTCTGGAAGAGCCGCGAGAAGACGGGCAGACGAGAAGGTCAAGATATCGATATCCTCGACCAAGCCAACTTTCTGAAGCACTCTTACCCAGTGGAGTACGAAGTAATGCCACGGGGACAGAAGATAGCGCGGGAAATCGACGCGGATCTGCTACAGTCGCTAAGAGATGTTGGATACCGTCTCCACGATGGCTACCACGGCGGTGGCGCATACTCAATGTTTCCGTTTGACCAAGGTGGCTTCTACTGGGATACAGGATGCTGCAAGCTCATTGCTGATGGAAAGATCAAGCTGGTGCACTCCGAAATCGAGCATTTCACAACAGACGGTGTGAAGTACAAGGACGGCTCATCCCAAAAGGCCGACGTTGTGGTATTTGCAACAGGATACATGAACTCCAAGAGCGCAATTCAAGCTATTCTAGGCGATGAAATGGCTAAGAAATGTCACGAGCGCTGGGAAAAAGGAAATGCTTTCTTTCTCGGACCAGAAGGTGATTCCATCATCAATTACTGCCCTCTCCCTCAGAAAGGTCTGTACGCCATGTTTCATCAGTTTGCCTTTTGTCGTTTCCACTCGGCGCGACTCGCTCTTCGCATCAAGGCGGAGGAGTTGGGGATTGATGTCACGCCGTATGGAAATAAGCCGCTTGGACCTCCTAGCACGGCAGCTGGACAACAGCCACGACCCGAGGGCGTCTCGCTCTGAGGCACGTCGTCTTTGCATGTTGGCGGGGGTTATTGGAAAGGTAGAGGGCGTAGCTCTTATTCCCAACAGTACTTGCAGGATAATAGAATATTATTTTATAACTATACACTCAGAGCTTTCTCAAATATAGAAGTTTTTAATCCTCATATTCACATTTAGTAAAGAATATTAACGCTCCTTGCGAAATAATAAGAGCTTAGTTTAAGTATAGGCTGAACTAGTTCCTGAAAAATAAAGAAGTCAATAAACTAGAATCGTGCAAGTCTAAGATGTCTCTGTATAGTTATCTCAAGTTTGTGAACTTGTAAACGTGAATCGCTAACTGTTATTTGCTTCTTGGTGTTTTTATTTATTTACCCTTAATAGCCTCGGGTTTTGCACTGTTCTGAATCCAACGCTAACCAAGAAACCGATAAATCCACAATCGTGATGTAATCTTTTGTCGTATCAGGTTAAAGCCAGGGCAAGGACGAAAATCTTATAATAATCCAATGTTTATATGAATTAGTAAACTAATACAGTCTATAATTCATCAGACCGCACTTGCTGTTATCGGCATCTGCTCCTGTTATCAAGAGTCACAAATAACATACCATCAACATGTCTGAATACGATCCTAATGACAGTGGAAGCAGAGAGCCTCAAAATAGCAGATCTCATATCGAGGATGTTGTTTCGCTACGCTCCTTGAAGGAAGATGATTGCTTCACAAACAGAGGCCGTTTGAACTGTCCACCATGGGCTCGTGGCGTGTATGGAGGTCAAATCATGGCCCAGGCATTATTGGCGGGGTATGAGACCGTGACAGCCGAGTTTATGGTGCACAGCATTCACTGCCACTTCCTGAAGGCGGCTCAGCCTCAGACTTCCGTTGTTTACCGCGTGGAGCGAGTACGCGATACGAGAAGCTTTGCTACGCGCATGATTCGAGCTACACAAGAGGATGAACTTGTATTTTATGCAACGGCGAGCTTCGCAAAGAACCATACGTCGCAGAAGAGCAAGAGTCTTCTTCAGCATTCTGTGTCTTTCCCTCAAGGGGAGAAGCTTCCCTCGCGTCCACTTGTCCAATCCGCTGCAGGCCAGGCTTGTCCTGATCAGCCTTGTGATTGTGTGCGGTCCACCAGTAGGACGAACAGCTCTGCGTCACCGAGTAACAAAAGGTTTTGTCACTGGGTTGAAGCTAGAGGACGTATCGCAAGCTCACCACTACGATCCGCCAAAAGTGAACATGAGTTCTCATGCAGTAGCCAAAGCTTGAGGAACATGTTGGAGAATACGGCTGATGTCGACAATGACGATCATGATGGCAATCATCACGCCCACGCCGCGGTATTGCTTTACATGTCAGACAACTATTTTCTAGCCACCACTTTCAGAGCCCGTGACGCCTCTCGGTTCTCCAGCCCGACATCAGACTACTCTGATTCATCCACCATAGGGCATCGGTCAAAAGGCACTGGAGGAGCCATTGACGCATTGGCATTAGAGGAGCTAAAGGACAATGAGGGAGCGCCTAAAGATGGAGGACAGGTGACTATGGCGGCTTCCATGGATCATACTGTGTACATTCACAACCTGCATCAACTACGAGCTGATAATTGGATGCTCGTTGAGATGGAAAGTCCTTGGGCGGATGATGAAAGAGGATTGGTGATTTCGCGTATCTGGAGCCACGATGGAACATTGCTTGCCACGTGCTTTCAGGAAGGCCTTGTTAGGCTGGCACAGCCTTCTCGTTCGAGTAGATTATGAATAATGGGTCTATCTTATCGAATGTACAAGGCACTTCGATCTACTACTCGTGACTGGCCAAAGAGACCTTACTTGGAAGCCATTCCGTAACTTCAGATAAGATAAAGGTGCTGCTTGCATAAAAATGACGGTCTGCTATTACCAACCGTGTTTCTGTCTAACAAAGTGCTCAGAAAATAATGATTATTCGCTCGTCAACTAAATGACTTGAGTAGCTATATAAATGGTGAATAGGAAGCTGCTGGTGTCAAGAAGGCGTTTATCTAGCTCATTTAATAACTAAGTCGGCCTAGGCCGTTGCCTGTGAATTCGGCAAAGAAAATAGCATCTCCATGCTGGTTGTTGAGATCGCATGGACCGCTCAAGCTCGTCGGAGTCAAGTACTCGACCAGTTTCTTTGTCTTGGGATCGTATTGCCCAACACGATTGCCCAAAAAGACCAGATTTCCCTCCACAAAGTAGACCTTGCCATCAGTGCCAACTCTAATAGGTCCAGGCAGAGACAAAGCAGCAGATGAGCCAATGCTCAAGGGATTGCCAACAACGGTGGCGTTCCCAGCCGCCCGAATATCATTGATGAATATCTCCGTCACCTTTCCTGTCTTGACATCGATGGTTCCAAAGTTTCCGCCAAGGGTGCCTGTCCACCAAATCAGACCATCGTCATCTGTGGCGACACCCTGGACCAGAGATAGAGGTGTAGGAATCGTGTATTCCTTGATCTCTTTGGTGTGAACGTCAATTGTGCCAACTCGATTGCCGACGATCTCTGAGAAAACCATGGTAGAACCTGGACCTGGCTGAATGATGAGCGGGACCGAGAGTGGATTCGGTAATGGAAAGAGGCTGTATTCAAAGGTGTCAATGTCGATGCGACCAATGGCATTAAGACCAGCAGCAGTGAACCAGGCCCCACGATCACGATTCCCCGACACATCGATCGTGACGCGAATACCAACAGGAAGATTATCCACGGCAGCGATATTGGTCCAAGGAAACGGGTACTCCGTCATGCTCCCGTCCTTGGGATCCAAACGCACCATAGCGTTCCCGGCTACTTCGGAGAACCAAAGATAACCATCTGGCATAAACTCCATCCCGCTCGGGAGCCCGACTGGGTTTTTGAGGGGGAACTTCTTCTTCTCTCCGCTTGTGACGTTGACTCTCAGAATGGCGTTTCCCGCGATGAGCTCCACCCAAGCAATGTCGAGCTGGTCAGGATGGAACTCGGTCTCACAGGGCGTTGAGAGAAGTGGTGCTCTGGCGTATTCAACGATACCGTTGGCACGTTTCAACATCTGAGGTCCATAACTGGCTTGCTCGGCTTGGATAGCCATGGCTGTAGCCAAAGGCAGGACTGGCAGGATGGAAGTAAAGAAGGTCTTCATGATGTAGACGGTGAGGCAGTAACGAATATTGAGAATCGCAAACAGTCGGTGTCAGTCGGTGTCAGTCGGTGTCAGTCGGTGAGTAGAAGTGCCGTGACAGTAACAAGTTAGAGTCGTATTGGATATGGGCCATTCTTTATAGTTCAACCTCAGGTACGCAAGGCCTGGTTTAAACTTCTCTACCCCGCAATGCCAGGCTAGACCTCACCATGATCTTTCATATCATAATCCGATACCCGAGGGGACATTTATCTCTCCTCGGCGACAGACAATTCTATTCCATATGTGGCTTAATCTAAGCAGGGAGACGTAGGTAACACTTAACGACCCACATGGACGTGCCTGGCCCAGAAATCCGGGGTGCATGAAGGATCCTTGCAGTAGTGGATATCTTCTCCACATTGAGAACCCAAAGCAGACAAGTGCTAAGTTACAGGGTATCTCGCTCATTTTCATCTCAAGTTTCTACCTGTCTCTCCTCTGTAAATTTAGGTCCTCTATCGATGATAAAACTTGGATAAATACATGACTTGCTTTCATCCACCTATTCCCAAATGACTTTCTGCGGTTTTCTTCATGGTCCTTACGCCTCACCCTCACAAATTCGCAACTGCTCGAATTCTGTCAGCGGTTTCTCCGAGAGCAAAGTCATTTCTGTGTTTCTTGCTCCTGACTCTTTCGGCATCACTGGAACCTATCCCTCGGGCTTCAACCGCTGGATTATAACCGAGCCAGCTATGTTTAGCCACCTCACCATCGCTAACCTTGATGTTTGCTTGTTCATCGGCGCGCTTATACACGTTAACAACCACCGCGCCTCCGAGGCCAAGATTGTGCTGCAGCGCGACGCGTGTTTCACAACAAAGTCGCGTATTGGCCCACCCACGTAGCTGCCAGGTCAGCTCAGCACATTGAGCCAATCCCGTAGCTCCAATTGGATGACCTTTTGAGATCAGACCGCCAGATGGATTGATCACCATCTTGCCCCCAAATGTAATATCTCCTCTTCGGACCATCTCGTGCGCCTTTCCTGGCTCGCAGAAGCCGAGGGCATCTAGGAGTAGCATCTCGTTTGCGGAGAAGCAGTCGTGCAATTCGCAGACCCGGATATCATTCGCTGCCACGCCCGCTTCAGCTAAAGCTGCTTTGGCAGCCCTTTGTGACATGTCATACCCGACGAGCTCCATTGCACTATTGCCAAATGTCTTGGGGGAGTCGGTGCAAAACGCCTGCCCAGCCATTAAAATGGCCTGTCCTTTGAGATGTGGCCGGGCAGCGAGGAACCTTTCAGACACAATGACTGCAGCTGCGGCCCCGTCGCTGGTTGGGCTGCATTGCAGCTTCGTCAGAGGCGAGTAGATGGTAGGCGAGTCCTGAATCTCCTTGAGGCTGTATTTCTGCTGGAACTGGGCGTAGGGGTTGCGCTGCGAGTGCTCATGCGAAACGCGGGCAATTTCCGCAAAATCCTCTTCCTTTGCCCCATATCTGGTACAAATCATGTTAGCTGTAATCTATAAAAAGAGAAAAACATGGGTGGTTTGATCTGACTTACTTTGTCATGTATTCTCGGCCTGCGTTTGCAAAATACTGCACCGTCAGAGGAGAGTTTGAAGGCTCAGCCAACTCTCGCATCTTGGCGGCAAAGCGACCACTTGAACTGGGTCTATCACTCCAGACGCTCTTGAGACTTCCGGGATTCATCTTCTCGAATCCCACCACGAGCACGCAATCGGCCTTGCCGCTCTGAACAAGCGTACGAGCCAGATACAGGCCGACAGATCCCGTAGCGCATGCATTGCTCGTGTTGACGATGGGAATGGATGACATGCCAAACTGGTAAAACACGCGCTGTCCCGAGGTTGAGTCTCCATAGGCAAAACAGGCCACGCCATGCTCAACGTCGTCGTAGTTGATCTGGGCGTCTAGCATGGCTTTAATGCCGGCTTCGTAGCCTAAGTCTGGATACTGGCGGAGACCACGGGGCTTCATAAACTTCGTCATGCCAACACCAAGAACATAAGCCTTGCTCGATCGTGTTTCGCTTGCCATGGCTTCGTCGCGTCGCGAGGGTGGTGTGGAAAGAATAATGTGATATCGATGGTTTGATGTAAATGGTATGTTTCATTCATACATGGAATCGTGTCCTTGAACCTATACAGAAGGGCTTGATTCAAGTTCAGTGTCTGATTTTGAATCCATAAATTTTTGAATATATGAATATATTCTTTCTACAGCGTTCAGAAGGATAATTCGTCAACATGGATTGTGTGCAGTGGGGCGTCTCACACCTAGAGGCCGAGGTGACGTGCTGTAGACGTACTCAGAACTCCTCGGTTTATGACTACATACCTGGCAATTGTCAGTATTCGTGGTAGTATATGGTCTCACAGCGCTGGGACTGGCCTGAGAATTCCATCGAATACGAAATACGCACTGGACGAATAATATGATGTCCGAGTCCAACCTCGGCTATATGAAATAAGGCCAGCTCGAGATCAATTCACCAGCCAAGACTTTGGTGATGATTTGTGACATACAATCCTAATCCAACGTACATCATTGATTGCCATAAAATCGATAGGTTTCGAGATATGTGCTGATACGAGAGCGCTTCCTGTTCATCTGACTTCCTTGATCTCGACTTAGGCCCATCATGGGGTCACATCAAGACACTGAGGCTGGTAGCCGTCATGATCTCGATGACGAAGCTCTAGGAAGCCATTTAATCTCATCACAAGAAATACCCAATCTAAAACTTCCAGTTACAACATCTAAGATCGGATATGGCCAAAGTAATCCCACTTACTACCTGGATGACGCTGCGTGAGTACCTGAATGGTGAACCTTTACGTCAAATATGTTGATATCCGTCTAACCAATAGAGTACAGCGGAGCAAGATACATCTTGAGAAAGAAGCCTGTTGGGAAGGCCATCAGCCCGGTTGCCCACCAGGTAGATCGTGAGTTCAGAGTATTGAAGGCTTTGGGATCTGTTAAAGGGTTCCCAGTTCCCAGGGTTTTCACATTGTGCAATGACAGCTCTATTATTGGCACCCAATTCTACGTTAGTTTAATAAATCTGAATGTTTATTCTTCATGCTAACTTGGATATTCAGGTCATGGAATTCGTCAAAGGGAGAATCATCACGGATACGGACATGGAAGAGCTTTCTCCAGATGATAGACGGCAGGCGTATGTTTCGGTGCCACTAAAAAAAATATGTGACTTGAAATTCAGCTAACGATGTTGTTGCTTGCAGATGGTTCTCCGCTATCGAGACTCTGGCTTGGCTTCATTCACTGGATCCAGACAAGATTGGACTTGAGGGTTACGGCAAGAAGACGGGATTCTATGCTCGACACTGCGCCACGTGGAGTCGCATTGAGTTGCAGCAAGCTGCTGTCAAGCATGTTAAGACTGGAAAACCCTTGGGTCGAGCTCATAAGAGGTATGACGAAGTGGTAAGATATGTGCGAGAGAACGTACCGTCAGATCGACACGCGATTGTCCACGGAGACTTCAAGTTCGACAACTTGGTATAGTCCCTCTTCCACCTTAGTAAAGCAGACGAATTGCTAACAGCCTCCTGCCAAAAGGTCCTTCACCCAACTGAGCCAAGAGTTATTGCTATTCTCGACTGGGAACTGTCCACCATCGGCCATCCACTTATGGACCTCGTCTTCTGCATAAGTCCTTTCTTCTCTGACTATACCAAGAGTGGAAAATCGTCCCTGTCACTCCAGGACTCCCCATACAAGCTAGAACATCGAGCAAGGTCGGGTATTCCTGAGCCAGATGAACTTCTGGCCCGCTATGCGGAGATTGTGGGGTTCGACATGCGCCAAGATAACCGAGGTAAAGACTGGGATACCGCGATAATCTTTCACTACCTTCGAGGAGCAACTATAGCTCATGGAATCCAAGCAAGATCTATTAGTGGACAGTCCAGTAGTAGCTTCAGCCATCTCTATTTCTCAAAGACTAGGCAGGCGATTGAAGCAGCTCTGCGCCGTATTGAATCCCTGAAGGATCAGCAAACATCAGAAAGCAAGCTTTAGACTTTTTAAACCCCTTTCTAATTTCGATAATACATTTAAAAAAGGCTTAAATACCTGAAACTGCTTGAAGGTTAATGGTAATAAGCCTAGTTAAACTGAAACAAGTGATGGTGAGCCTATCTACTGTGAAGTCTAGAATCACCTCGGCAACCCCACGCTAACATTTCAACAAAATGGCGCAGAGTCGTAAGTACGGAATGACCTTCAAGAGTCTACTGCAAGATATGTATCTCTAAGGTTCCGAAATTTCTAATTATGATAAATAAATAGAGAACAGCACATACTAATTATTGAGATTACCTCAACAACCCGTCTCATATCTCCACGAAATAGACGTAGTTACCTCACAAACAGCATCTCATTTCTTTCCAATTCAAGAAAAAACGACCACTGCATAATACTCAATGCCTCTTCAATACGACCCCGAGTTTTGGTCTGTGTTGAAGCCGCTCGTTCCAGTACTGTCCAAGCGAGAGCCGCTTTCCCTGGATAATATCAAGGCTGGGCGGGAGGCACGAGAAGCTGGCATGAGGGCACTCTTTGACAAGTTGGACATCTGTCCGGAAGTGGAACAAAGATCGTATCAAGTGAAAGCTACTGATGGTTACATCATATCGGTTCTCGCTCTCACCCCAACAGTTTCTCGGTCCGACCCTGGACCCTGCCTACTACACTTCCATGGAGGAGGCATGATATTAGGGTCCGCAGAGATTCAAGCAAGGCCACTGGCACAATTGGTCAGCGCGACATCAGTGCCTGTGTTCAGCGTCAACTACCGACTGGCGCCGGAGTTCAAGGGAACCATTCCTGTTCAGGACGGCTACGCGGCTCTACTTTGGCTGAACAGTAAAGCGAAGGAGTTCAGTGTCGACCCGAGAAGAATCGCGGTGTTAGGAGAGAGCGCAGGTGGTGGTGTTGCCGCTGGTGTTGCATTGATGGCTCGAGATAAGGGATTGAAGCCGCGCCTAGCTAAGCAGATCCTCTTGTATCCCATGATAGACGACCGAAATATGGTTGCCAACGAAGCGATGGAGCCTCTTGCATTTTGGAAGACTGCAGACAACGCAACGGCCTGGACTGCGCTCCTCGGAGATCAAGCAGGCCAACCGGAAGCTCCCATCTCGTACTACTCGGCTCCTGCTCGAGCTCCGAGTCTAGCTGATCTTCCGCCAACATATATCGAAGTCGGAGGTCTTGATATATTTCTGCAAGAGAATGTCAAGTATGCCACTAGACTGCTGGCCGAAAACATCCCTACCGAGCTGCATGTGTATCCAGGATTGCCTCATGGCTTCGAGATGATCGCACCAAACATCACCGCTGCAAAGAAGGCCAATGAAAATCGCCATAGAGCTATAATGGGTATCTGAACCTCTGATGTTAGCAAATTGATAGTGTTTGAGTTTGATCTTAGGCCACACAAATTGGGGTGTAGTCAGGTGGCAATAGAGAAACAACGACGAGATAGTGTGATAGGCCTGTCTTCTTTGCAAGGGGATATTTGATGCAATTGAGTAACTCACTCTGGTATCAGTAGGTCTACTTGTATAAAGGTTTGACGTCCGTCAACAGTGTATACATGTCTTCTTTCCAGTCCGTGAAATCAAAAGTTGAAAGCGTCAAGAACCTCGTGATCGTCCATCATTGTACATATGCGTCCAATAAAACATAGACATGCCTCTTCCGTCTGCATGTCAGGCAGATTCTCAGAAGGTGTAAGAGTAAGCGTCCAATAAGCCAGTACACCGAGTGACTGCCTCCGCAGCTCAAGCCATGCTTCCTCAACAGTAACACTGGGGCCTCCGTGCTTTCTAAGCTCTGACACATACATCTCAACCATTTCATGCTCCCACTGACGGCGCTTCTCTGCACTTACAGCCGTACCCAGGACGTATGCGAGGTCACGAGACCAGTGTCCTCTTGCTACTGTCTGCCAGTCTGTCAGGCCCATATGTCCATCAGGTGTTATATACCAGTTGCCTTGAGGAGAACAATCACGTCAGCGCCTATAGCAACAGGGGGTAGGCCCCGGTCTATTACTTGGGTCGGAGCCACATACCGAGATGAACATCTCCATGAACCACCGTCGCTGGAAGCGCAGCATTACGCTCTACTGACTTGAGCGTACAAGGCCAAATTTCATTCTGCTTCGCAAATAGTCGTGGGGGAATTGCCGACTTTGCAGCCCTGAATCCGTTGACGCACATGGTCTCGAGGCCAACTTCGATCAAGTTACTGATCCGGTCTTTATAGATGAGCAGCCGTTCGAAATCGGGATGTTGAGACTGATAGTACTGGCCATGTAACTTTGCCAACATCTGAACCTGCTCGGCGAACTGAGCTTTGGTTAAGTCTGTCTTGTAGTTGCAGAATGTGGTCTCTTGGCCCATATCCTTTAAGACCACAATGGCGGCCCATGACCTTGGATCATAGCCAGCAAAATATGCCCACGGCGCCTCGATGTTGAGCTGAGGTCGTATGTGATTATAGAAGCAGACCTCGCTGTAGGTACCTCCTGCGACCAAGACGATACGATTCTCTGCAGAATGAGCTGCCTTGCAGAAGACTGAAGTTGGGAGCTTGTGTGTTCCAAAGCCTTCCCATTCGATTTCGATACGACGTCGATTTGCAGATCCATCATCTTTTGGACCTAAACTGAAGCTCTTGATAGTTGATCCAAAAACATCTCGGGCCAAAGTGGCGGTCAGCCATGCTTTAGTGATAGCTTCATATGAGACAGGGATATCTCCATATTCTCTTGGGACTGGAGGATTGAGCTCCTCTTCTTTGCAACTTCATCGAACATGCTCGACGATATCCTTTCGCAGTGATCCAATTTGTGACATCTGGCCTTGTAGTGTTGAGGTAAGTCTCTCAATGATCAACGTCTCTCAATGATCTTGGCTTAGAAACCATGCAAGTTTATATGGCCTATCCTCCTCGGCAACCTTCCCACTGTCATGGTTTCAGGCTGGGTGCCCTCGGGCTCTCGCCTGTATTTCTACATGCTGAGCCAGTCGGTTAGGTTTGACAAGGATTACGGTTAATGCAACTCGCTCTTCACCATTGACATGCCGATCTTATAATTATACTTGTTTTGGAATGGGATATGGCTAAGAAAAGCCACACCAAAAAGAACAGACATAATAACATTGTGTACCGGCACAAAGTCAAGACCTTTGTTCACTCGCAAGTAATTAAATATATCGCTCTTCGTATGATATCCATGCCACCTCTTACAGGCCTGCGAGTCGTGGAGCTCGCAGGTCTCGCCCCAGGTAGGTTTGGCCGTCGAGTCTACTCCCATTCCAAGTATAACGATCCCTACAATTAAGTCTGACTTGATATGTGATTTGTTAGGTCCCTTCTGCGGGCAGCTTCTCTCTTCATATGGTGCCTCGGTTCTCCGAGTCGATCGCGCAGGTGTCTACGAAAACCAGGATATTCTGACATCCTACAAGTCGTCTATTGTCTTAGATCTCAAGAACCGACATTGTATCCGCCTCCTCAAAAGCCTTCTCGATAAGGTTGATATCCTGATTGACCCTTTTCGACCTGGCGTTCTCGAAAGACTGGGCTTATGCCCCAGTTCTGTTCTTCTCGTCTCAAACCCACGTTTGATCGTGGTGCGTATTACTGGTTTTCGTCGCGATGGTCCATATAAGGATATGGCCGGGCATGATATCAACTACCTGGCTGTCTCTGGTGTGTTAAGTAAGCTTGGAAGTAGCGGACTACCACCATCGGCACCTGGTAACCTTCTCGCAGACTATGCAGGGGGAGGTCTGGTTGCCTTTTCAGGTGTTCTCATGGCCCTTTATCATCGAGGCTCGACAAGCAAGGGCCAGGTTGTCGAAGCGAGCATGGTGGATGGCGCCTCATACATAGGAACCATACCACGACTGAGGTCCGACGAGCCTGCTTGGAACGGCGGAAAGGGAACCAACCTGTTAGATGGAGGTTGCCCTTACTACCAATGTTACGAATGCAAAGATCAAGGACGGTACATATCTGTAGGCGCACTGGAGCCTCGGTTCTTTGAGAACCTTCTCCAAGGCCTGGGATTGACAAGCGACGACATTCTAAGTCCTGGCCTGCGGCGCGAGGACAAGCGTTCGTGGCCACGGATGCAAGAGGTATTTGTCAAAACGTTCAAGGAGAAGACACGCGAGGAATGGGAGGACATATTTGACGGCTTGAACGCATGCGTTGCCCCTGTTCTCGAGGACAAGGAGATGGAAAAGGCGGGTTACGAACAGCGACCGATAGTAAACCTGACTGCCACGCCGGCGAGACCGGTAGACACACAGTGGAAAGGCAAGCGGCTGAGTCTGGGTCACGGCGCAGAGGAGACATTGAAGACGTGGATGAACTGGGAGCATGGTGAAGACTATGCGATTGATCAAGGAGTATATCTGTTGCGTCCAGTGGATTCTAAACTTTAACTCAGGTTCATTTCCAGAGTCACGTCGGCACAAGCCAATAGTATCAACAAAGAAAAAGTATATTACATAAAGTTCGATAAGTTTACAGTCATTAAACTGTCTGCATCGCCTTCAGTGTTGAGAAGAGTTGGCAACAGTGTCTCAACATCGCACCAAGACCCTGGGAATGGCGACCCGGCCAAAAGATCACTCATGTCGGTAGTAGTCCAGCTTTCCATTACCATATTTGGAAATACCATCGGTACTCGTGGCTGTTGGGCCACTGTAACTGTCCGACTGCTATCGTCTTGACCTAAGCCCGGCTCTTCTGCCGCAGAGTCTTGGTTCCAGTTGCCCGAGGTACTCGGGCTCGGATACATGCAACTTGCCGCAACGGTGTTAGGTCCCATATCTAGCCGAGGCTTATACCCCGCGTTTTCGCGTTCTCCAAACTTGCTTCCCCCGGTTGGTAAAGTCCAGGGAACGTGAAGACCAGTGTTCTTTAGTATCGAGTTGAGAAATTGCATGGCGTAGTCCGCAGATGTATACATCTCTTGTAGCTGCTGAAGGACGTTTACGCACTGGTAGAGGCGTCCGAGGCTGAGACTCCGGGCTTCCTCGTCGTCTGAGCATGTGTTGAAGAGATGGACAAGAGTGACAGCGAGATAGGCTGGAACGGCAAGGGTCGGTAGGAAACGCAGTTGGTTATCCCGCTGTAGGTTGAAGGCCAATTTGGTCATCTCGACTGCTGTGTCCGTTACATTTCCCCTCGATACTGTGCTGCCATCATTTCTCGCGCCATCGTTGTTGGAGCCGAAGCAGAAGACCTGCGGCCTATGGAGAGCACCCAGTGCGGTTAGGTAGACCATTCGAAGCTGGGCCTGGTGAAGTCGCAATATCTCATCAGCATGTAGGTCGTCGGTCGTACTAGTAACAGGCGGCCGTGATCCGGTCTTGGCAGTGTAACGAGAGTGAATGTTCTGACTCTCAAGCCAACCTTTGAGCTCGGTACTGCGTTCAGAAAGTGATTTGGCTTGCTCTGGGGATCTATCGGGCCGCCCAGTCGATTGCTGACTGTACTCAACCCCTCCGAGGTAATTGCCCATAACCGTGTACAAGGTGTTGAGAGTACGTCCAATGTAGACGCATAGACTACTTAGTTCAATGCACATTACAGCTAGACTTTGTCTCTTTTCTGAGTTTGGATATGTGACCTTCAAGCCCCGGAACAATCTATCCAGGTTTGTCGATGGGGAGCTGAAGTCAAAGTCGTCCAAGGTGAGCGGCTTGACGTTGTACTCATCCTCTCTTAGACGCGGCGGATTCCGTAATCCAAGGGCCAGTAAACGGTCCCTCATCAAACAGCACCACCATAACCTTCGACGGAGGTTCTTCTCTTGTTGCGATATTTTCAGGTGTTCGGGATCTCGATGCAAGCCCCCAACTTGGGCATTTGTCAAGGCGATACCCATCCAATGCCACGTATCCTTGTCATCGTCTGGGCAATCGTACCAGTGACTCAACAGCAGAAGAGACTGAATCAACGCCATCCGATCCGACTCATAATTTAAACTGTAGAGAATCCTGACACGGTCGTAAAAGTCTTTTCTAGCCGCTAGTCGTGAAGCATAACCTCTTGAATGCAGAGTCTTGAAGTCCACAAAAGTGACGCTGACAAAATTGACTGCTTGGAATAGCAGAAGGCTGATGGGGTTACGGCCGTTGTTGTGAAGGATAGCGCCAGCATATTCTTCGATATCGAGGATTGGCAAGAAGGAATGAACCACTGTGATGTAAACACGTAGCAGTTCATCTCTAAACTCTGGATCTGGAATCGACAAGCACAGTTTATGTGATAAATAGTACATATCTCTATTATCTAGGTGTTGAGGAGGGGGTCGGATGAAAGCTGGTAATGATGTTGTGATTCTTTCCGGCTGGGATGGTGCAAAAGGTCCACTGGAGGTTCTTATCTCTTCTACATAGTCGAATGGAGCATCGAGGTTCACGCCTTGCATGGGCGCAGGCGGTTCTGTGTTTGACGGCTGGTCGTCATGGACCTGAACGTGGATTTCATCCATGGGCTCTCCGTCAGCGGGTTGCTGTTGCTGGTCTGGACAAGGTAAGTAAGTTCACTGTCTAGAACCACGAAAGCACACACAACAGTACATACCGGATACAGAAATTTCGGTCGCATTGAGTGGTTGAGAACGAGACCGGGGGTCTTCATCCTCTGGCTCAATTTCTGCCTCAGCGTCGGGTTCATCGGGTTCAGATAACTCTTCTGGCTCAAGAGGCTCCGGTACTGCAGCAGCTAGACGTGAAGTCACAAATATCGGTGGGGGCGAACCAGAAGAGCGGTCCCGAGCAGCGGGCGGGTTCGAGTTGCGGCGACGCTGGCAAGAGGCGGCGGTAGGTCTCCGACCCCGATTTGACTCTTTCAGTACGCAATTGATGCTGTCAAGTCGACAATTCGTGCAGGGAACACCTCCATCGGTGACGTCGCAACGAACTTTACGGTTTCGGCATGATAGACAGGCCTTGGATGAGCGTCTCTTCCACGGGCGCTGGCCATCGCAAGGGGCGCTTCGTTTTGCTGACGATGCTGTTGCCCGGCTGGACGGATCACCGCTCGGCTGGGAAGAGGGAGGTTGCGAAGGCATCTATGCAACAGAGATAAAAGGATATAGGGGAGGACTAGCGATGATTCCAGGCAGAGTGACAGCCTTGTAAGGCGCTGGCAAGAGATCTTGGCTGGGTATCAGGAGTCTGGAGTAAAGTGGAGGTGAACAACCTGCGAGGGGGTTCTAGGGGCCGGACTCTCATGGCACTCCCTATAACAGTATGATAATGCCAGAGATGATTGGGTAACACGCTGTGCTTGGAGCTGGTCCTTGGAGCTGGTAGTTAATTACCCTAATTTAGAGCGAATGCTCTGATACGCGGGGCCCCGCGTTCTAGCTTCAAGGGGGATAGCAAAAGGCGCATCTTCCCCGCATCCACCACAGCTTCGAGCTTACTGTATCTGCCGCTCTGACAGATAGGTATATGAGCCAGCAGTAATTCTTAGTGTAAGCTATTGCTCACATTTCGAGGTTAGGATGTTTATAAGTCTAATGAAATAGGTCTGTAGTAAGCATGCAATATGACAAATAGAAACAAGGATGTATTTTAGCAGGTTTAATACTAATAGAGTTATATTATTCCAAGTACCAGAACCAAGGATAGTTCGTCGTTCCAACCTTCTCTGTCAATAGCCTGGTCCAGAACAGGGATCAAGCCAACCCCTCTATTCCCAATACAGACCCACGGTGCCAGTGGTTTTTAGTAGCCGAGGGCCGAGCACATAACCTAAGCTGGATGGTCATGCCTTGTCCACTCTCTACCGCTATGTGATGTCATTCAAACGCTCGAGACTCTGCTTGAGGATCAAACTACCGACACCTGTAGCTTGTAGCTAGCGCCGTTGGTCAAATGCCGTTCCGTAGGGCCCATCGAGCGGTATGTGATCTGAAAATGTGCATCAGAGCACTTCCTGGTCTTCATCTGCGAAGTCTTCCATGGCTTCACTAAAGAAGACCGAGTTTAAACGTGAGTTCCCTCTAGTTGAAGAAGAATGCGAGTATGGTTCATCTTCGTGCCGACGATGGTCTCTAAGCCATTGCGGAAAGTCTTCCTCGGCCGGGCATCGACCGCGGGCAAGCGAGAATTCAACCGCCAAGGCGATGCGGAGATACGTCCGTGGATCCTTCAAGAGCATGTCTGCCCAAGTATCACTGCTCCAAGATTCTTCAATCAGCTTGGCTGGTCGCACCACATGCTCATCAGCACCATGAGAAGAGGCAGTATAGGTCGGTAGCGGTACACTAATCTTGATATGCTCCACGATGCCTTGGATGTACTTTATGGTGCTTGTCGCGTTGTCGTAAAGTTGATTGAATTGGCTCATGACATCGAGGTGCGCATCCAGATCCCGTTGTGTGTCACCGTCTGAATTCTGAATATGAGATTGTAATAAATACCAGATAAATGGAGTTGCTGCAAAGCTGATGCTGTGGAGGAAGTCTGATTAGCGCGGAGCCTTATCCAGCAAGGGTTATGTAGTTTGACTAACAAGGTCACTGGGAGATATTGAACCAAACCCGAATCTTTGAGTTCTATCATGTTCTCTGTAATACTGCGCAAACAGCAGCCGAGACTTTTATGCGCAACAATTCTTGCATTTGGCGGATCGTCAAGCTGTTCTCCCTCGAGAAAATCCCTGCTGAGTAATGTGTGATTATAGAGTGATGCCTTTGCAGCGCTGTCATCCAGTACCTATTAGTCGTCTAGCACAATCACATGGTAGAAGCAGGGGAACAACTCACTGATAGTAAGTGCAAAGAACGTTGGAAAACAGTATTAGTGATTCATGAGCTCCAGTGATGAGGGTAGGTAATCTGAACATCGCATATGTCTCGTCATACCAGTTATCCAGCCTCATGGTAAGACCCTCAATCTCGTCACGGCACAACTCACGTACCTTTGCCAAAGAAGGCGCCGGAGGTATTCCACTCAGTAGAGTGCCCAAATCACCAAGGGCTATGGCAATCTGCACTATGAGGCGTTTTACAATGCCGTCGTACACTCGAGATGTCCCAATTTCATGAGAAAAGTCTGCGACTGACAATTCTGGGCAGTTGTATGCAGTGGGACTAAGGAGCGGTGACTGGCGAAGTGCCAAAGCCAGGATTCGATCGCGGAGGACACAGCCCCACCATAGACGTTTGAGCAAAGCTCCCTCACGTGTGTCTTGTTTCTCATGATACCGATGGGCATCTGCACTCTTAGCGTAGTGCGTAGCGATACTGAGCCAGTACAACGGCTTCTTATCCATGAAGCTTATCGTGCGGTATGTTAGCATTATAGCCCCCTGGGCCCTGTCTTGGTCGCCGAGGGTAGATTGAAGATCGAAGAGTGTCTAGCAAGCCGTCAATCGTACTATCGCAGCCATGAGGCTTGCTGGGGATGGGTACCGTAGCCCGCGAGTAGAACTCATCTTGAGCTTCTTTAACAGTATGAAAGCCAAGGCAGACCAGCGATTCTAGAGAGACATACTTGATTGAACACGAGTCAGTCAACAGCAAGATCCAGATATTCGACATAGCCTTACCGGGCTGGATACAAAAAGCATCGCCTGCAGGACGAACAGAGAGACATATCCGTTGCTGTCAGCTTGTTCACTATATGACGCCCAAAATCTCTGTTCATCGAGTAGCGGAACAAGCGGATGGAAGTATAAGAAGTAATTATTCACGAACTCCACAAGTATAGGCTTGGTGGGCACATGAAGACACCCTCGCTGTTCTAACAATCTAGCCACTTCTGAATCTACCTCCCGAGATGAAGGATGCTTGATGAAGTGATAGAACGGGAAGAGGATAAAACCTCCTGTAATCCAAGGGAACTTCCGTCTTCGGTTGGGCAGCCTGGCCCGGCAAGAGCTTGGAATGTTGTCGTCGCTCAACAGTTCGCGCTCAGCATGGGTCGATAGCCTGGGGGCAGGTCTCTGTGAGTTCGGCCAGGTATCATCACCTGGAGGAGTTGGTGGTTTGGTGCCATAATGAGTAAGAGGCACATTATGTTCTGTCTCTGGAGTACAATATGCATCTGTAGCTGCAGAGGCGGGACAGAGCGAGGGCAATATATGTTGATTCTGGTCAAGGTCAAGGTATTGAGATGGCGAAATGGGTCGGTAGGTTTCAGCTGAAGATGCCTCTAGGTCTTTCATCACCAGGACTCTCGTCTCGTTCGACCTTGTTCAATATGTTAGATAAGTAGCCTCCCAATATATTAACAAGAATCGACCTACGCGCCACGCCTCTTAGACTTAATAACGCACGTGTGACCGTCTAAGCGGCAGTTTCGACATGTCCCTTTGCTTTCGATCACATTGCATCGTACTTTTCGCTTCCTGCATGGAAGACATGCTATCGACGCTCGCCGCCTTTTAACACCACGTGTAGTCATTTGAGGATTGGGGGGCTGATGTATGGTGCGGATCACAGTTGTCGTCTGCGCGCTGCTGAACGGGAAAGACATCAAATCGGGATTTGGCATGGTGTTAATATGATGAGAGCGATGTTGCGTTTGCCTGCTTGGAATAAATATGGATGTAAGCAATGATGACACATTTGATTCGGAATGAAAACTATGAGTGAGGTAGGGATAATTCATAATAATTGCTAGATCGAGGAGGCCGGACATCATTGAATGGGGTGAGCCGGTTCAGGTGTTATAATCCGTCTCTTCCCCCATGAACACCTTCCAGCCTCGTGGCAACTTGCGTTACCGGCAAAGAGGCCGAGGCAAGGCTTTCATTCAGGCAGAGCTATTTAATACGGCTAATAATAACATCACGGAGACCAAGGTAATCATTTGCCCGCCAGGAGGAAGAATGTGGTGGAGACATGGAAAATAGGATGAAGACATCTTACTCTTGGATGGCGCTGACAAACTGGATGAAACTTAGTTAAAACGAACTATGATAGCTGCCCACAGTAGTGTACCCAGTACTCAGACTTATTTTTAGTGCCTCTGGGCATGTCACAACTTGGTCCTTTCCGCCTTCTCACCAGTGTTCTTATACCCAAACAAGTAAGCCGCAATCTTGCGCATCTGAACCTCTTCGCTCCCCTCTGTAATTCGATATCGTCTAAAGTGACGCCAGATGTGTTCAAAAGGATAATGCCTCGAGTAACCATCTCCGCCATGGATCTGCATCGCGCGATCCGCTGCCTCGCAAGCCAATCGATTTGCGTAGTAGTTGCACATACCTATCTTATGTCCTAACCTCTTCTCTATAGCAACCCAGGGCGCTTTTCCATCTTGTTTTGCTTGCGCCGTTACGTCATCCATCTCCACTGCAGTGCGCAAGATGAGGAGCCTCAGCATCTCTTCCTGGGTTGAGAGTTCGACGAGGGGCCATTGGATGGCTTGGTTGATGGAGAGAGGCTTTCCGAAGACATTGCGGTTATTGGCGTATTCGACACTCTTTTGGATGCAGTATCGGGCGGCTCCGCAGCTAGACGCAGCTTGTCTGATTCTGTTTTCGTGCGTGAAGGTCTGGGCAATGGCTAGGCCGTTGTCGCGAGGGCCGAGGATGGCTGATGCTGGGACTACGACGTCTTTGAAAAGAACCGTGGCGTGATCGGTTGGCATGTTGAGAGTCCACTCATAGGATGCAACTGTGATGCCAGGGGAGTTTCGAGGTACTAGGAAAGCCGTGATACCGCTGGCATCTCCGACTTTTCCAGATGTTCTAGCAAAGACCACACAGTAGTTTGCATGGTGCATTCCCGTCTGCCATTTCTTGTTTCCATTGATTCTGTAGCCCTCTTCTCCTGACGAAAGAGTGACAGCTTTCGCTGTTGTCTCCATATGCGTCGCATCTGACCCATGGTTGATCTCCGTTAACCCGAAAGTAGCTCGTATTTGTCCACTGATGCTAGCAGGAATCAGATCTTGCTTCTGTTTCTCAGTCCCGTAGTGATAGATCAAAATGACAAATGGCATGTTTCCGACGATACTGTGCTCGCTCTGTAAGTCGTTGGCCAAGCTCACACCGCCGCCATACTCAGGATGGGAGGACAGATAGTACCGAGTAGCGCACATGTACAGGTTCATTGATGCTTCTCCTGATCCACCAAACTCCCGAGGAGATGCAAAACGGTAGAAGCCTGCCGTATCAGCAAGCCTTTTTGTGTGTTGTAGCAAGCGCTCCCATTCTTCCGTCGGCAGGCCTTGGTTATGCCATTGAGTTCGTGAAGCTTCCCGGCGGTAGTCAAAGAATCTGTCATTGTCGTCCCTCTTTTGCAAAGGTAGAATGGTTTCATGGATAAAGGAATCAAGGCGAGACAAGAAGCTCTGTATATGCAATGGTAGTTCAAAATTCATGTCGCCAGGAAGTTGAGGATAATAGAATCTGTAATGAGATGTAAATAATGTTGATAACACCCAATACTGATGTTGAGATATTGTTTATTGTTTTTTATAGAGAGATTTCCAGCCGCTCAAAATAAAGAAGCAATAAATCCAAGATGGTTTGTCTTGAAGATGACAGTTCGCCGGACAAAGGGTTAATAAACGTAGATGACAGAGCGGTCTAACCTTGCCTCGGCTTTCTCGGCTTACGGCCTCCATGGTGCTTCGTTAACGACAGCGAGTGCAATTAACCAGATAAATCGCCTCTACAGTAAACTTTTTGTTTTGGCCACCGAAATTATAAGACGCTTGCCGATATTAGCCAGAGTAGGGATACAAGCCATCGACACGCGACTGAGGAACTCTACCAGGATTGGATTCTGGGTATAATGATAATGATGATAGTACTTTTATGTAATGAATCGATCTATATGCATGCATGTCTGTCTATCTTGGTTGAGGCGAGGTAAGGCGCGCAATGCAAGCATTAGCTATGAGGTCTATTCACTCAAAACACTCGGCAAGATAATCGAGGTTGACTTATTCTATCTTCATCGTCTGATAATGGGAAAGGCTCTTTACCAAGCTAACATGCCCTCCAAACTGGCTACAAGTGAGTCTTGGCCATACCACGCAGAACCGCAACTCCCCCAGCAAGACACACCTTGCCAGTTTCCTTGACCTCGGTCTCAAAAATAACATTCTTACCCTGAAGCCACATTTTGGTCTTGAGCGATTGCCCAGGCTCTATGGTTCCCGCGAACCGAACCTTGATACTGAAAATGGGGCCGTAAGTCGAAACTACATGCTTAGTAGCGATACCAAATGAGCAAAGGCCGTGGAGAATGGGTGTTTTGAAACCTCCTGCGGCGCTGGCGGTCGGATCTATGTGCAGCGGGTTTCTGTCTCCGTTCAGTCGGTATAAAGCTGCTTGATCGCTCGATGTCTTCTCTTCTACCACCTGATCAGGCTCGCCCTCGGGAATGGCATGTACAGCTGTGCCCTTGCTTCTGTCGCTCCTGGTGGGGGTACCGCCGAAGCCACCAGCACCACGTAGGAAAAGAGTCAGCTCATTGTAGAATATCTTCTCCCCTGTAGTCTTGTCGCAAGTTGTAGTGCCGATAATCGCTACCGCAGCTTTGCCCTTATCCAGAATATCGATGAGTTTGCTCTCAGATACAAAAGTCCCTACAGTGGGGATGGGAAACCTGTGGATCTCAAGGTAATGCTCCCCGTGTAGCAGTCTCTTGTAGGAGAAGTTCGGCACCAGATCCTTAAGATCGAACGGTCTGGCTGTGGTCGTGCCTGGAATGACACCAAAAGATGGGATGACCTCAAAGTCGGGGTGCTTTTCGAATACCCAGGGAAGCTGTGATATGCTGGCTCCAATGGATAAGTTGTACAGTATAATGTCTTTGTCAACAAAGCTCATTTCAGCTGGCTGAGTCTTCGCATTCTTTGCCTTTTCAATAGCCTTGAGCCAGCGCTGGCTGCCTGACGAGGACTTGTCCAATCTAGCAATGTTTGCCATAATCCGTTGGCGAGTATCCGCAGCATTAGTAGGGGTAGACGTCTTTCCAGGAGTGAATGAGACTATGTCTCTCCACTTCTCGAGCAGAAGCTCCGGAGTAAGGGGACTGTCGACTGGGAAGTCGTAGCCATCTGATCGTTGATATCTCGTCACTGCCTGCCAGCCACAACCGGCCTCGAAGATCCTGCCGCTGGCATCATTAGGAACCTTGTCGGATGAAAGGAGCAGCACCATCGCCGCTACATATTCCGGCTTACGAGATCTTACTACCTCTTCTGGGAGCACTCCCTTCGTAAGGTTGGTACCGGCTGATGGCGAGATGCAATTAACCACAACATTGTTCTTTAGACCTTCTATGGCCAAGGCTCTGGAGAAGCCTGCAATTGCTGTTTTCTAATTCGGTGTAAGTAAATGCTCATGATAAAGCAATGTAAAATGGTTCAACTTACTGCTGCGGCATAGTTTGCCTGCCCGTAATTCCCGTAGGTTCCGCTCGTACTCGTTGTGTTCACGATGCGGCCGTACTTCTGCTTAACCATGTAGGGATATGCTGCTCGCGCACACTTGTAGGTTGCTCGCAGATGGATGTTGTTCACATCGTCCCACATCTTTTCCGTCATATTCTGGAAGGCTTTGTCTCTTAGTATACCCGCGTTGTTGATCAATATGTCGATCCTCCCAAAGGCACGGATCGCAGTACCGATAACAGCATCACCGTCTTCTACCGAGTGATTGTCCGGAACAGCCACTCCGCCCAGCGATTTGATTTTGTTGACAGCGCTCTGTGGGTCTTTCCAGTCATTAACAACAATAAATGCTCCGAGTTTGGCTAGTCCAATGCAATACGCTCTACCGAGTCTACCAGAGAACAGATTTTAGTAAGTGATTCCTTGTCATGAATTATGAGATAGTGGCTTACCCAGCACCTCCACCTGTCACAACAGCTACTCTTCCATCAAATCGTACCTCGTCCCGCTGTCTATTAGGTGGAAGGTTCTGTGCGCGCTTCAGAAGCTCGACTAAGTTGGCGGTAGTGGTGGGATAGTCGGCGTTTGTGAAGTCGTTGATTTCATCCCATTTCCCAAGCACAGCCCCTGGTGTCAATGTCTCATCGCACCTGAGAATGGCTCCTTTCGATCTCTCCCATCGAATCTTCGAAACGTGTCCTGCACCGACCTCGAAAATGGAACCATTCTCGGATGTGTTGCTTTGGTGACTAAGGACCGCGACTAGTGGCACTACCCATTCTGGTGTCAGATGTTGAAGTAGGTCCGGTGGCATCACGGTGGCTGTCATGCGACTAGCAGCCACCGGAGCAATGATGTTTGTCAAGATATTGTATTTCAACCCTTCCTTGGCCAGAGTCTCGCCGAGACCAATCATCCCGGACTTGGCAGCAGCATAGTTGCACTGACCGAAGTTGCCGTACAGCCCAGCAGCGGATGAGGTCAATATGACTCTTCCAAACTTCTGTTTGCGGAAGTGGATCCATGCAGCTTGTGTCGTCTTATACACACCTCTCATGTGAACTGCCTGGACCGAGTCCCAATCTGCATCTGTCATGTTTTTGAAGCTCACGTCACGCAGGATTCCAGCGTTATTGATGAGAATATCAATACGGCCAAAGGAGGAAATCGCCGTTTGAACTATAGCAGCACCGTCCTCGACCGAGTGATGATCTGCTACCGCTTTACCGCCCTCGGCAACAATCTCGCTGACAACTGCATCTGCGCTCTGTGTTTTATGGAGGTTAGCAGCAAAACGTGCCAAGAGAGTCAAAGTGCCTCTTGCCTTATAACCCTGTCCGACACCTCTCAAAGATGTTCCAAGGTCATTGACTACGACACTGGCGCCTCTGGCAGCGAAGAATTTGGCGTAGGCTTTGCCCAGCCCAGAGCCAGCCCCAGTAACGACCACCACCTGTCCATCGTATCGGAGATTCATTTTCAAAACCGAAGAGATTCCAAGGACTGTAGGTAGTTGTAAGAGAGAACCAAAGTAAGTTGAATTTAACCAAGACAAATTGCCAAATGGTCTTGAGACTTTAGATCAAACTAGTCCTTACCATGAGCGATTGTCATTACCCTGTTGTTTTATTAGCCGAGGCTCCCACACGTATGTCAGCCTTCCCAAGTAATACAAATCAACTGAGTGCGCTGCTTCCGAAGCACTTCGTCAATTTTTGCGGTTGTTGCGATGAATGTGCCTTGGCCCGAGGAATGCAAAATCGTACACCGGACCTTGGCAGCGGTAGTAATTGTTAAACATTTTAAGGATTTATATTTTGTGCAGATTTAATCGAAGTAGACCATCATGTGCTTGCGTCTCACCTCAGACAAATACTGCAAGCTTCTTCGACCATCGGACACTCTGTATATTTATACATGTCATACTTCCACTGCCATTTGCACAAGCAATGTGGTTCTCTCCTGTAATAAGGACAATCTCACCTTATACTACGTTACCGCCATTTACCATCGATCCTGCGCTCTCTCCATTTCAAACGGAGCGACATCACTATAAAAACACGAAAAGTCTCTGATCAACCTCTCTCGTCATGGCTTTGGAAGGAAAAGTTATAGCAATCACTGGAGGCGCCCAGGGCATTGGCCTAGCAACTGCGAGGCTCATCGCGAGTAGAGGCGCCAGTGTCAGCATTTTCGATAACAACCCAACGACACTTAAAGCAGTAGAGGAGGAGTTTGTCACAAACAAGTGGCCAATTCACACATTTACAGCAGACATTCGACAAGCTGACAAAGTTGATTCTTGGATTGAGAACGCTGTGAAGAAGTTTGGTCGTCTTGATGGCGCGGTTAATGCGGCGGGAACTGTTGGCAAGCTTCATGGTCAGAAGCCTATAGCGCTGTTAGATGATGAAGATTGGAACCTCGTTATGGGTATCAATGTCAATGGTAAGTGATTTTCCAGCCAGTACCTCTCATCTACTAAGCTACTGGGCTAATTGATGGATTAATAGGAATGATGCACTCTCTCCGTGCCCAGCTCCGGCATATTCAATCTGGTGGAAGCATCGTGAACATCGCTTCCAACCTAGGCTCAAAGGGTGCTCCAGGCTGTGCGCCGTACGCAACGTCTAAGCACGCAGTCATCGGGCTGAGCATGAGCGCCGCCCATGATTATGGATCTCAGGGTATAAGAATCAATGTCGTGTCTCCTGGTGGAACCCAAGGGCCATTGATGAGAAGTGTAGTTGGAGACAACCCACCTCCGCCTCCCTCGGTCTTAGGGAAGTATGGACAGCCTGAAGAGGTAGCCTTTCAGATAGCCTGGCTTCTGGGACCGGAAAGCACTCATAGCTCGGGGAGTATTTTCCGCGTTGATGGTGGAGAGTTTTGTTAACGATGTATTCAATACAGATCTGCGGTTATACAGGGTCTTACTACACCTTATGCACTTCTTTTTGAACATAAAGTATTATTTTCTATTTTGTCTTCTGTGATTTCTAGTAGACAACTCGGCTTCCGCGGGTTCACGATGTGGAACGGGGCCAGTGAAACAGGCGGACTTGGCAAGCCACTTTCAATTTGTAGTTATCCCGATCCCGACTCCGCAGCAAGAAGTCCGCAAAATGAACTGATAACCTGACCTTACTTGTAAAATATAAAATAACAGTCACAGTAGCCTAAATATGCAGTATATCGTTCATATAACTCATTTTTCATGTCATTTTTTCATCTCATTATACACTCAAGCACAACATCACATCATGGCGGTCAAAGCGGCATTCATCGGAGCGTGCGGCGCTACTTTGCGGCATGTGCTAGCTTGGACACTACTTGATGGCCATAAAGCAGCCGCTCGTAAGTTTAAGGTAACCATGCCCTCAGTGTCTAAGCTAATTCGCCATATATAGTTGTTCGTGATCACTCGAAACTGAAAAAGATTCTCTTGGATCTCGGTGTATCCGAAAAGATCCAACAGTCACAACTCATCGTTGTCGAAGGATCATCCCGCGATGTCTCCACAGTCCGCAGTCTTCTTCTCAATGACCCTGAGATTATTTTCAGTGGTATCACAAGCACTTGGAAACTCCGATTTAATCCGTTTCACCCGATTGCTATGGATGATGCCAGTATCACCGGTGACTCTACTGCTGCGGTGATGCAAGCTTTAAAAGATCTTGTTTCTACAAACAGTATCACAAATTTACCTATCTATGCTCCAATCTCATCGACTGGACATGGCTCTCGTCGGGATCAACCACGTAGCCTCATGCCGCTCTACTGGTGGTTATTGAAAGAGGCTCAGGCCGACACTGCGGTTCTCGAGCGTGTTGCTCGTGAGGCGGCGACGCAGAAGAAATCTTGTCTTGGCGGATATGTGATGCTTCGACCTCCACTGCTGACAGATGGGGAGATGAAAGGGACGAAAGAAGTGCGCGTTGGGTGGATTTGGGAAGATGATATCTTTCGGAAGAGTGATGAGCAAGAAACAGGCGTCAGGGTGGGATATACTGTCAGCAGGATGGATCTGGCAAGATGGATGTTTGAAGAGCTCATCCAAGGAGATTTCCGGAGTTGGAATGGAAAGTGCGTAAACCTGACATACTAGAACATCTCATTTTGTCTTGCAGTTGTGTTAACTATTATTTGTACCTAATTTCAATATCCATAACTTGATCTGAATCTGCCAACTGTACCGAAAGCAAACACAGACTCCTGCCTTGTTTCTGTTTGTATGATCTACTATCTTCTGGAAAACTCTCGTAATGGAGACATACTCTAACAAACTTAGGCGCTAGAAATATGCTTTTAGCTACCAGCTTTAGGTCATTGAAATGTTGCAATTGATTTTTCTCTCCTGCTTTCTTTCTTAATTATTATCTTAGCGTTGCAGCCTTCCCCGCCGGGTTAGGCGCCGCCCTTGCCTCTTTATGCCACTTCTATAAAAACCACCAACATTCACTTATCCTTACCATCCTCCTTCCTCTTTTAAGATTTTCTGCCTCTCACCTTACCCCTTATTACTATCGCCTCTCTCCCTGCTTATTACTCTAGATACGCAGCTAATTGCCTTTAAGACTTCTGGATCCTGCGGCCTCGCAACACCGTCAATTTTACCTATTAATATTTGCCTAATGCGCTTTCTCTTATACCAAATGCTAGCCTTCGTAGCATTAAAATCACCATTCTATAATACCTTAATAAACTTTCTGCTCTAGGCCTATACTATCAGTCTTGAGTATTATAATTTATCTCTATTTCTCCTTAAGATTATATATGAAAAAGCTACTTATTGACCTTTAATTACTTATGCGTAGCAATATACCCTAACCCTATACACCTTTCTAGCCGTTCACAGGGAGACCTGGTAGATAAGTCTGCTTTAGAGACCTCCCGGTTTCACCGATCCTAAGGATTTTCGGTGGATACACATCCTTGAAGAGCTAAATACTGCGTCTGCCGCCCCGCTCACCGATAATACCACGGCATGCAGTTGAGTTGCTCGATGGGCTACAACTACTACGGCTCCGGCTTCTACTACGGAAACAGCGGGTAACAGCGCAGGAAAGATGACGGGATCTACCATGGCGGTTGCCTAGGTCAATTTGATGTTGTTGTTCGTCCTATAAATAAAGAAACTCTACAATATCTATAAAACATACATAAAGAAGGATCGCAGCTGTTTTACCACCATATACCCCAGCATACGACTGAAGCCATATGAATGCTATTCATCAGCAAATCCAACATGGGAAAAACCACGTTTTGGGGTATCAAATGAGATATTGTTGGTAGGCAGTGCTTCGACTCCCTCAGTGATTTTCGCAACGGGATCATCAATCTGGACATTCTTGACAGCTTCCATGAGCTGCTGGAAACGACGTAATTCTGTCATTCTCTGAGACTCAGAATCGTACTTGATGCCCTGAAATTCGAGTTCTTCATCTTAACCTGAGATTAGCGCTAGATCATCCCATAATGCGATGCACATACCAGTGAAAATAGAGTGGAAAGCATTCGCAATCACCTCATTATCGGAGGGTCCGCTTCGCAAACAAAGTAACATGAGAGCGAAAGGAACAACGAATTTATCTCCTACGCATGATTGGGCCAGGAAAATGGTATTTCGTATTCTTTGTTTATCGAGAGAGTTGTTTTGGAGAATGCTCCCTCGAAGGTTGCTCGTGGCTTCCGCCCAGGAACTCCAATTTTGTCGTTGGTTCAGTGCAGGACAAATGCTCGTGAAAAGGCCGCCATCAATAAGCTGCTGCATTGATATCTGAACGCAATTGCCTTTGATATCCAATCGTCCCTGACTGAGGTATTCGCCGAAGTAAAACTGGCCCTTTCTCAGGTTATGTAGCCTTCTAAGATCCGGTTTATCATCTAGCCATTCCAAGGCATCAAGATCGCGAAGGAATACTTGTTTTGGGAAGTCTCGGGTATCAATCATTATTATCTTGATATCTGAGAGTTTTGGTCTAGGACCACCTTTCTTCTCAGGGTCTGTCTGGTGACGATAAAAACCATATTGAAGAAGGAAAAGGAGAGAGCTGGACCAGGACATGAGATTACAAGGACTTCGACCACGATAACAGCAATGCCATTTCAGATGAGCTTTCAACCTAGCGGCAGCCTCTAAAGATGGAATCTGTAAGAGGTCCGTGCCACAGGGTGAGCCCCAATTGTGTTTTGTGCTTAAGTGATTGGGAGAGGCTGGAGACTCGACACAGTCAGAGCTTCTGTAGCCGTTTGAACCAGGAAAATGGAGACGGAAAAGGTAAGTTGGAGTCTTGTCAAATGAGAATAGGTTCTCTTGATTTGCTTGAGGTTGGAAGACTTGATGCATGTTGTAGGGGCTAGCAAGTGAGGAATGTGAAGCAATTCAAAGTAGTGAATAAGAGCTGGAGAATTCGACTGTGGCAAGAATAATATTTGCTGTAGAAGTTCTACGAAGTGTGAGACTACGACGAGGTTATGGTGTTGAGTAGGACTCTATATACACCCGGGCCTCGATACCAGGCCGATGGCACGGTGGTCTTGGCATTACAGGACCAACAGGACGACGTTTGTAAGTGGAAAATGTCCAAAGTAGCTTAGATTATGTCAGATAACAAGTTACTGATAGGTTTAGCAGATATGCGATCATCAAGACACAGAGATAGTTATGCTATTGATCAACATACGAATAATGCTCAAGCACTGGCGGGAAATGGCTAGGCAGTGAGAACTACGGTAAACTCTGCCACTATCAAGCAGGAGGCCTGGAACGATGCCTGATCGCAAATTCAAGATTGAATGGTGGCTGTGTCTCGAAATATGCCTGTCCATCTGCGTGACCAATCAGGATCGGTGGCCATAGGCTGCATGAGGCCTCTAGGCGGGCTGTGAATTGAGAATCTCTGTTTTAACGATATCCAATTAATCCCTGTTTATGTAATAGAACACATCATGCATGATTGACACAACGAGGTTAGGACCAACAGCTTTAAAAATGAGGCTGAGCTGATAAACACAACACGAAGCAACTGAAGGCAAATCAATCATCGACATACTACGTGAAAATGTCTTTCGGATATGCCGTGGGCGACGTTATCGCCATCCTAGGCCTCTTTGAGCGCATTGCCATCGAGCTGCGCAACTACAAGGACGCCCCGATGCATTTTCAACGGCTTTGTGCCGAACTGGATCTTGTGCGGAGCACCCTAAAGCACGCCTTGATTTTGGAACCTGAGTCCCCTGCGGAGCGTCAGACGTTGGAGAAAGTCAGAGCTATCATCACGCATTGCGGGCAGCCCCTGCAGTCCATGGCTGAGAAGATGCGAGCAAAAGAAAGCAGCTTGGGCCACTTTGAAACTACCAGGAGCCTAAGCAGTATCGGAACCAGGCTTCATTGGTCCATGATAGCGCAAGGCGATGTGGAGGAATTGAGGAAAACTATCATGTCTCAGATGGCTGCTATCAATATCCTCCTGAGCGTCCAGCAGATGTAAGTTTTACTTTACCTACCGATAGGTGTTACGGAGACTAACAGAATGCGAGGAATCGTATCGAGCACATCGCATTAAAGTCTCGTAACATTGAGACCAGCCAGTCATTGATGGTTGAGAAACATGCAAATGCCATAGCAGGACACGCATCGAACATCCTGACCATAACATCGAGAACCCAGAGTGCAATCGACGCACTGGCAGTTGATGCAGGTACTAATGCCGAAGCACAGTCCAAGCAAGCCAATATGATTAATAAGAATTTGAATGCTATTGAGAAGACAATGCTTGGCCTCACGCAGAAAACTGAGAACACCACAGCAATGGTTCGTCGCCAAGCGGCTTCCTTAAGTCGCCACGTCAAGATTCTATTTCGTCTTATGCAAGACCTGAAAGAGCTTTTTAAGCTGTGCGCAATCCCTTGAAAATTCAATCTCTATCAGCTAACGGATTCCCAGTCTGACCAGATGCTCAAAAGAAATGCTTCAAGCCATTAGCAGAAACACGCAAGTGTTCTTGACATAAGCATTGTTGAGCATACTGACAACATTACAGGTACATGCTTCTTGATATCACTGCGCAACTAAAACACATCATACGAGCTATTGAGGCAATACCACTGCATCTGACTCTTGATATCGTTCGACTAGATGATGCACATGGGGAAAGCTGGGCCTTGCCGCTACAGGCTTGTACAACGTGGGAAGTAAGCAGCAGTTATCTTGGAGTCTCATTGGAGAGGAAGACAGTTAACAGCGATACAGTCCTTCAACGACATGCTCCAATTCGTAGTCTATGCCAACAACAGGCCCGGAGCAGATTATATTACTCACAACCTATTCGACGTGTCGAATGCTAAGACTGGAAAACATGTCGATCAGAATACTTGGGCAATGTCTGTAAAACCTGGCTTCCACGTGGAGCAAGCCATGGTTGTTAAAAGGGCCCGCTCACTTGAAAGCTGCACGGATTCAGACTGCCCCGGGACATTTACGGAGCAAGTCTTGCAGCATGAGAACCGGAAAGTCTGGTGAGTTTATAGCAAGTATTTGCTGTTATAAATACGTCATTAACAATTATCTCAATAGTAATCTATGTGGTCGATGGGCTGCGACAACCTTTACGTCAACACCCCTGATAAAGTTATACAACGATGTCGAGTCTCACTTATATCCTCGTAGTCATTTGAGAATGCCCAGGAGAACGAAGACAGAATTAGGTTCTCAAATACCCTCCATAATTTCGAAAGAAAAAACACAAACCTTTCGTAGGATCAGATACCTTCAATCGATGGAGCCTATACAGAATATGGACGATGCTCATCGTCTATTGAGTGAAACCCCAACTCACCCCATGGCAAACGCCTTCATTGGACTTGAAATTCTTCGAACAGTAGAAGAAGGATTTGTGGATAATTCAGTTCAAAATGCAAGAGAACATTTAGAAATCGCCGTTAAATCAGGTAAGAATGATCTACCATTCCTCAGCTTCAGCTGAATCATGATACTAAGTCCCCTCAGATAGTTCCATTGCCGAAAATTGGTACCTCTTGGGTCGAGCATGTATTAAGCTGCAGGACTACAAAAGAGCTCATGAATGCCTTCAAAGTGGCATATATATCGAACCCAATTGCCCTTCTTTCTGGATAACAACTGCTATACTGTACTTCCGTATAAATCAGTACCGCGATTCACTCGACTGCTTAGCCCGCGCTCTCAGGCTTAATTATCATCTCTTCGAGCCTTGGTATAACCTCGGCGTCTTTGTAAGTTTCCTTAATTTTGATTCAATCAACACTTCTTTAACCAAGCCCGCAGTATGACTTCTGCAACAACCAACACGATGATGCTGTAGACGCATTTATCCGGTGCCTGGAACGGGCTCCGGGTTTGCTGAACGTTCAGGCACGAGTCGACGCTCAGATAGCCTATATTGAAGACGATGACCTGAAGCTTTTAAATGATAGCTTAATCGAAGAAATGATTGAAGCGCCATTAAGCGACCAGTACTACAAGGTTCATACCATACCTGCCTCAGCTGATCACATCACTCTGGATCCTGTTCGGCAGGATCCTTGGGAAGACAATAACGCAGATAAAGAAAGTCTAAGCGATGATGATTACACTGATTGGGAGGAATCGAGCGAAGATAACATGATTGCAGCCGACTTCTCACAGAGGATGGCTTAGGTGCGCAGGACTATATACCATGGTCTCGTGTTTTGTGTATCCGGTAGTTTTTAACAAGAGAAATTGATACAATGGGTGATATCCGTTAGTGACTTTGTTGAGCTACGAATTAATTAGTGACTGAATCGCAATATGTGCCTTGGCAGCTGGACGCATAGAAAAGCCCCAGGTTACTCTAATTGGTCTCTTGGGATCCGAGGGGCGCAGACAGCGCGGGCAAGTGTCAGTGTTCCATATTTTGCTAACAGCTAACCTGAATCTTTTTCAAAAGCTGACTTGACCAACTAGGGGCAGTTGGAACCAGACTTAAACAAATGCAGTAAGCGGAAAGCAAGCATCGTCGGTCCCGTTGACGACCATTACAGGTTCCGAGGACACTACAACTGTTGTGATCAGCGAGGCACCTACAACTACCCTCGCTGAAGTATCTACCTCTGCCGCCCTCACCGTGGATGAAGGTACTACTATCAAGCTGCTCACCACGGTCGCCGAGGAGTCTATAACTACTTCGGTTGCTGAGGCCACTACAGCTTCATTCCTCCCAATGATAACAAAACGTGTTACCTTTCGTACCGACAATGACGAGACCCTGGAGACCTGGCTTCAAACCTACAATACAAACAACCACCTAACCAGCGACAAATCCATCGCCTTGGGCCATTAAAAAAGTTGCTATTGTTTTCTCTCTGCTGGGTTTCTTTTTAAATCATCATTAAAGGGCTAACTAAGCCAAGTGACGTAAGGTCAGATCTGCTTAATTAACAAATGGTGTTTAAGTCAGCCTCGTCTTCTGAAAATGGATGGTGGCTGTGCTGAAAATCTGCCTGCTCAGCTGTTAAGTCCAATTGGACCCATGCATCCCAGTTGTTGGCTACTGCACGTGATGCTTCAGATCAGGCTCTTATGTCAATTCCTTGCATCCCCCATCAAACATCATCACAGGAAAGGTTCTGAAACTCTTTGCTTCAATCCCATGGCGTCTTCCAAGAGCACTGATTATCGCCTCGCAGTCTTTTCAAGATCTCAGGTGGATTCGAGCGACGCTGTGAAGGAACTGGAGACTGCTATTGCCAGGTTTCAAGCCATCCTAAATGATGACGATCGCAAGAAGCTACAAGAGCTCAAAACGACTTCTCACGATTCTCAATCAATAATCCTGTTCACTGCCGAGCTGGATAGGCTTGATCGGAACCGGAGAGGGAAGAGCGTCGCTACGCGACTCTCGTCATTCCTGCAGATGATTGAACAATACACTCCAATCATTGACACGTATATCCAGTCAAAGCCCGATATTTCGGCTCTAGTATGGGGATCCATCAAACTAATATTCACGGTTTGGAAACCAAGACACGACTTATGAACGGTTCGCTAATAACGAGCATAGTTCCTAGCCAATATTTCATCTTATTTCCAATCCTTCGTGGAGCTCCTGCGCGGCTTTGGCTCACTGTACACCAGGTTTACAGAGTATCAAATTGTCTTTAATGAATCTCTTCGTATAAAAGATTCTATTTGCCACTTTCACACCGCAGTTGTTAGCTGTTGTACGAAAATAGTTGTGACAATCCGCCAACCCCGTAAGTATCCCCGGACTCTATTCCATAATCCTATCGTGTTCTTTATTGCTGGTCTCAGTCGCTATGAGTTGATTATCAAATCAGGTCTTTTGTGCAGTATAGTGTAAAATACATCTAATGGTCAATTTTAGTGACAGCGCACATTTGGAAATCTATGACACAATCTTTTCAGGCAGAACTCAAGACGTATGTTGAGGATATCAGATCGAAGGCTGAACATGTGCAGCGAGACATTGAACTAGTCAAAGCTCAGTATGATCGCGAAGAGCAACAACTCCAGACTAGAGAGCGGCAAGTGGCATCAGATCACCGCAGAAATCTATTTGCCTGGACATCGAAAGCAACTGCTGAAATGAGGATGCTTCAACTTCGTGGTAGGAAAGTCGATACAGGTAAGTATCTAAAATAGCTCAACTCAACCACAGTTCAGAAGCTAAGCACGTCGCGCAGACCAACGACGCTACCGTTTGCTCCAAGAACTTTCCTCGTACAACTTTGCAGCCGCTCTGAACATTATACGTACTAAGCGGCATCTTGGTACGGCACAGTGGATCTTTGAAACACAAGAATTCAAGGAGTGGATGGTGCTTAATAATTCAGCATTCCTACATGTCACTGGAAAGAGTACGTTTCTTCCCGCTTGTGGTCGTCACAGTTTCAGGAGCTGACTTTAGCAAAGTTGGATCTGGAAAGTCAGTCCTAGCGTGAGTATACGAACTCTGCTGGCTATTAGCTGCTGACTTACCTCTTCTCCAGATCCTCGGTAGTGGATAAGCTCTTTGAGAATCGTCCCCCACAGCAGTTTACGTCCTTCTTCTTCCTCCGGTTTGACGATCCATCAAGCTTGGACCCACATACAATCATTCGTTCGTGTCTACAGCAGTTGTTATCGGCAATTCCCATGGCCGATTTGCGACCGGGGCTTGCCTCTGATATCGATGACTGCCTGGAGCGCAACAAGGAGTTGAATTTCGCCCTACCTTCTTTGAGGCAACTGTATTATCATGCATCCGAAGCTGTCGACACCTGGTTCATCATTCTTGATGGGTTAGATGAATTTGCACCGAATCAACAGTCGACTCTCCTCGATTTCCTCTCTCGAGTTATTGATACACTTCCAGAGTCTCGCTCTATCAAGATTCTGTTTTCCTCCCGCGAAACGTCTTCAAATGCTATACAACGGGCATTTCCTAATTGCCCTCAACTGATGACCGGCGGGCAATGCACGAGTGATGACATTAGTGCGTTTGTGGAGGACATACTCAAAGAGAAGGTTAAGGCTTATGAGCTTGTTGTGTCAGACCCTCGGTTACTTGACGAAATTCGTGAGACCATTGATTCAAAGAAGCAAGGAATGTGAGTACAATACTCAGACCTGACGTATCGCTTCTAACTGTCTACATAGGTTTCTATGGGCATTTCTCACCATCGAGGATATGTGTTCGAGAAAAACCGATAAGGAAATACGTCAGGCGCTCCAAGAGATCCCGACTGATCTTCCAGCAACGTTTGACCGAGCACTGAGCCGAATAGTAGAGAAACAAAACCAGGATATTGCAAAGAAAGCGTTCATGTGGACGAGAGCGGCAATACAGCCACTGACTCTTGCTCAAATACGAGAGGCTCTGTCTATTGAGATAAACCAACGCACATTGCACCAGGACGATCTCATCAGCGGCATAGACCGACTGCCAACTTGGTGCGAAAGTCTGGTATATGTAGAAGAGACTGACAACACAGTGCATTTCAGCCACCATTCAATAAGGGAATATCTCCTGACGCCCGGTTCCGGGAAATTCTTCAATCTTCATATCGAGGACGCGAGCTGTAATCAGCTCGCCGGTGAGGCTTGCATCACTTATCTCAACCTTGATAACTTTCAAACGGCACTAGTCCAAAATCATAGCCAGAACGGTTTGAAGCTTGACGTGGGCGAAATGGCCGGCCAGACGGTACAAGATGCAGTCAGAGGAAGCCTTGGTACACGTATGGGTCGTCTTGTGCGAAATGTGGTCAAGTCACAGCAACACACTGGAGGTTCGATAAACCAAAGCGTCGTCCCCAATCTCTTCCCTCGAGGGATTGCGAACTTTGAATTTCTCAAATACGCTTCACAAAACTGGTTCATGCATGCGGTGAGGCTAGATTCAAAAGCTGATGCGACTACATGGAGGAACCTTGGCCAACTTATCAAGAATCCCCCTCCCCAGGCAAAGTATCAGCCATGGACTGATGATTCTTGGAGGGTTAAGGTTAAGGAAATTCTGGATTCCGATGCTGGCCCGCTATCGGCATTCTACAAAAGTGTTTTACTGTCTTTGTCTCAGGATGATTCAAGGGATCCATTCACCACAGACCTTTATTTTGCTTTCATTCATGCAGACTATCACCTCAACTGGGGCCTTTCCTGTCGTGTATTTGTCTTACTGGCCGATTATTATAGGACATCTGGCAGTGTGCCTACACACTTTTATATATTGGCGGCTCACAAAAGGCATGCGCTATGCCGAAATAGATGCCTCAACCTCGCAAGACCGCAACTCGATCATACTTTGTTCGTTCGCGTTACAACAGTTGCAATTGCAAATGGTATATCACACCTCCCGGCCCCAGATCCGGACTCACCAGCCCCCTCTTGTGATTGTGCGAAGGAACCACGGTATCAATTACAAGAGGATGTCTGCCAGCTTATTCAGAGAGGATATTATAGAGCGTTACAGCCGCACATCCACGCGCTCGCTGTTCTATCGAGACAGATCGAAGGTGCTATTCGAGTCACGTCGCTGAGTACATTGATCAACAGTTGCGAAATTGATGCAAATACTCTTATAAATTCTAAGACGATCACTGGGAAAACGCTTTTTGATATTCTGGTGGAAGGCGCCTTGTCCAACTTTGATACTTTCAAGGCCAGTGGGTATTCGAAGCATCCACATGGATACGTAGTATCCCATGGTCAGGACAAGAGAACGAGAGAATTCTTCGAGTACTGGGACCACATAGCTGTTGGCTCGTCTTGGCAGACTAGATTGGAATCCAGCATCGCACTCATTGGCCTCCTTCAGGCTGGTCGCGAGGGCAGCTTTGCGGCGGTCTTGCAAAACTTTCAACACCTCGATTCCAGTGGTGGACTTGTTCCATTGCACAGAAGGACTATAGCACGTGTCTTTAACGAGGCTATAGTCCCGACCACATGGCCATATAGTGTGGTAATACGCGCGGTCACATCCTTTTTCGAACACTTAGACCATCTTGGTCTTGGCGATATACAAGAAGATATCTTCAAGCGGTCAGTCTGGCGCAACAACTGGAGTCTTGCGACGGCCCTTCTTTCCATCCGGCCTGTTTCAGCGGATGCTAGGATATATGGCGACTTGAGACATATCAGGAGTGCATTACGCTGCGAATCATGCCAAAGGCTTAATTTTGGAGATTACTGGAAAGGTGAACTCATCGATGAATCGTCAACTTGCTTTAAGCTTTGCCCTTTTCACCTTCAACTGATCAAGAAGAGAACTAACGAGGATCTCCTTCTGATTCAAAAAGATGCCCTGCAATGCCCAAATGGCGCCAACGAGAAGGATGATTGGAGAAAAACGATGATTGGAGGTTTTGTTTCGGCGGCGTCTTAGAACTCTCCCTCAACATCCCATCATGCATTAAGCAATCGTTGGCTTATATATGTAGAGATATTACTATATGAGATAAATAGGGGTTAAAATAGTGCTGATGATAGTATCCAACATTATTGCTTACATCTTCCGCTGACGCTTTGTAACTCAAGATGAATCCATTAAAGATATTTCACTTCTTGGAATGGACCTCTAACACTTGCATAACAAACCAGCCCAGCTCTAAAGGTCATTCAGCTGGTATCCGCGGCACTAGTACAAATACATGATTCCTTCTCTTGTAGTTAAGAGAAAGTATATTCTTTCCTGCTCTGTTCAGCCACAAAGGCTTTTCCTGCACACAAACCCAATTAAAGCAAACTTTCAGTCTCTCATCATAACATCTACTCTTACCAACGCATTACCTCCTCCGGTGGCACACGCCCTCTCTCAAGGATCCGTCAGCCCAAAGCTTAAGTACACTTATAGCGATATTTTCATACAGGCAGTTGGGGGCAACAACTGGGAGGTTGCCGAAGCTCCAGTAGCCATATGGTCTGAGCCATCTCAGGTGCTGCCGATGGCTCTGGGGTTGCCAAAAACGGTTTGCTGAGTGATTCCTGTTGCGCTCGTTATCAATCCAGGTTCAAGCACTCAGATTCTTTCGCTTATGGTATGTCCCATCAGAATCCTTATCTGCTGTCTGTTGGACATGCAGAGACTTAGCGATAATTGTAGTTGTGTGGATATCTACTACGACAGTATCCAACAAAATCTTTACTAAATCTAGAGTGAGCTTGCGAAATGCCTTGATTGTTAATATTTCTACTACGAACTGGCAGCGCTTGTGGTAGGAAGCAATAGTGTTGTGTGATTGATTGTTCTGTTGTCAAGTTACACACTCGCTATATCCATCAAACTTACAAGTTCTCATTTCATCTCTCCTTTCACCTTAATCAGTCTTGAGTGGTTATCTTACCTTACTCGTCACTCTTGCTTGGTAAGCAATATCATCCTCTTTTCACCGCAAACTGATCCTGTAGCTAACACTGCACGCCTTTTGTCTTGACATTCTACCCACTTTATAGGCCCTTCTGGCAAGCTACCATCAGGCAATGTCCACGCAAGATGTCTGATCATGCCTGAATCAAGCCTTGGGGCTATATCCGGTGTATACTCAATCCTGTCCCCATATTCAGTTGGTATACTTTCAATATCTATGGAAGGGTGTCAAGGTCGAAAGAGCACTATCAGCTCGTTTATCGCCGAATTAAGCAACTAAAACCGTAATACTCAGCTTTGTTGTATTACAAAAGGCCTGATTAGAAGAAAGTGGCATAAGGCCCGGAGATGTTCGCATTGTAATCAACTTGGTGACATGGCAGTTCACTAGCTCAAGATGTTAGATATTCTACAAGAGAGGGTAATATAATAGTTAATACATCCTATTTATTTTATAGTGTTTTGTCTTGAACAGACTAATCCTAACTCTCCTTATTAAGAAAACTAATGGCTAGGCTTACTCCAGCTTAACCATAGTGCTCTTAATCTGACCAAGGGCTTTGTATGCCGCATACGCCTCTGCAGCTTCCGGCTTTCCATAAGCTGCCCTAGCTTCCTATAGTGTTTGATTAGCATTGTAATCTTTCCGTTTACCCTTGAGTAGAACTTACCTCGAGGCTGTCCCATCCGATCATACCTAAGCCAACAGAAGGGCCATTTCCAACGCTGACGCCTCCCCAAGTTTCCTTTCCAAGTGCTGAGGCAAGATCCGCCCAGGCTTTGCGCAGCTCGACGCGTTTCTCCGGGTTGTCGAGAAGGACTGTTGTAAACTGAGTGAACGCCTTGGGTGAGGCATTGGCAGGGAAATCGGGGACCTCGAACTTGCCAGCTACAGGTTCGCCTCCCACGCGCTCGTTATATCTTGCCTTGTGCTCCTGGGACCATGCAGAAGACTGGAAACTTTCGAAATCTTGAGCAGTATTGAAAGCTGTTCACGTTCAGCATCAATGCAGGCTCTTTACGTCTTCCTTCTGTACTTACCCAAGGTCTGGACAAACTTGAAGCCGGTGAAAGCAGCGCCGTCCTCTGCTACAACGGGTCCTGCTGACACTCCAGCGACACCAGGCTGAGACTTAAGGTCCTCCTTCAGAGTGGGCCAAGCTCCGAGAAAGCGTTCCTGGCTCTCAGAGGGGATCTCTGGGACGGTGATAACGAAGATAGCCATTGTTGCTGGGATTAGAGGTCAAGGTGAGTTTTAATTGTGTGTGATAATCTTGAATGTTGACTAACTGTCTAACAAGACCGGGAATAGATGGTTTTTATAGCTTTCCAAGCGGTGAGCTCTAGATATTTGTCGGATTCCGGAGCATTGTTAAACACCGCCTCGGGATCAGACTATGCTTAATCGCACTGCGCTTGCCCTGTACTCTGTACTAAATATAGGTAAACTTTTATATCGTGGTTCCTGCATTAACTATCCCTTTTTCTAGTGGTAGTTATGTGTGTCAGATACAAGCCAACCTTGTATTGCCAAGCCGTGGCGTATAAGCGAAACAGTTCGCTTTCGCTCTCGGTGTCATTGTAGGCCCCGAAAATAGCTTAATCTACGTATACGCGTATGTAAACTGAAGAATAATAAATTTTATACATCCTTTACCGGATGCACGAGTTCCGTGATTATTATTATTAACACATATAATTACTACAACCGCCTTTTCATAAATAACTCAAGCTACTAACAAAACAAGTCAACGCTTTACTAGGAATAAGCCAGCCACCCATGCCAAGCATTCCTGATCCGCTCTGCCTTTGATACAGAGATATACGCCGAATTGGCAAGTCTATCTTGTAGTTCCTTAAACTTGGCTGTAGGAGCCCCCTTGTCGAAAAGAATATCCAATTCCAAATATGATAGCTTCTTTGTTTCAGGAAGCCGAAAATAGCACCATATAAGACAAAGGAAAGACGTAGCAGCATACACCAGACAAGACCTACCACCCAGGTCCCATGCAGTCGGGTTCAAAAGCTGTGGCGCGACAATGTTATTGATGATAGTGAAGACGTTGTACACGATCCTTGCGAAGGCAATGGTCTTGATCCGAAGCCTTGTTGAAGGTATCTCGGCCACGATTACATAGCAAGCCGGGCCAATGGACATGTTGTAAGTAAAGGTCATCAGGATAATCAAGGAGCCGAGAGCCCAGTTCAGCGATGAGTTGTTGGCCAGTATAATGGACAGAATGCCGCCTGTGGTGAGAATCAGCAATGCAGCCACCAAGCCTGCTAGGTAGAGCCTCCGCCTTCCGATCATCGATAGTAGTACCCAGGATATCATGCCGCCTAAGATGCCGAGGCCATACATTCCCGTAGCTAGAGTGAATGACTTGGAGGATTCGAAGCCTGCTTGTTCTAGAAAGTATGGGGCATACCCGGTCAAGGTGGCACCGCATAGGGCTTGGCAGGACCAGGTCATACAGCACACTTCGGTCCTGCGGCGGTTGCAGCCTCTGAAGAGATCCAGAAAGCTCGCACCACCGTATCCGAGTTGCTTCTCTGTTGAATCAACGTGCTGCATGATGGCGATTGTATCTTCGATGTCGATGTGCTTGTTGCTCGTGAGTCTCTGCAGTGAATGTCGAGCCTCTGATAGTCTCTCGTGTCGGATTAACCACCCTAGAGGTGCCAAATAAGTACAAGTCCAGATAGATACTTCGAGTAGGAAAGGTCTTACAAGGACTTTCAGGGGCGAAATAAATAGCAAACAGTAGTGGGACGGCCCATGCCCATTGCAGGGCAAAGGGTAGGCGATACGACCAATCTGAGGTGTTCTTGATAAGCACTCGCAGTATTCCAGTGCCCATGAGCTGGCCAAAGAGCCAGCACATGTTGACATTGCTGAGGATGGCGGCTCGGATAACTGAAGGCACTACTTCAGCAGCGTAGGTCGCTGCCAAAGTTTGGATGACGCCCCATGACAAGCCTTGAGAACTATCTGTCAGTCGTTGCGATAATTGTTTAGGAAGAGTGCATCAGGTTGATAGGCGGCGATAAACTTACCACAGAGAGCTTGGGATGCAAGTAGCAGTGCGATATTGTGAGCGAAGAAAGCAGGGAATACTGCAAGACACATCCACACAAGCGCGGCAATCATCATCTTGCGGTATCCAATCGCATATGAGATATAACCATGGGCAAGAAGGCCTATAATCTCGCAACCCACGGCAGCATTCTGGAGCCCCATTTGCCACAGTGGCGATATCTCATAGTCTCGTCTCCCATCGGAGCCGGCCTCTGCCAGGCTGGGTTCTCCGTACCGACGTCTAAAGGACGGAAAGGCAAGGAAGCCAGAGATGAGGGACTTATCATAAGCCTCCATGACTACGGTAAGGAAGAGAAGAAAAGACCACATAATCGCCTTGGGGAAGTTCCGGCAGCATCCAAGCAGAGTCATCTCTTTCTCGCTTGCCAGGCCGCGATGGATACGTGCGCCGACACCGCCCGAGCTTGTTGATCGGCGAGGGAGCCATATTGGATTGTCAATGGTGTTAGTGTAGACATTTGAGGTCTGACGGGCAAGGTCTTCTGAGGGGTTGTCGTCGACAACTGACTCGTGAGAAACAACTGTCTTGGAGGTCATGGATATGAGTACGACCTCATCCTTGCTGGAGTTGGCATTTGACCCAAACATTGTTCCATATAACCGAAGAGTGGGGTACAAAAAGACAAAGATGCATCAGGGACAAGCATTTGACGCTGATCATGTACTGGAAAATGCATGGTGTTATATAAGTCCTCCCAACCTTGGCAGGATTTGGCTTTAGGCCTGATACAGCCACCACTGGAAGCCACAACTGGTTTCCCCAGGCTCATTTCCCCAGATTTCCCCTGACCTTTGCAGGAATTAGACAATGGCTGAGGGTCATATGGCTGGGGGAACACGAGGTGAGACGATTGATTGGGACGCTACTTGTCTGTGATCTCCTTGATAGCGTTTGGGGAGGCTCCAGCTGAAATACCAACTTGGTTTGGTGCCGTTCCTTTTAGGTATAGTTCCTCAAACTAACAGGACAATGGTTGTCAGTGGCTAGTTTATCGGTCCGATAACCTATTCTGCGTTCAGGGTAGGACTCCTTCAGTATCTCAAAACAAACTAATCATTAACTCAATTGCCTCCTTTGTAATCAATAATCAAGGGATTGTCATGGATTACATCAAAGGGTCTGATCCTGTGGCCCGATCAGGACCTTTTTTGTAGGTATGTCGACTTTCGCTCTGAAACCTTGACAGTGGAGGCCATATCCTTTGTTGGATGGTGAAAGATACGTTTAGACAACGCAACCACTACGAACCCGTGCCCCCTGGACTAGTCGGGTGATGGATGACATGAGAAAAATAGTCTGGTGTTAGTATGGAATGCGCATTTCGGAGTTGAATGGTTGCACTTCGAAACGGAATTATGCCTAGCCAAATCTAGTTTCGAAGCAGCAGTATTGTCTTCCAGAAACCATGCCTGGCTTCTACGGCGCCCTCACACGGCTGATTACATCCGTCATCAAGACAACTCTCAAAGGACTATGAAATTCAGATTTGGAAACTATCGAAGCCATTGCCTAAATCTTTACCCTCTAACGGCTTAGTCGCTCAGTGTAGACCTCCGCAAGGATACGATCCTTCTTGGCAATATCTGCCACTCCAGTCCGGTCTTTAAAGACGCTATCCATTTCTTCAAGAGACTTTCCATTAGTCTCAGGCACACTGAACCAGACCCAGACAAAGGACAGAAGACAGAAGACAGCAAAGAAGACATAGGCGCCGAAGCCTGTTTCGCGGACAAGAGGTGGCGTAATGAGCCCAATGACAAAGTTGTTAATCCAGTCTAACGAGGTTAGTGGCTTGACGCTTGATAGAAATGATAGGCTTACTTGAACAAGTGGAGATTGCCACACCCTTTGCTCTGAGAGACGACGGGAAGACTTCCGCTGGCATGGCCCAGGGAACAGGTCCCCAAGAAGCACCGAAGGCAAGCATGTAGAAAAGAAGGAAGGCGACACTTGTCCAGCCCTCAGCAGTATGACTAGGCCAGTCGTTGGAGAACCTGCCTACCAGGACAGCAATGATGAGATGCGGAACAAACATCAGGAAGCTGCCCCAGAGGAGGATGCCTCGGCGACCGAAACGATCCATGGTCCATAAACTTGATAGAACACCAATCAACTGCGACACGTTGAGGACGCCCGACATGATGAGTTGCATGTCAAAGTCGAGGCCCATAGTGCCGAACAGTGTTGGTGAGTAATAGATCAAGGCGTTGATGCCAGTGAACTGTTGGAAGAACATGAGACCGGCACCAACAAGAGTTCGACGCCTGCAACCAGACTTGAAGCAATCTCCCCAGCTCACAAGCTCAAGTCGAATCTTTCCTACAACATCCGTTCTTTGAGTGAGATTAGGGTGTCGTTCGCGGAGAACACTTGCTTGGAATCGGGCTTCGGCAATAATGTCCATCCATTCGCGTTGGACTCGGGAATCGGACTCGGGAAGAGCGCGTAGCTTGGCAAGATTGGACAAGGCTTCCTCTTCGCGATCCTTGGAAGCTAGCCATCGAGGAGAGTATGGTAGGAAAATAGCACCAAAGCCCAACAGGAGACCAGGGAGAATTTGGAGGAGGAATGGGAGTTGCCAGGACCAGTGGCTGGGGATCCCCTGCAAGAGTAGATATTAGTGCACAGCTTTGCGCGAGTAAAGAAAATGGTTTACCTTTGTCCCGTAGGTTATCCAGAAAGCAACAACAATGCCGATAACAATAGACAGCTCTTCGAAGACTAACAACGCACCCCGTATTTCAGGTGGGGAAATCTCTGCAATGTAGAGCGGCACCACCATGGATAGTCTGACAGATGTGAATGGTTAATGTCAAAGAACATAGAGTGTTCACATAAATGAACAAAATAAAAGGCTGAACTCACTGTCCAATACCAATGCCACCGATAAAGCGTCCTACAACCAGCATGGCATAGTTGATAGCAGCGGTCTGAAGAGTAGATCCAATCGTAAATACCACAACAGCAACCATCAGCGAACGCTTTCTGGATATCCAGTCAGAGATCCAGCCCTGGTTGATGGCACCTATGAATGCCCCGAGCGTGATCATGGCGGTCATGAGGCCCTTCTTGAAGCCTGCGCCAGGAGCATCATCAGAGACTTCGGGGAATCGATCGAGAAAATGATCCATGACAAGGGTCACGGAAATGACACCTTGATCATAGCCAAAGAGGAGGCCACCGATAGCCGAAAAGGCTGCGCAGGCTGCGACGTAGGGAGACGAGAAGAGGCCGCGGAACCCTAGTTTGTCAGCTTGTCACAGGTGATATGGTTACAACGTATGCCGAGGACAGTTCTCGCTAACGTGTTAAGGCCAATGGGGGAATCATATCATACCGGAAGGACCATATGGCTCCAGAGAAGTGTCCATGCCAGCGTGCTCCTCTGTAATAGCACCACACTCGTCAAGCTTGTCCTTGACGGGATCGAGTTGCTTATCCATTTTGAGGGTGTTATAAGTAGATCCTGAATGTAGATGAGCATGAATAATCTCTGGTGATTTTCCAGGGAGAGAACCTGATCTATTATAGTTTAAAATCTCGGTCTACTCAGCGACTTACCAACGACAATAGATAACCAATGAATGGAGGCGGGTTACTTTCGTTATACGGCAGTGACATGGATTAAACACGGGGTAGTTTGCGGGGAAGCGCGAGTCAGGTCTGTAGAGTTTTGGGGTAACAGTGGGACAAGTCTTCTTCCAAGAACCATCGGGCAATGGCCCGTCCCAGGACCCATCAGCTTGGGGGGTTAAGCCTGTTCAGGTTAGAGTGTCGGATCTTTTCACCTTTAAACGCAAAAACGGAGCATATCCCCGACTCTTCGGCCTTTTTTGCCCTTGGAGCAATGTCATATAATCGGGGCAACCTACCCCTCAAGATAATTTGCACCAGACAACAACGGCAAAATTCGATCTGAGAGAAAATGAGCACAGCTACTGCATGTCTTGTAAGTGAAATGAGATATCGGTAACCATGCCGAGATGCCACTTGCCACTCTGACCATCATGAGGCCTGCAAGAGACAGCATCTCAAATGCGTCTGGGGTCCACAAATTGCTGGAGAAAGTACACAGACATGCCTTCGATGCGCTTCGATGGGCAAGGTTTGCGCCACGGCGCCTGTTTTTCGTTTCAAACACTCAACTACGTATGCCCGCTCCCTGACTGTTAGGTATCATTGCGATGATTAGAAGGCTGAGATCCACCGCAGGTCATCCCCAAATCAAGTTTGGGTCCCTTGTTCAAGACGATGTAAGTGATCCCTATCCACGCAGGCTTCAACTTACGAGCTCCCAAGTACAATTCGTGGATGAGACACCTGATGTTGAAGGTTATTATCTATCGGACTCGGAAAGCCTAAGCCAATGGCAGCATACCCATGGTAACAGGCTTCATTCTCATAATGACCAACTTACGGATGTTGGGTCTGTTGCCTCTCCAACGCCTCACACGCCAGCAATTGCGATGTGTGGAGGAGATGGAGTCATTGCAGTAAGCAAAGACGTTTCTCGCAATTATGGCCCAATTCCGCACGGTTCGACGCTGGGATTGGCCAACGTAGAATCAGTACCCTACCCTTTGACGGAGAACCACGAAGTAAGATTGATGCAATATTATTTAACTTACATGTGTACATGGGTACGCCATTCTATTCTCTATTTGGGTCGATAGGGAGTACTGATCTATGGCAGTTCGATCTCTGCGATTCCAGCCGCCACTTTGCCAACATTGTCCCCCCTCGAGCAGCATCTTGCCCGACTCTCCTGAATGCTATCTTTGCCCTGTCCTCCAGACATCTCAGCCTCAACGCGCAATATGACCCCTACGCCTCTGATCGGTACCATCAAGCGTGTCTCAAACACTTGACAACAATCTCAAACGACTCCTCCGCCCTCAACGATGACAATCTGCTAGCAGCGACTATTCTTCTTCGAACTCTCGAAGAACTCGACGTTCCCCTTATCGGCACCGATCACGAAGGTCACCTGTTAGGAATACAGCTATTCATGAACACTTGTGACTCTACAACAACGCCTAGTAGCCTCCGCTTAGCCTCCTTCTGGATTGGCATGAGACAAGAGGTAACGATGAGCTTCGCGAGCCAAAGGCCTGTCAAGATCAGGCTCGACCATGGTTTCATGGATCGGTCTCTCTCTGAAGCCGACGATGATACATGGGCAAATCGCATCATTGTTCATAGTGCAGATGTTATAAACTACTGTTTTGGAAATAACGGTCCAAATAGACACCACTACCAAGAGCTGGTTGACTATGATCAAGCTTGGCTACGAGCCCGGCCAGTGTCATGGCTGCCTATTGCCTATAGTGCTTCGGACGAGAGCTTGGGCGAAGCCTTTCCACATATCATTTATTTAAACCACGCTGTTGGTACGTTGGAGGATTTACTTCGAGAAAACTTGCTAACAGGCAGCAGTCATCGGCCAAGTTCATAGCATATTTGCTCGCATTCTCCTCATGTGCCATGATGACCGGGTACCACGAATTGGACCAGCTGCTCAGCTAGCTCGGAAGCAAATCGACGTAGGTTGAGATGTACGTCTGATCATGACAATGTATTCTGACCGGTTCAGGACGATATCCGAACCCAAGTCCGAGAGCTTTGCGGAATAGCTCTCTCGAATCCCTCCACAAGACCCGCCACGTTTACGGCCTGCATGGGGGTGACGGCATGTGGAGATCGATTTACCGAGAGACGGGACCAGGAAGCGTTATTGGATGTGTTGATGTTGACCCAGAATACCCATTCCTGGCCCACTGCTTCAGCACAGGACCATTTGAAGAAAGCATGGGGCTGGGTGGATTTATGATCCATTCAACCTTGAAAAAGTACTGGTATTATAGCTTCAGTCAATTTTATCCGGTAGAATAGTCTTTAACACAATGGTTGAAGGCTTGACAAATCGAAAGACTTAGACATCTGTTAATTTTAATACTCCATGATGGGAACGCAATCGATCCTCAAGATCTGTCATGTACGATGTACGGTGTAGTATAACGGGTCTGAAATACTGTGGAGCTTTTTTCGGAACGTTTAGTCGCAGTCTTTATGTCGGGGCAAATTACCCCGAACCAGCATGGAACTCAAGGCGAAAGCGTCCGAATGCTCTACTCCACCATCTTCTTTCGCGTCGAGCCAGTGCTTTTCCCTAGCATAAAAGTCCAAGACGAGATAATACATCTTTTTCCATCAACATGGAGACACTAAATCGACTGCCAGGGTTTGTATAATAAATAAGAAAGCCAGGTCCGCAGTATCCCACTTCTTACCCTTGATTCACCTCCTTCATTTCCTTCACTTCTTCCCCAAACTCAGCACTCTTGATATAATGGCACCTCGCAAGCTCCAAGTTGGAGTCGCTGGTCTTGGACGAATGGGCAAGAGACATGCCCTTAATTTCCATCAGAATGTCCCTCGAGCTGTTCTTGTCGCAGTCACTAGCCCTGATGCTGCCGAGAGGGAATGGGCTGCCGAGAACCTCGCTCCTGATGGGGTAGCTATCTACGAGAACTACTCTGACATGATAGCTCACATCGGCTTGGATGCTGTTTGTGTCGCCTCTGCCACTGCGGTGCATGCTGAACAGACCAATGCGGCTATTGCGGCCGGAAAGCATGTCTTGTGCGAGAAGCCCCTTGGCACAACAGTTGAGATTGTGAGTGCTTCTCGTGACCTCTTGCGAAATATGCTAATGACTCAGTCTCAATCTGTTGTTGACGCCGCTGCGACCCGTCCCGATCTCAAAGTAATGTGTGGTTTTTCCCGGCGTTTCGATGCTTCATACCGCGACGCGTACGAGAAAACAAAGTCAGGCTTGATTGGCCGCCCATCTGTTCTTAGGAGCCAGACTTGCGATGTGCTAGATCCTTCAGGCTTTTTTGTCGCATATGCTCAGTTCTCTGGTGGCATATTCGTTGATTGCAGTATTCATGATATTGACCTGGCCCTATGGTTCTTCGGTCAAGAGTCCAGAGTTCGATCAGTCCACGCTGTTGGAATTACTGCTGTGGAACCGGATCTACGACAGTATGATGATAGGGATAACGCCGTCGGTATTGTCGAATTCTACGATGGTCGCATTGCGTATCTGTATGCCTCACGCATGATGGCTGCTGGTCAAGAGGATACAACAGAGATTATCGGAACAAAGGGGAAATTGTCTGTGAACTTGATCCCGGTCGAGAACCACGTTCGAATCTACGGACAAGAAGGTATCAGGCACGAACTTCCTCAAAACTATTGGGGACGATTCCAAGCAGCATTCACAAGAGAAGCCATTGAGTTTACCGACTGCGTGCTGGATGACAAGCCTGTACCCGTTGAACTTGCATCAGCAGTAACAGCAGTGCGTATTGGCGCGGCTTTGCAGCGGTCTATGATCATGGGGAATAAAATTCTCTTTGACGAGAGTGGCAACGAGGTGAATAGAGCTCAATTATAGTACGGTGGCTTTAGCGCAACTTTACCAAGCCAGTACTGCAAATAAAATATCATAGCTACACTGTAACAAAGTCTCTCATTGCTATTGCTGTTCCTACTACAGCTTTGAGACATACTTACCACGAGTAACTTCAAACCTAGGATCACCCATGACAAACTGGCAAGTGGCCATCTGACTCACAAGCCGGTCGTTTCTCAACCGTTCCATCACAACAGCCTCTCCAGCAAACATAACCTCCACATTACCATTATTCCATCGAGGCAAGAGTGTAATCTCCCCATGAGGTGGAATCCTTCCAAGATAAGGCTCTCTCAAGGCCTCGCAAGTACCGAGCTCGGGACCCCAACTCGACAGCATAGCTGCACTTGCTCGTGTATGATCCGTGACAAGTGCATCGACGGGTCCTTTAGGTATCAGACCTGGATTGGCAGGGTGTGAATGGGCTATCTCGAGCATGTCCCGAAACGTCTCCTCACTCCAAGTGCTATTGCTGTTGCGAATTGCCATTGCTGCTTGGGCCAGAGTCTTGGGGTCAGGCGAGATAAAGTCGCTGGTGTTCACAGACACGGGGAACAAATCCACGCAGGCTGGCATGTAGTTGTTGGGTAAAGGGGGCGTTAACCGACGACGGATGTTTCCAGCAAAGACTATCTTGCTAGTCTCAGGTAGAGGATCAGGGCCTGATAAACCAGGAGCATATTTGGCTGCGAAGAATCGGTTCCACGCGAAAGCAGTCAAGCAGTCCGTAGACGACACTTTTGAGCCGCCAGGCAAGACCTCTTGGATCATGTGCTGAAGCTGCTTTATTGAGGACTGTGAAAAGGTCCAGACAGAACAAGACAGTGTGCGGAGTTCATCTTCAGTAAACCTCACGAGATCGTCATTGGTCAGACGTGCCTTTGTGAAGAGGTTTGACACTTTCTCCGCGACATCTTCCGGGCGTCGAGGGTCGAGCATGTCGAGGTGGGGAAGCTTCGCCGCACGAGCTGCCAGCTTGTCAAGATCCTCCTCGATACCCACGTCAGGTGTCAAGAGGGAGCGATCCATCAAGTCCGACGATATCTGCTGGGGGAGAGGAGGTACAGGTTGGCCATTAAGTCTGGCAGTCGCTATCGCACTCGTGTTCTGTGACCAAGACCTGAGGAAGTCCATAAACTGTACGAGGTCCCCAATCACATGCGTGATAGACATGGTCAAGACTATACCGCCTTTAACGACATTAAACTGAGGTGCAATTATAGGATCGCCGTCTTGAACGTAGGGGAAGTCTTGTGGTCGGAGCTTGCTAAGGCCATCTTCTTCGCCATCCCCGAAAGGCCACCCGTTATCCTTTAGCTCTTGGTAAGAAGGAACATCTGCATCGTGACGATGGTCTCGATACCAGAAGTTTGTGCCGGCATGCGGTGCTTCTCGAGTCTCAATGGCGCAACGTCCAGTTTCGTCCTTTCTGATAATGCCAGAGAGGTGCGGATGCTCGTATATACACCTGGAGAGGCCTTTCTTGCAGTCCTCGTAGAGCTGTCGGGCGTCGGCTCCTGGCTTTAGAGGAAAGAAGTGTGTAGGCGAAGGATACACCGAAGCGGTGAGATTATCGAGAGCTGAGCACTTCACGGTGGATGGCCGTATGTGGCCTGCTGGTTCGACCCATGAGTTGGACATGGTTGATTCGTCGTTTCTGTTTCCAGCCATACTTGAGTAGAATGGCTTCTGCTCTCGTAGAGAGATAATAGACGGTCATCACATACTGGCTCTCATTTTGTACGATGTCAGGCGAACACGTGAAAGCAATCGCGCTTCTCCCTTCAATGCTGTTATGATATCAACTTCACTTTGACCCCCGTTTCAGCTATATTATAACTACACCCTTTCTATTTTCGCAATCTAAACTCAACACAGTAAAGGCCGCGAAAATGCTGAACATTCGATAAGGGGTAGATCATCTACCCTTTAGTGTATTTTGCGTTACACTTGCAAGCTTCGGATATGAAGTTTAAACCCTGCACCGCTGTGGCTCGGACCGCTCTTTTGTCACATTCCAATTGTCGAATCATGTCTAAGCGATATCGCCTATCAGGTTAAACAGATGTAACATGCGCTTGGACCAAAAGCCCCGATTATACATCTCCCTTCGTATAAGGATCTGCAGTCAGGGAGGATACTACGCATAAGCTTTATCGGAATGTGTCAGATAAACAAGACTCATGTGCCTGTGCAGCATATCGTCCCAATCATGTGCTGGTCAAAGCGCAAATACGAAATCATTCGGATTCTCGCGAGTCTGGGAGTCTAGACTAATGGAATGTATATACTTACAATCTCGGCATCTGGAGAGTCTAATGTATCGGATTCTCATCTTGCTTTATCTATCAGGTGCCTAGGACGTCCTTGACATTTTGACACCAATTGATTTTATACTCCCGCAACTTTCAAGCTTTGACACTACCAAAACAGAATCTTCATTATGTCCAGTGCCATACCATTTATTCCATCCGCCTGCTTCACTTTTACCACCATTCAATCACAGCCAAACACGCATGGAAAAATAGTCAAACTGTCAGCAATCGACCAAATCGCTCCAAGAGACTACATTTCATCATGCCTGTTTTTTCCTGTGTCACAGAATTCGGATAAGAGACATATCTTTCATCTATTCGAGCGGGCTCTAGTCAACACGATCAGTGACATCCCGGAACTTGCATGTTCTGTGCGACGGCCCATCGGAAACGACCGGGAAGAGGTTGAGCTTCTATTCGATAGCAAGCAGGGTGCCAGACTCAACTACAGGGATTACACAGCGCCGGAACTTCGGACTCTATGGAAGTTCGGTACGTTCCACCAACTTGAGAAGGATTGTTTTCCTCTCCATATCCCAAGACATATTATCTTTGGCACATCTGCAAAGCTAGTTCCGGGTGCATGTATTCCGGCGTTGGTACTTCAGTGTAACTTCATACCTGGGGGCCTTATACTCGGAACCTGTCTCCATGTAAGTTTCCATTTTCTACGCTATTTGATTCTTGCTCTTAGTTACACGACCGCCAGAGATGCCACTTGTACAACAGAAGCATTGAGGTACGATCATTTGCCAAGACAGATACTAATTGATATGCAGCATGTGGCGGGTGATGGCGTCTGCAACTTTATCTTGCACAAGACAATAGGCATGCACTTGGCTGCCATTACCAAAGGACTCGGCCTCCGAACTTTTCCAATCACGCCTCTTGATCGAAGCTCAGTTGTTGAGGGTGAACAAGGCGTAGTTCTGGAGGACTTTCCCGACTGGAAGCTCACAGAGACCTCTTCTACCTTCTTGAACCCGACAGATTACAAAGTTGCTGAGGTTCAGTCTGTGGAGCATGGGATATTCTCCATCTCTGCCGCGAAGCTCTCCCTACTCAAGGATCATGTCCTGAAAGGCGCCACAAATACGAAGTTGAGCACGACTGAGGCGGTGTGCGCGTTTCTCTGGCGCCATGTTGTCCTGGCCAGGCAGATAGACCATCATAAATACCCCGAGGCTAAGCTATCGATCACCGTTGACGCGAGAGAGCGAATGGAAAACCCGCCACTTCCGTCTAATTATTGGGGAAATTTTGCAGAGCCGAATGCGGTCGCCAGAGCATCTGTTGCTCGCCTACAGAATGAAGAAGATGGAGGCAAGGTCCATGTGGAGTTGGCGACTAGTGTCAAACGAGCCATTGCTGCTGTCAACAACAAAGCAGTAAGGCGTCTCGTTGGAATTCTCAATCAGATGCCAAAGAGTACCTCCTTGACTTGGAATGTTGACCGATACCCTGGTCCAGACATGCTCATAGTCTGTCTTCAAGCGCATAGATATAACGACATTTATTTTGGGCGTGATCTTGGATACCCATCTGCATTTCGGGTCACTGTTGGAGACACTGAGGGGAAGCCTGACGGCCGTTGCATCATCCTACCACCACGTCATGCGGAAGGTCATGGTCTGGAGCTGATTTTGCAATATGATAGTTGCACTTTGGAGAGGCTTGAGAGTAATTCAGAGTTCAGCAAGTTCTTTGTACGTCGTAACTAGTTTGATATAATAATTAAAGTATTACTATTACCTAGCCTTTCCCTCCACTGCTATTAACCTGCAGCCTATAGTATCTTGTATAGGTCTTATATATAATAAAATTCTAATTATTATACGTTAGAAATTAATAGCTCTTATAGCTAAGTCCCCTATATATCTTTAGTCTAAGGATAAATATACTTTTATCTAGTAATAGCTTTATATTTATATTTATTAGGTCCTATAGTTAGTAGGTGTATTATCCTAATAATAACAATAATTTAATAAATATAATAACTTCTTATAGTAATTATAATAGTAATATTTTACTTAAGCCAGTTTAGGCTAAATAGCTACTCTATAAACTAAATAAATTAATATATTAAGCTACTAGTAAAGCTAGATTATATAGTCTATTATATTATTAATTACAATATACTTATTTAATCCTCTGCTTTATAATATTTATTTAACTATGACGAACTATCGTTTGTTGACGGATGTTGGTGTTCTGAAGTTAGATCTATGCTCTGATAATGATGCAGTACTGACTGAGGTTTCCTTACGAGGCTTTGGCCATTACGGCTACGGTATAAGCGCTGAACTTATGAAAGATAGGAAACACGTGTGGACTGTGAAAGATGGGGAGAGAATACTATGTCTACCTAGGCAGTATCGGCCGTCAGCATCAGCAGTGGTGAGGTCAACCGTCGCTATCGGCTGCCGCTGGGGCCAGGTTTTAGTGATGCAGTTCTCAGCGAATGGGCCCGAGCCGTAGGTTGTGCACAGAGGGCAACCAAACGACAAAAGACTATTGTCGGTGCATAATGTTAAGTATCCCTGCTTGCACGTGACACCCCAGGACCAGTTCAAGGGGTTTTGGAGCCTTACGCGCACTCAGGAGATAATGACACGGACAAACTTGATTGGTTAAAAAAACAAAGTCTTTAAGACGCATGGTTCAACACAGTAGGTATATACTTCTTGAATGGCATCCAACTGTCAAATTGTGTTGTCATCCACTGAGTCCAAGGAGCCATTTCAACCCCTGCACGCAGTCTTCTTGCGCCTTCTTGGAAACATCCAGATGGTGGCCATATATCCAGAAAATATGCGGAAGGTCCTTGTTCTTTTTGTCAGAAACTTCTACGAGCTGAGAACCGTCCGCTCACCTTGTAAAGTGACTCGTGTACGTCCACTCCAACCTCTTGTAAGCCGCGCGAGTAGCACACCGCGTCATCACGCAGAATATCTACATCACATATCTGGATATATGTCCTTGGTAAACCATTGAAATCGCCCCATAGCGGGTAGGCGTCAGGGCAGCTTCTGTCCTCGGGTGGTACTCCAAGTACATCTGGACGAGGTAAGGGCTAACGCCTACAGAGAAATGCAACGGACAAATACAAGAGAAGAAGAAAACGTACCATGGCTTTGCTCCATATCAGGCCTATCGAGGCCGGGTGTCTCGAAGTCTACAGACCACGAATGATGCATGTCTCTGAATCGGGGAGGTATGAATGCTGCATTTGTTCCACGAACAGTCACTGGGGCCCTGAGCAAGACTCCGCTCAACGTTATCTTTGCAGGGATGGCTGCATTTTCCACCACTTTGAACCAGTCCCGGGCTCGTTGCGAGACGATTGCTGCAAGCTGCCCGCCTGAGGAAGTCCCGCTGATGACTAAATTCACTGGCTCGGTATGCCTAGGCACTAGGCTGGGAAGTGCAGTGACAATATACTGGAACGCATCCCACCCATCGTTGATCGGGATAGGGTACGGATATGCTGGGCAGAGTCGATACTCGACGCTGATTACCGTGATGGGACCACCCAGGGCCATGTACCGGCATGAGACTGCAGACCGTTCCATCTTTAGCTATTTTTGCACTTGACAATCCGCCAACCTGCATTTTTGTAGCTTGGTCACGTACCGTCTTCTGTCTCAAGAGAGCCGTGCCTAAAGGCGCCGGAGTGAAAGAAAATGACGACGCCGCGTGCAGGTTGAGTCTCCTTTGCCGTATAGATTCGAACAGGTATCTGGTGATCATCACGACATGGAATAGTGGTGTCGGTCGTAAGTACCTGAGTGGCAAGTTTATAGCCATCTACGGAGGAAAGAAAATCTCCATTGCGTTGGTCGTCGTCATGGATGATGTTCGGGTTCTGTGTAACAAATGCGGTCCACTCAGGATGAAGAGGATGCATCTTGGCAGTCTTTGCTTGGGTTGCACTAATGTTTGTGATTACAGGAAGCAGTCGAACAGATGAGATATTTATTTGCAGGAATATGCTCGGCAGTCTGTAGGCAGCACCGTATCGTATTCCTCGTGTTAATGGACCCCGGCGACTACGTCACGTGTACCCAAAATATTTATCTAACCCTAGACAATCTGACATGGGACAATGAGTACTAAGGCTTTACAATTAGCACTAATCCTATAATGACCTTACCAATTACAATAACAAGTCCAAGGATATAAATTGTATTTATTTGCATTTATATAAACTTCTTAGAATTAGGGTTAGAGTAGGGATAGGATTAAAAGTACCAAGATCTGTCATAGGCTTGAGCGCCGTGGCCTGACGAATTAGTTCTACAAAGAATTAATAATAATTCCTAGCTAAATATTATATTTATTACAACAGATGCTAATATGTTAGAGCCAGAACTTAACGCGTTGCTATTAAAGTGTTATCTTACTTAAGTATATAGCTAAGGTAGTAATTAGAAATATAAGTTAACCTTCTATTAAAATTAAGTCTATCTTAATGCTATTAAATTATTTAAAATCTAAGTCTATATCCTGTAAAACAGGGTAAATTATATTAATTATATAATTATTAATTTTAAACTATAGAACTAGAATGCTTCCTGTGCTTTATCTTAAATAACTTAGCTATATTAGGAAAATATTAACTCATAGTAGTATATGCCTTATTTAAAACTTACTTAAATATCTCTTATATATAGTTATTATAATACTACTTTATTATTATTAACTAGCTATAATAATACTATTAACTTCTTATCTTTAACCTTTTTTTAAATAATATAATTAATTATATTAGTTTAATTAATACTTAGCTTTTTCTATATTATTAATAGCTTAGATTTTTATATTAGTCTTATATTAGATAAGCGGTCTTTTAATAGGGGAGATATAAAGACACGTCACTGCAATAAGGGTTATAAATAATTTAATCTAAGTGTTTACCGTTAATTAGTAACTGAAATATCAGAGTTATATTTCTATTAAAACCAGTATATTTGGTTTAGAAAGCATCATCATGAGGCTCATCATACTGGTTAATAAGTCTTTGCGGTATCAGCCCCCGTAGCACGACAACTCCAGCGTGCAAGATACCCCACCGAACCTTGCTCAACGTCTCAGCCATAGTCCAGACAAGCCCGACAATCTGTCGTTGTTGACCTGTTTTTACATCCATGTCCTCAGGCCCATTCTGAGCCATTCTTGACACGAGGTTATGCATTTCTCCTCGAGGATTCCAGATGATCTCGTCGCTCTCATCGTCGCTATCATCAACATCATCTTCCATATCAAGTATACCTCCTCTATTTGGCTGGCCGTGGCAGAATGCCCAGCATGCAAGAGTTGCTAGGTACAGACACCAGGGGACGTGGAAGAGCTGCATTGCGTCTGAACGCGTGAGCACTTTGGTGTTTTCATGAAGCAATCGAGCAGCGTGCCATGCAGCTATAGAGGCTGGCCTCTTGTGGCTTCTTGTATTTTGTTCGGTGTTGGAGGTTTGATCTTTGTTTGGTCGTTCTGTCACTAAAGAAGCCCACTGTTTCACCGCCTTTGCGGATCGGCGATAGTCCTTCTGCTGAACTGGTCGGCCTAGTATATGGCGAGCACCAGCGTAGATCTGTATATCGAGAAATTCCATACGAAGAAGTGCTTGTGCTGAGTGAAACAGAGCATTGTATGCAGTAGCAAACGCCACGTATTCACTCCTTCTGGCCTGGTCCTCAGGTGTATTCTGCAGTCGAGAAATAATTGAGGTTATGTAAGCATCAAAGTCTTCCTTCCAAGCGTCATAAGCGTTCCCTATGAGCTTCCGCCAGTTGGATCCGGGCCCATCACCGTCCACTACTCCAAGCGCTGTCTGATCACGACGCTGCATGTCCCATGCGATGGACATCAAGCCATGTAGCATAAGTACGTGAGACAATCCTGTCAATGCCTTTGGACGCGGCACTGATGGTCCGAGATAGGATTTGAGACTGGGAAGGTAAAAGGTCTGCTGGGAACTGCAAGCTGATGAGCGCCATGCCATAGCCCAGGACATTGGATCTGAAGCCTCCCATATTCTTTGGCTGCATGGCAGTTCGAGACGAAGCTCAAATGCGGACATGCAAAGACTCTGACAGAAGAGAACGGCATGCTGTGTATCCCACATGAAGCACAGAAGTGCGAGACTGTAATTACATGTTAGTCGAATGCTACCAGTAAGAATCTTGCTTGAGCGGCTTGCCGTTTCTTTTGTTCTGCAATGGCCCATCGTCTCCAAGCCTCTCGCACTACACCCTCTTTTGAATCGGTACAGCCAGCTGGCGGTCCTTGAGGGCGAACTGACTGGCAGTCAGATCTGCGAATAAGATTTATAAGAAGTCCATGGAAGAGATGACTCATGTCGTGCTGCTTCTGTCCAGCCCTCGACTTCCCAAAGCATTCCACCAAAAGGATAGTCTGCAGAGTCCATAGTTCCGCACGAGCCGAAAAGCTAGCATGAGAAAAGATGCTAGGACGTATGACGTCGTGGATGCACACAGCCAGCTGATGGGCATCCTTGGTCGAGTAGGTTGCGCCAAGCAGGAGGACGGAGATGAGAAGCAGAGGTTCCATTCTGCTGACATCAAAGGTTGCAAGGTGCATCAGTGGGTAGGCAGTATTGAACTTGACGAAGAACAATTCCAGATATGTTTGAAGGGAGTCTCGTGACAATAGTGGCTCATCCCACAGGGAGTGACGAGAATCAGGTAAAGATGGGTTGGCAGCTTCGACGACTTGGAGAATTCGTTTGCGCACGCTTTCGTCGATCTTGGGTATCGATGGACCTTTCTCGAGCATCGAGAATGGTCTGTTGAATTGCGGTTCCTCGACATATTGATGATCGTGGGCGATGTTGGGCCTCAATAGTTTGGCGCTTTTGTATTCTGCTGGCGTTGTAGACTCAGTTCTAGAGCTGGCAAGGCTCTCCGAAGTTGTCTTGGTATGGTTCAAGACTGCGGTTCGGGGATCAGAAGCATCTTGCCTCGTATCACTGCTGTGAGAATGTACCGACTCAGACCAACGCCGCGTGCTGTTGATAGAGTCTGGTGATAATATCTGGACGGGCTCCGACATCTGGGCGGATGGGATATACTGCTCGTTGGCCTTTGCGAGGGGTGTTGGTGTTGGGTTCAAGTTCATGTTAAATAACCAATTGTAGTCCAAAGCAGTCGTATAGGGCATATTAAATGAGCTGGCTGTATCTGGCTGGAAGTTTTGCGTGTAGTCAAGTGCTGCAGTATCCACGAATGATTCGTTGAGAAGTAGCGGATCGAGCTGGTCGAACGAAAACTCGCCTATGCCTTCACTGTGATGGAATGGGTCGGTTGAGGTGGTAAAGTTTCCTAAATGGTCGTCTGTGACGAGTTCACCGGCGGAGTGAACAAAAATGGAGTCTTCAATGTGCAAGTCGGATGAGGGATGAAGATCAACTCCATTCACTGACTGGCCTCCGTTGTGGCCCCAAGCGATCAGCCCAGGGGATTGATTCCTTGTATTATCTGCCTGGTCGGATTCTGGAGATGGGACTTGTTGTGTTTCTTGAGGGTTCTGTCCTGAACCCTTGGTACTTTTGGCTTTCGTGTTGCTGTTCCGACACGGTCGCTTTTCAACGACCGTACCGTCGGGTGCTTCCCAGGATCTCTTTCGTGTATCGAGAACGCCAAAGCCGGTTCCTCCGGCCTCAAGATCCTTCTGGCGATGTCTTTCCATATGTCGCCCTTTGGATACGTAAGAACAAACTTTGATCGACTCGGCTATACAAAACATGGTCACTCACTCAACAAATCAGGCCGTTTGAAGTGTGCACGACATATGTCACATGAAGAACCGCCCGGCAAGTGATTGAGAGCATGTCGCTGCAAGTGTTCTGAGCGCGTGAACTTCTTGCTACAGCCAGGATGAGTACACTCAAACGACTTGTCACTCTGAGGAGCTGGCTGGGAGGCTGCAGAACCTCTTCGAGAGGCCTCTGATTGACCCTGCGATTGTGTCTGTTTACGACCCATGGCTTCTGTAAGAAACGCATCGACCGCTAGGGACAACTCGTCGTCGGCTCCGTACATGGCTGTAGAGTGGGATGAGGTGGGAAATGTTAAAGATGAACGAGAGATAGAGTGAGGAAACGTTGGATTCTAGAGTGGGAGGAATTGCCGAATGCCGTTGAGCTCTGACTGATTAGTAGTGTAACTCTGATAAGTGATAGGCTTGGCTGGACTCCGCCACAGTGCTACCGCATCCCCACCCTTATCAACTTCCCCGCACATTATCTTGATAAGTGGGAGGATGCTAACGGACATGGGTGAGTGGGTAAAGGAACTCGGGTTCAAGATCCGTGCTTGAGCTAGCGATGGTTATCTATTCCCAGAATGTAAAGGCACGAGCATATCGGCAATAGGCGTCGTGAATCGGACAAACCAGTCATCGCACCACCACTTGGGTCTGCTTTGCCACAAGACCTAGACTTCGTCACATAGACCTTTAATACGGATGTAGAGTCCTTTTACTCGATATTATCTCGTCTGCCCATCGTCAATTGAGATCCAGCAGCCTAGAGCCAAGATGCCTAACTACAAGACACAGGAAGTGATGGAGAGAAGCGACTCGAGCAGACTTCATGTAAGTTCAAGGTTCTGCATCTCAAAAACATTTCAAACTAATGTTTATTTAGGTAGTGATCGTAGGAGCTGGACTTGGTGGTCTCGGTGCTGCAATCGCCGTCCGTCTCGCCGGCCATGATGTCACAGTGTTGGAGTCTGCACCAGCAATCGGCGAGGTCGGCGCCGGTATTCAAGTCCTTCCCAACGCTGCTCGAGTTCTCTTCTCCTGGGGTCTCGAGAAGGAATTGGTCAAGAATGCTACCAAGCCAAGGAAATGCAACTTCATCGGATGGAAGGGAAACCATCTCTCAGAAATGGACTACCATGGATATGCGGCTGCCTCGGGAGGCTACCCTTTCCTCGATTTCCATCGCGCTACTTTGCACAAGGCACTCCTGGACAGAGCTCATGAGCTGGGCGCCAAGATTCTCTGCGGATCTAAAGTCTTGTCTTACGAGATAGCGGCCGACAACAGCCACGCAACTGTGTTTCTAGAAGGAGGACAAACGATGGAGTCTGACTTGGTAGTTGGTGCTGATGGCATCGCTTCTTCACTCAGAGAGCAGTTCCTCGGCCGATCCGATCCTCCACAATTAACGGGCGACTTGGCATACCGGCTGCTGCTGTCGACAGACGAGATGAGAAAAGACCCAGACCTAAGACCATTCGTGGAGGATCCTCAAGTCAACTACTGGGTCGGTCCCGATAAACATGCAGTCAATTACGTGCTGAAGGGAGGAGAACTCTTCAACATGGTCCTTTTAGTGCCAGATGATATCCCACTCGATAGCGGCAACACTTTGAAGGGGAATATCGAAGAGATGAGAGCCCATTTTGCCGAATGGGACCCCCGTATTGGAAAGATGCTGAACCTCTGCGACTCTGTTCTCAAGTGGAGATTATGCATTCGTCCTGGCCTCGACCCAACTTGGTCACACCCTTCGGGAGCCCTCACCATGCTCGGTGATTCTGTCCACGCAACACTACCATATCTTGCCAGTGGTGCCGGTATGGCTCTAGAGGACGGTGGTGTACTCGGGCTATGTCTTGCCAAGCTTACTGATAAGTCACCAGCCTCAAAGCTGAAAGCTCTCGCTGTCTACGAGGCATGTCGACGAGAACGTACAGAGATGGTTGTGCAAAGAGGAACGTACAACCAATGGATATATCACCTTCCCGATGGCGAAGAGCAGAGACAGCGAGATGAGCGGTTCAGGCAATATGGAAAGTGGGATGAAGAGTGGCTCAGTGGAGAGAATCCGATCATACCGCAGTCCTCGGAGACAGGAGAGGACCCTTTCCCTTGGAGGTACCATGGAGTTGGGAGATGGTTATTGACGTATGATATGTGGAAGGATGTCGATGAGAAGTTCTCGCAGTTTGAGTCTGAGGCCAGTGGTGGTTCACTGAGAGCAAGTCTCTGATTATAAGCACTGTACTCTGTCTTATTGGGGTATTGTTAGTGGTCAAGAAGACATTTATAAAGATTACACGGCATCATCCAGGCACTATTCGAAGATTGACAGGTTATTGGCTTTGACATCCTAAGTTCCTAACTATTGCTCTACTAGAGACGAGATCACTCCGAACCCATTATAGATCATCACAGCCATTGCTGCTACAACATACTATCGATCTCTAATTGTCTCTCGTCGCTTTCCTCGTTCATTTCGCTATTTTAACTAACATTTGGCGTCCATATTGGTCGCCTGTGCTTTCCTGAGCCATATTCCAATCGAATTCCCTATTATCCTGACTCCGTGATCCTCTCATTTTCCTTACCATGACGACGCCTGCCTTCGACGGTCGCCAAATGACCAATCTAGAGGATGGCATAAAGCAAGAGACTTTTATCCCAAGTAAAGAAGGTGTTGAGATAAATTTCAATTGTCTTCGGATAACTCAATAGACTCTTTGACTGCTTTATATCGGATGCCAAGGCGATTGCGGATGGATCTCCACGACTTGCACAGATCCAGGCATCGATTCAAGCTTACATGGAGCAAATTACACGCCAAACCAAAGTTATAGTACGACCAGCAAACACTCAGATAGATGAGCTTTACTTTATCACTTTCAATATTGTTAAAGTCATTTGGTCAAGTATTTATTCAGCTATGCCTAAGCAAACCCATACCAATATGTAGTCTATAATACCGTCTTCCGCTGCTAGACTCCCAGTTCACGCTTCAGTCTTCACCTCTTGTGAAGGGTTGTAAAAAGGATAATCATTGTAACCCTTCTCCGGAGGATCAGCGCCGTAAAATGTGTTGCGGTCATAGGCGTTGAGGGGCCAGCCATTTTGTAATCTCTCAGCCAAGTCGGGATTGGCAATAAAGTGTCGACCCATGGCAACCAAATCAGCCTCATGACTCTTAATCTTGGTAGGAGCGTTATCCCGGTTGAAGTTTCCGCAAGCCAAAAATACAACTCCAGAAGGTTTGAGGATGTTGCGGAATATGTTGAGCGAGTTTGCCTGCTTGCCAACTTCAACAGCAGCGCCATCTTTACTGCTGCCATTGGCAAGTGCAGCGAGCTTTTGTTGCTCGTCGAGAACTTCGTCGAAACGGGGCTCAATCCTATTGATTGTCAGTCATGTTGATGGCGGTTCGATGGTGGAGGTTGACTTACATATGCACATAAACAGGCTTGTGGTTGTCTGGAAGACTGGCGATCTGGCCGCAGAGGTAAGACCAGTGAGCATTGGGGTCACTGTCCTTAGTGCCCTGGAAGTAGTTGTAAGGCGACAGTCGAAGGCCGACCTTGTCAGCACCGATAGCATCACAGCATGCAGTGAGGACCTCGAGGAGGAATCTGCATCGGTTCTCGACAGAGCCACCATATTCGTCAGTTCGGTTGTTGATGTTGTCGTGAAGGAACTGCTCAAGAAGATAGCCATTGGCACCTGATCCTAACAGTTAGCAAGAGGTAGAAGTACAGAGACTGGATGTGTACATACCATGAATCTCAATACCATCGAACCCAGCAACTTCAACAGCTCGCTTGGCGGCAGCTGCCCATTCGGCAGTAATGCTATGGATCTCTTCCACTGTCAAAGCTCGAGGCGGGTCATCCTTGGTATCAGTGCCATCCAGATATGTACCCGGCATGGGCTGATCACCAGAGGAGACAGCCCTCTCACCACCTCGCTGCGCACTACAAGACGCCCGTCCAGTGTGCCACAGCTGAGTGAAGATAAAACCGCCCTTGGCATGGACAGCATCCGTTACCTTCTTCCATCCCTGTAATTGGGAGTCGGTAAAGACGCCAGGAACACCAGGGTAAGCACTAGCGTTCAGGGCAATGTCGGTCGCCTCAGTGATCTGAAGACCGCCATCACTGGAGCGATCGCTGTAGTACTTCACCATACGAGGGCCAGGGACATAAACTCCACGCGACTCGAATTCACTTCGCATGCGAGTGTTGGGTGCCTGGAAGGATGTTGTTAGGTTGTTCTTTGGGGTTCAATAATTGACTTTCACTGCGTACCTGCACAATTCGGTGCTTCAAGTTGAGCTTGCCAAGCTTCAAGGGAGAGAACAAGACAGTGTCCTTCAGCGCGGCGTGCGCCGCTGGCGGTGTAACTGCGATGGGCATCTTTGTCTAAGGGTAGCGGAGAAAGATCGGGAGAGAGAGAATGACGAGGTATCAATAACCTTGAATCTGGTGGTAGGGTTGAAAGCTGTCTGACTGCGCTTGGATTTGATCACTCAAGCAGCTATGGATGCTGAAGCTTTAGTAGCCGATGTATTTTGTCCTTGTACATTTTGTTTCACTTTTACCTTTCCATTGCAACTGCCCATGGACTCTTGGTACCCCATCCCCCACCTTTGAACGATGAAAGTGGAGATGGAGATGCGAGGAGTCAGCCGTCTTTCTTGTTGGCCACTGATAAGGCGCAGCACGACAGGGAAGATCAAGAATGGGGGTGGGTTTGACCAGGATCGGAAAGTTAAAGACTGCTAAGACAAAGAAGGGTTAGCATTGATGCGGAACGACTGGGACATCCGATAGGCCGCCTTCTAGGTTTTATGGGTCAAACATTTTTATCGCTCCCGGGTAAGGTTCGTGGGTTTCGAGTTTTTGGCCTAGACGTGATGAGCCAGACGTGTAACAGTCTTGGGGACTGTGGTTTGCTTACTGATCAAGCAATTGATTTCCGCGGCTGAGATCGATGTATTGATTTGTAACAATTTCAAGTTTTAAAGTGATGCCAAAAGCCATCTATCTACTTTTATTAAAAACAGCGCGAGTGTTTTTAGTATGAGTCGGCATGAGAAACTAGGAATTTGGGTCCTGGTGTGATCTTCGAGCACTCAATCAAGAGATTGACAAGGACCCCGAGAGCAATTCAGGTACAAGTTCATCTTTCCTAGTTATTTAGAATCAATAGCCTAGATAGAAGTCGAGTGTAGAAGATTGCCGTTGAAATCTCACGATCTTAAGGTGTCGAGAAGAAAAGGAGCAATAAGAATTTATAAGACAACACGTGCTGTTCTGCGTCAAAGTATAGTTCAAACACACATTGGTGAACAATGTCTACTACTTAAAATATAATGCCTGTTCTCTCAAACAAATACCACAATCCTGACTCTAGAGAGAGGCATGTCCATGTGTTTCGTAAGGAAGCCCAACACAGAAGAAGCCGACCACGATCCAAAGCGCCGCACTCGCGTAAATGGGGACGACTGAAAACCCAGAATATGTCGAGATAAAAGATGCCACAAGACCACCAAGTCTGAGAAGCGTAGCTGCAATACCAGTACCAGTACCTCGTACCGGTCCAGGAAAAGACTCTGGAGTAAAGGCAAACATGACCGCGTACTCTGCAAGACTTGTTAGTGTTGAGATGACAGAATGGCCAGAAGAGAGACTTACCAAAGTTTCCAAGAATAGCTGTAGCACACTGGAATCCAATATCGGCGGCTTCAGTGCCAACAGCTGTGTATGCAAAGAGAAAGACGCCAGTGAGAACGGCAGAGATGGCCATCATCCACCTGCGGCCGAATCGAGTCTCTACCAAAAACCCTGCTGAGATTGGGCCGAGGACGCCGACAGCTGAAACAATACAGTAAATCATATATGTATGGTTGAACGACGAGCTAGCAGTGTAATCTTTCTTGGACTCAAGATAAGAAGTGATGAAGGCAAAGTACAGCGGGTAGGCGATTCCGATGGTAAGCCAGATCAAGAACGTGACTGCACTGTGCTGAGCCATCTTGCGGCCGGCGAAGAGCGAGCGATAGCTGCTCATATTGAAGTCCTTGAAGTTCTCTCTGAGAATGTCTTTCATAGAAAGCTTCTTCTCCGTCTGATCAGGAATGGCGTGGACCTGTTCGCCGGTAGATGAGACCACCGCAGACGAGTAGATTTGGCGGTCGATATCTTGCATCATCTCGAGTGTCAGGGTCTCAGGCTTGCCGTTATAACGAGCGATGTAGTTGACCGATTCGACAGCCTCTGCGTCGCGTCCCTTGGAGAGGAGATATTTGGGAGACTCGGGGATCTTGAAGACAAAGAGTCTAACCAAGGCAAGGACAAGAGCAATGCCACCGAGAGTGATCATGACGTACCGCCTGGAGAGGTCGTCTTGTTAGTCCAGTGAATCAGAAGTGTCCGGGAGTGAACGACTTACCATCCCATGTTATCCTGTCTGCGGCATCCCTCCGGGCTGCTGCAAGCAAAGTTTGCGAGGAAGACCCATGAAAGAAGAGACACGATAAGCTGTCCGAGGTTCCACCAGGCAGACAGTGTGACGAGCAACCACTGATGACTCTGTGGGACGAACTCAAGGAAAACAATACTGTCAACTGGGACGTTGCCTCCAGCTGCAGTACCAATAACAGCCCAGAGAGAGCAAAATGTGATGAAGTCCTGAGCTCCAGCAACTGCACAAGCAAAGATTGCTCCGATGAAGATGGTAGAGTTGAAAGCAGGCTTGCGGCCAATAACATCGGCTGCGGTTCCCCAAAAGAAGGCCCCAACAATCAGGCCAACGTAGTAAGCCACTGAACTGAAGCTGATTCTTGTTATGTCGTCGAATTCGTTCATGATCGGGGGACGAACGGCGGTGATGCCTTGGGACCAGAAGTTATCGACCATCCAGCCGCAACCGTTGACGACGAAGAGAATCCATTGGAATCTAGAAGAGTTGTTATTAGCATCCACGTTCTTGATCATGCATATTGTCCAGTGCTTACTTTCCAGTACCAATCTCTGAGAGATGGCGGGCAACAAGTTCGGACTTTAACCGATACGACTCGTTGACAGCACTCCCGTAGAAATCGCGAACAGCACTGTCCTCAACAGGTTTGTGATCGCCGAGACGGTAAGAAGTTGCACTTGGACTGTGCTGAAGCTTGGCTCCAGTGGCCTTCTCGGCAATATCTTCTGCATTGTTCGAAGCCATGATGATGGTTTGTGAGAAGGAGCCAGGACGTTGAAGGTGAGAGGTTGAAGACTGGGAATATCAACCGGTATCGACTCATGTATTTATCACACATGAGACACCGGAGAGACACAAGTCCTCCCCTTGTGTGGCGTAAGAGAGATAGACAAGATAACTAATCGCTGCTACGAGTCAATGCACACCCTGAACCCGGCCGTAACCTTACCATCCGCTAGGCCAGCAGCAGGACCACGCCAAGACAACGCGTATACTACGCTACGGCTATCTACCTATCTTATCGGTTCCAACTCACCCTGCTGACATCCAAACCCCCACTTTCCCCGGATTATACCTGCCGCTTCAGAGTTTAAACCATGAGATTTGGGATAAATGGGGTTAATCTGATCAGATAATTGGTGCCCGCTATCAGTGGTCGAGACCTGGCTCTCTATGGACATGGTTTGGTTGACTCGGGGAACTCGGATATTGGTAATGTAGAGGACTTCAGAAACCAATAACGGATGATCCAATACTCATCGGTGAGTCTGGACCTGGACGCGATGAAGGCCTTGTACCAGTAGTGAGTTGCACTAATCTCCCTTCTACAATGCGAGCATGTATGACTTGGACAATCGAACATTTGGCTCCCCAAAGTGCCATGATTAAAATATAGAATTCATGAAATGTTGCTTGCAATCTGAACGGATGATTATTACGTATTATCCAAAATTCAATAGAGGAGTTTCCGGTGCGATATCTCGTGTACACATTGCCTCATAGCACAAGATAATTAATACAGTATTTCAGCAAGTGACCTCCTATTTCATCCACGTTCAAACAGAAGGAATCTGCAAAAAACCTCCAAAGTACGAATCGAGCCAACTCGCCGCCGCTGCACCCTCCTCAACACTAGCATTCTTGATACGCCGAATGGCACCAACATAACCATCCGGTCTAACTACAAGAATTGCGACCTCTCCACTATCGACAGAGCCAAGCCACTTCTCTGTACACGAGATTCGCTTGGTATCTAAATGCGCCGCGTCATCCAGATACACCGTCCACCTACTCTTTGAAAATGTGGGAGGCAGGTCTGAGAGCTCAAAGTCGTTCTTATCTGTAGAGGCTGTAAAGATTCCGAGAGTTAGTAGTTGTGATAGAGTGGCGATGGAATAGATTTTACTTACTGATAAGAGCGAATGTTATTAATTGGTTGACTGATGTGTACCGTTCTGGTCGCACGTAAACATCATCAGCTCGGTTGGCACGAGGCTTTTGTTGGTATGAAGCCTGCGTTGACTTGCCAAGCTGGAATACGAACGAGGTCGGTGTCGAGATAGACTCATCAAACGCCGTGATGAAGCCACTCTCTTGACGCCCTGTAAGGTTTGGAGCGACTACATAGACTCGGAACTGGCCGAGAACCGGGACATCGAGCTGGACATCAACTGGACAGGCGTCTATGTAGCGTGTAACCTTTGCCTGCGGGAGATTGCAGCCTGGCTTAGCATCGCCACCAGGAGCGGCATCTAGAGGATGGTTCAGCTCATTGGGACCATACTCAACCCCCACTCCCGAAATAAAGCGTGTGTTCTTGCGGAAGTTCTCAGCGAGTCTTTTGGAGTCACCTCCAGCGATCTCATTAGCGTGTTCAAAGTCAAAGTTGATGAGATCTTCCGCAATCTTCTTCCGCTCTTGCTCGTAAGATTGTAGAAGGATACCATCCTTGGCGAAACCACGTGCAGCAAGGTTGAGCTTCCAGCCCAAGTTCCAAGAGTCATGGACGCTGGTGTTCATTCCCTGGGCAGCCTTTGGACTGTGCGTATGACTGGCATCTCCAGCAATGAATATCCGCTGAGTCGGGTCCAAGAACCGCGTTGCAAAGCGTTGAGATACTTGATAGTTCCCAAACCACTCCACTGATGTCCAGTTGACGGTGTATGGGGCCATGATAAGACGTGCCTGCTCCATGACAAACTCCTGACCGAGGCCCTTGGAGGTGACCGAACTCTTCATCTCGATGTAAAGTCGGGTCATGTTCCGCTCACGTGGAATAAGAAGAACTGATCCGTGTTCCTCGGAAAATATGACGGTCTTGCTCCAGATGTCAGGGAAGTCGGTATCTAACTCTCCATCCAAAACTCCCCAAACAGAGTTATGAGGAGTTCCTTGAGAAGCAGCACCTGGAATGGCGTTCCGTACTGCTGAGCGAGCTCCATCACAGCCAACTAGGTATCTGGCAGGAATAGCTGTACGTGTTTCACCGTCTTTGTCGCATTCGATCTGGAGATGATCGGAAGAGTCTGTTACTCCTCTGAAGGTGTGACTGCGAGTGACTTCGACACCGCTTTTCCGCAGGTCGTTGATAAAGGTGCCTTCCATCATGCCTTGATGGCACAAAAGGATGTAGGGATGTAGCACATCTACCACTGAAGATGGATAGTGGACTTCACGTCCTGTGCGGCGAAGTCCTTCCGTTGGTGAGCCCCGCCACATGCAAATGTCGTGAACCTTGACACCTGTTTGTACAAGATCATCGCCAATTCGCAGCATTTGCAAAGTCTCAATAGTCTTGGGTTGGATACCATCAGCACGACCGACGGTCGTCTGATCGGGCCTCTCATCAATAACCTTGACTGATAGACCAAGCTTTGCCAACACAACACTAGAGCAACTATCAGTACGGAAAGAGGCGAACATTAATTCAGCAGCTCACCTCAGCATGAGGCCTGATGGGCCAGCTCCAACAACGCAGACATCATGGACATCGGCATCTTGATATCCGTTGCTGTGACCATTTGTGCTTGTCGGAATGGCCATGTGGGGCAAGTTTTAGTAGTGTAATGTGGATGCGTACTGCTGAATGATGAAAGATGTCGATGGTGTTTGACTGTGTAACAATTGATCTCATCAACACATTCACCTCTCGGATATATCAATCAAGATAGTTCTTACTAACAGTGACTTAAAGATGTTCTTGCGGCGTCTTCCGCCAAAGGTCGTCTCATCTGTCGAGGACAATGTAACTGCACCATCATTCGATCAGTCGGGCTCTACCATCAGTAAGCTAGCGCCGAGTCCACCCCCACTCCCGGTTCTCAACCGCCTTTGGCTATCGTTATCTCGGCGACTCGGGTTTGGATTCGGCTTATGACTGGACTAAAATCTACTTTTATCGGCATAGGCGCGGGGTTTGGCAAGGTATATCCAAGGATGGGGTCGTTGCTGCAGATCACAGTCTCCCTCTCCCCTCCAGTACAGAAAAAGACTCGTATTATTGTAGCGACAAAAGGATTTTAGTGGCTTATTGGAGAATTCTCTGCCAAGTTAAGACAATGGCTCCTGGTTCAATTGATCCCGAGCCTCTGCCTTGGCAGTCAACAGTTGAGCGCAAGAAACAACAACAGCGTGACATTTTGTCCAAGGCTTTGTTGGAACTTGGGAAGTACAAAGAGTTACAAAATGTCGATATCGACCAGCTTGCCGATACAACCCAAACTTTAAGCCTTATATCCAAAGGGCAGCTGACATGCAAAACCGCTGTGCAAGGATTGATAGAACGGTACGTCATTAATATTAGTATAAGTGCTGTGCCAAATACTTAATGCATCTTTATATAGGGCAATCCAAGTTCATCAACAGGTATGTCTTTATGTCCTACGTTTTGAAAATTAATACTTTTCTGATCACAATTAATATAATGTAGACCAATTGGTAAGAACTACCCTAGGAGACGATGTGTCAAGGGCTAATCTTGATCCAGTCTTACAGAAGTTGCTTTCGAAGATGCTTTGCAACAGGCCGAAGAGCTTGATGCCTACATGATCAGCGAGAAACAGCCAATAGGACCCCTACATGGCTTGGTTGTTACTCTCAAGGACCAATTCAATATTAAGGGCTATGATAGCACTCTGGGCTACGTTGGACGGTCCTTCAATCCAGCTACTGACGATGCCGTACTGGTCAAAATGCTCAAATCACTGGGCGCTATCGTTCTCGCAAAATCGAACTTGCCTCAAAGCATTATGGTGGGCGACTGAACCCAATCCAGGCTAAGCACCTTGGCTTACTGGCATTTAGTGGTGCGAGACGGAGAATCCCCTTTGGGGGTTGACTACCAATCCCATGAACAAAGATTACACACCAGGTGGCTCTACAGGTGGTGAGGCTGTCCTGCTTTCTTGCGGTGCCTCTATGCTCGGATGGGGTACAGATATTGGCGGAAGCATCCGCATTCCTAGCCACATGATGGGCATATATGGATTGAAGCCGAGTGTGAGTTGCTATTGATACAGAAATCACAAATATCCCGCTGATTGATCACCAGAGCACAAGACTACCTTACCAAGGCGTCCCTGTGTCGACAGAGGGTCAGGAACATGTTCCATCTTCAATTGGTCCAATGGCACGGGACCTGAGCATGATCAAATATGCCATGCACAGCCTAATCGAGTCAAAGCCATGGGATTACGATGCACGCTGCGCTCCGCTTCCTTGGCGAGGCCACTTATACGAAGAAATGCATAGCCGCCCACTTACTATCGGTGTTCTGATGGATGATGGTGTTGTTCGTCCACATCCACCGATAACGCGAGCATTGCGAGATGCAGTTGAAGCTTTGAAGCTTGAGGGTCATGAGATTGTGGAGTGGAATACTGAACTCCACGAGCAGTGTATAAGAACTATGGTGATACTCCCGGCGTCGAACCCGGGACCTATTTGACTGACGTTGCAATAGGATATGTTTTATACTGCTGATGGTGGTGAAGATATCCGCCAAGATATATCAAGGGCTGGAGAGCCATTCATCCCTCACGTCAAACGCCTTGTCAATCGCGGCAAAGCAATTTCGGTATACGAATATTGGAAGCTCAACAAGAAGAAATGGGATCTGCAGCAAGGTTACTTGGAGAAGTGGAACTCGATCCAGTCTGCAACTGGCAGAAAGGCTGACGTGCTTCTCATGCCCGTCATGCCGCATACCGCTGTTCGACACGGTGGATGCGGCTGGGTTGGCTATACAAAGGTGTGGAATGTTCTTGACTATACCGCGATGGTTATACCTGGCGGTACGATACAGTCGGGGGATGTTGGCACACCGTTCTCGCATCCTGCTAGAGGACCTGAGGATGAATGGAACCAGGGGCTCTGGAACAAGGACAAAGACGAGATGGCTGCGATGAATCTCCCAGTTGGGCTGCAGATCGTCGGACGGAAACTTGAAGAGGAGAAAGTGCTTGGGGCTGCTGAGGTAATTGATCACGTTGTGAAAAAGCTGCTACAGCCCCAGTACTCTCAAGCATTAACATAGATTTGTTATTCTTAGTTAGAACCAGATCATGCACCGAGGACAGAAGATGTATAAGTTGGTTGAAGGAACATGTCTTTTATATGCTATCTAGAGCATTCAATAACCTTTATACGCCTGTGCTGACCATATCTGGTGTATCTGCCATATGCCTCCTAATTATATGCTTTTTCGGCGATGAATCCTGACATAATTAAGGCTGACACCAGCGACTTCTCGAAGCAACTTCCATCGCTCACGTTTCTCTTCCCACTGATAGACCCTCTCATCATCGAAGGCGTTGACTCTAGGCCACCCAGTATGAATCGTGGTATCAACCCAAGTTGAGCTTGGCCCCTCAATTGGTTCATCTCCTCCGCCAAGAGAGCTCACAACAACAGGCAAGTCTTCAGGAGGTACAGATAGCCCGTTTCGAAATCCCAGCGTTGACTTGAGAGGGTCAGGCTGGGGGCCAAAGACAGCAATTTCGCGTTGATTCTGGGCGGTGATAAAGTCAATGGCTATATGCAGAGGCACCTGGACTGCTGTATCCGATATGAACTTTGTAACATGGTAAGTTCGGCTGTTGACTTAGCCCGCTGTCTTTACCAGTGAGGGTAATGAGAACTGGCAACTCTCCCATATCTGTTACACGAACTTTGAAGTCGTCCCCTGAAAGAATGATTGTTACTGCTTTGAATAGTGGCTGCAGGATCAAAAACTCCTGATCTCGAAAGCCTGGACCCCCAAATGTGGATTGCGGGGGAAGAGTCACGACCTCTCGTTGATATGTCGCTACTTGGTCGCAGATTCTCCCATACAGCTCGTTTATTAGCGTGACCAGTGATACTGAAGACATATCGGGAGGAGGCCTGCAAGGATAAAATAGCTTCGCGATGAATTGGTGATACTCGATATCATTCCGATATGGTTGATACCATTTGTTGTATAGCCAGTTATGCAAAGCGCAGCGCAGTGCCATGTGACCCCCGGCACCTGGAACGACGTATATCGGCACGGTCTTGTTGCAACAATCCTCCGCATGGTTTATTGATATATCCTTGACCTTTTTGTGGCCGAGTTCAGAACAGGCGTTTAGGGGGAGATTGACAGGGTTGGAAGGCGGTTCCGGTGGAGGGCTTATATACATCTCGTCGATGATATGATTCTAGTTGACCACGAATCTCAAAAAGATTTCGTGTCGGGGCAGTGGAGTCCTTTCTGTGACGCTTGAAGAGACGTACATTCTGTGTGCTGAGGTAGCTTGCTTCAAGAGGTGACCTGGCAACATAGGGTGAAGTAAGATTCCAACTCTTCTTCTCTGGCTGATGCGAGATCACTGAGAATGATGTATTAGGATATGAGTGAAAATTAGCAGTAGGCTTCGAGGTAGACAAAAAGCAGGCTTTATATAGTGATAGAAAATTGAGTGTCGCGTTCAAACTCAACTTGAAGTAACTTCCAAAGTGTGGGCCAGGGCTTGAACCTTGCCTTGGAAGTCGGATATGAAGGCAGTCAGAAGCCAAGGAGTCGCCAATTGCAGAAAAGCACGATTGAACGTATCCACAAGCTCTAGGTTCGATATGGTGGCATAAGCTTTCAACCACAGGTCCCAACTGCAAATCACACATCTCGCTCATAAGTTAGACATTATATCAAAATGCCTGCCCAATTGATACAGATATACAAGCTCAATTAGTAAAATCAGAGCTGTGTCTCGGTCTTGAGCTAGGTGTGTGATTTACAATTGAGACCCGTGGCTGAGAGCTTATATTAACACACAGAACTCAGTTGCTGCCAAGCCCGTGATTAGATAATAAGCTGAAAGCTTATCTTGAATATCATGTGGGCAGTTGGTATGCTGCCTGAAGTGTGTTTATGAGAGTGTTATTTTGAGTTGATAGACATGACAGCTGATGCTTGCATCGAGCGTCTTACTCGCTGCCAAGGCCGGCATGATTGATCTCGGCGTGACCCTGACCACGGAAGCCTTGAAATATAACATTTGGACCAACATCATTGCTCCTGTCGCCTCTAGTCGTATGACAGCCACCGGATCTACATCATCTCACTACTCACTAGTCGCTGTCCTCACTCAACAGAGCCACACATCCAAGAATGGTTCAATTTCGAGATCTGTTAAGGAAATATTTCGAAGATTCGATAGAAGGGGTCGAAGGAAGCCATTTTTATGTGCGATAAGACGTTGATACCTCGGGCTTTGCTTTAGAAACGGGGCTAAGTCAACGACATTACGAACTCCGTTAGAATATTAACATATTACTTTTTTCTGTTTTTACTTAGTAGGTTATTTTTAGTTTTAATTATATTTACTATATAGGCCACTCTCTGAGATAATAGACCTAATTAAAATCTTACTACCTAAACCCGCTCCTAATACTCGCCGGAGAGTGTGGAGCTTATAGGATCTACGCCTCTTATTTACCCCGCTTATGATAGCCCGATGCTTCTTTATGCCTCAGCCTAGCTCAGTTTGTTTTACGGCCAAAATTGAAAACATTAAAGGAAAAGTACTTTTTATAGCATCTGTACTTAACATTTTGGGATATTAGGCCTCACGCGCGAAGCAGTGACTCATCATGGGTGATCCGCTCAGTGTAGCGTCAGGACTCATCGCCGTTGTCACCGCTACACTGCAATCAAGCAAAATACTCTATGAGACTATCCAAAGCTTCCGAAACCATCGAACTGCAGTTTTAGATCTTGTTCGCGAACTCAAAGGTCTTGAATCAGTTCTCAGTCCGCTGCAAGATCATGTGCGTTCCGACGAGACCGCGTTCTTACCGCTCAAAGTTCCCCTCATTCAGTGCCGACAGGCGTGTGTAGATTTCCAAATCCTGATCGAGCAGAACAGCAGGCGCACTCGAGCAGAGACAAGAACAAGCTTGAGAGATTGGGCCAAGTTAATCTACATGAATGGCGATATTGTTTCTTTCAAAGAACTCTTAGCCGGTTACAAAGGGACGATAACTATAGCGCTAGCTGACGCCAACTTGTTAGTTGCTCGCCCCAAGAGAAAAGGTTTCGCTAACTTGCTTCTAGGCGCTCCTCCAAGGTTACCCTTCAAGTTTTGAACGATTACAAAAACTTGATTTGCGACACTAAGCTTGATCTGGAGAAGCATCTGAAAGACATCGACTCCAAATTGCAAGACATAGTATCTCAAGGCGCCACGACCGAAGCTGCTGGAGGCCAGGCCAATCTCCGGAAATTCGAAAACGAAAAAGAAAGTACAGAACGATGCCTTGAGTATTTGAAACATCTCCTTGAAGAAATCAATGGGATGAGTTTTCAACCCGTTTTTACTGGGTCTGCCTCGAATACTGCTGTCATGTCTATCTCAGCTGGCAACATGACACTTGCTGATTCCCTCACTATTTCCACGCTCAAGACATGCAGCTACAACCTCTCGGACACCATCGACCGCCTCGAGTCGCACCGTGATAATACCGAAGAGAACCTCAGGCTTAGGTCCTTGGTACAAGATTTGAATCAGAAAATCGATCCTGGTGCGAATCGCGAGACACTTCAAAATGAGTTGGAAAGCACGAAACAGTGCTTAAGTGTCTGTGATCGGGCATCGCAATGGGCATCCTCAGGACGGGTCCACGTGGTTGAAGATATCAGCGTCGGGAACGATGGAAAGCAAATATGCGTGTCTACACTAGGGGACCTATTTAACATCAAGGGAGCTAGGGCCGGTCATGGATCCATTCAATTCTTTGGGTCTGTTTCAGAGGGTAGTCTCAACGATGTGCTGAGATCCCAGAACCAGCGGCAATATGTACGCAATGAAGGCACGGTAGACGAGGGATGCGTAAGTGGAGGGTATACGCAATCAACAAGATAGTTCTATTCGCTCCTCTGCGGCCTGTCCACAGCCCTATGGTGTTGCTCTCGACCAGCCTCTGCCAGAGACTTTCCTGCCCCATGTTTCTCAAAGCGAGATGCTTCAGCGTATGCGGGTGACTGCCGATTTGTAATGGCTTGGCGTTGGTTCAAGATCTTGGTAAGTTCCTGGACTGAGCTGTCTTCCCAAGAACCAATAACTTGATAAGAGTTGACTCCAGCTCCAACGTCTTTAGCGTCATAGAGGTGGTCTTTTGTTGATACCAAGAGCTGGACGCTGTTATCTCCGACTTTAATCTCTTGCAAACGATGCGTTGGGCGGCTGCATAATTCGGTCTCGTCTCTAGGCGGCGTTTGCGTATCTGGATCCTCAGAAGCTGACATTTTGTGGTATTGTAGTGTTCGATATGACAATCAGCTTCGATGAAACTAAACGGAGTGGTATGAGGGAAATTTTATCACTTACCCCGCTGTGTGAGATTTGGCACATGACGGTGTACTGAAAACTTGTGGGGCCGTGGCATTTCTTTATTTAGTTCTAATAGTTGGTAAAACCTTAATTAATTAATTCTTTAATAACGTACACGATAAGCGTGCGAGACAGATAAGTGCGCGAGACAAAAATCTTAACCTTCATCAGATAAATCGCAATAAAAATACAACAGATTATCTAATCAATTAAAATCAATTACTATATTAATTCTCAATAGCCTGAATACCCTCTTGACAGGTTCTTGCATTATGCCCGGCCTTATTGCATTTGCTACAACGCCGACCACCTGGTCGCTCTGACCTTCCTCGACCACCACTTCTCGATGATTCGCCTACTATCTGCATATCCACATCTGCCTGATTAATTATCTCTTGGGCTTCCCCTATAGTCATATTCCCTCTTCTCTGTAGGCGTGTTCTTTTTGCCCTACGCCGCCGGCTAAGCATCTCATTTGCCTGACGAAGGTCCCGGTTCTCAGCCTCTAATAAGGCTATCTTGTGTAGAAGAATGCTCTGTCCTTTCTCAAAATACTTCACAGCTTCAATTATTGACTCAGGGGAGCTGCTCTTGTGATTTCTGATCCTTCCTTGCAGATACTTAGATTGAGATTGGGTCTCTAGTATTGTCTTTGGGGTCCTTGAAGTCCAAGGGGTTGTAAGTTCAGTGACCTCCTGGGGAGGCGTTGGGGTCCGTAGTTGTATATCAAGCTTCGAGATAACATGTTCTGGGTTAAAGGGAGCAAGCCCGGCTCCTCTAAAACCTCCCTTAATATTTTTCTCAGTTATAGTAACTTGGAATGCGGCATAAAAGGCCAGGAAGAAGTCAGTCTTCTGGATATGGGTTATCCTCCTTTTGATCAGTTGGTCTATTTCTCGACCATATGCCTTTTTCAGCGGCCCAAAGCACCCGACGTCAAGGGGCTGAAGTAGGTGTGATGAATGAGGCGGCATACAGAGTGTAATAATATTGTGTTCCTCACAATATATCTGGAAATCGGCTGACTGGTGACTTTCATGACCATCGAGGATCAAAAGACGATAGGCACCAACTGATCGGTCAGTTGTAGCCCGATCA